AAAACGCACAGACCTATGATAGGAAAAATGTTACAATAGAGACTACTATCACATTCAAATAGTGTGAATGTTTGACAAACTCAAAAACAAAAATGGCGCCTCACAATGCTCCCCCAAAACCACGATTGGGTGGCGGAAATAAAAGCGGTCAGCGTTTTGTTGCATTCTGACTTGCCTCCCGCCAAAGCGCCCACGAAGTTGCTCTTTGTCAAGAGCCAATGGTGGCAACTGGCATTGCTATTGCTTTGTTGTTGCTGTTGCCCGCTTTTAATGCGCACCATTGTGTCAAGATAAAGGAACGGAAATTAGCACGATAGCAGGAAGTTGGGAACGTTCTGCTTGTTCTTGTCGCTGCCCCGAAAGAAAAGTGAAAAGCGAAAAGTGAATGGCGATAAAAAAAAAAGGAAAGAGAGAAGGCGCCACAAGACAAGGGCGTGAGCGTGGGCGGCCACAAAATAATAATGAGACGGAAATGAAATACAATGCAGAAATGCTGGCAAGGACATGACATCGCCAACGATGACGATGCTGCTGATGTTCCTGATGGGCAAAACGAAAACGTTGTCCAGTTTATATGCGTATATATATTTATTTATTTCAGCTGTTCCTGTACAGTTGTAAATTTTATATAGTCCTGCCTCAGCATTTCTTCACGGCCCTCGAAAAAAGGGTTCACTTGCATTACCACATCTGCCCAAAGCCAGCAGCCTCCATAACAATAAACAATTTAATAAGCTGTTGCAAGTACAACTTGTTTGCGCATTTTTCATTACGACCTCAGCAAAGCACATTGGGTCGCATATGAAAAATGTGAACTAAACGTTTTGAAGGAATAGTTACTTAGTATTAAAATTAAAATTATTTTTTTTTATAAAAAGACGAGCTATGTAAGTAAAGCCACCCTAAAATATGAAAAGTCCGACAGAAGAACAATATGTAGAAATTTTATTTCAAATACATTTATGACGTTTGCTGGGATTTGGTTGTTTTCAAAAGGTTTTATTTTATTGCTTAAATAGTTTTATTGATCCTTTGTGAGCTTTTTAAGAGCACTATGCTTCTAGAGCTCAGTTTTGTATTTTAATTGCATATCCACAATTACTTAAAATTTTAAAGATTTCTAGATTTATAATCAAATTGAATCCAAAAATGTAATTTAATTTATGGGCCATTTACTAAGCGTTGGGAGCTTTTTTAATTGATTCTCAAATCTTAATTATAATCAGAAATCACTTCAAATTCAGGTACATCTTATCAAATACTTAGTCTGGATGCTGGGAAACGACCCACACTTTTCTTTTACTTTTTGAAGCATTTGAATATTAAATAATATGCAGCGTTCATGAACGCTTTCGTAAAAACTCATCTATATCAAAATTAAGTTGAGTTTATAAGTAGGCGAAAAATAATTCCCAGAAGGTAGCAGAAAACTATATTTTTGTATATGTATTCCTACTTTTTTCTTTAACACTGTAAAATGTACATACAAAGTTAGCTGAAGGCCCTAGTAGCCATTGCTAACATAATTCTCTTCTGTTAGTTTTAAGATTTTAATCTTAAGCTAGCATTATATAAATAAATAAAAAAATATTTTTGTACTGAATTCATATTAGTTTTAATTGGAAAATACGTTAAATTCATAACATACTTGTGAAATTTGTCCAATTATGTCTTAAATAATTACAGTCTGATCTTACACTACTACCCTATTTACAAATTATGTATATTAGAAAGAAATTGTAGATTGTATAAATTTTGATGTATTTGCTTCACATATAATATAGTATAGGTTATCATGTTTGAGAAACAATTTAGTATATAATACCTCTCTGTTCGGTTGATTTGAATATATAGTATAGTTCAGTGTGCAACGACGACTGCTTTCTTTCTGCTAAACCGCACAAACAAATTAGACAAACAAGGCAACACAGAAAAAGAAATGAAATACAGCTAAAGAAGTGCTGATTGTCGTCTATTCTTTGGGTCGCCACCCCATGTTTCATTTTTTTGTTTGCTCCTTTTTATGTATTTTTTTTTTCATTTTTCTCTTGAATGCAAAAGTTGTCAATTTGCGAGTCTATTTAGCGTTCTGCAAAAGTACGCGCCAAAGTCAATTAGGCAAACGATTTTTGGGTGCCAGCAAAAGCGAAAACAATTCGCATTTAAATTTTGCGCATTCTAACAATTTGAAAATGGGGGAAGGCTTGTGGGGTGGGGGTGGGTGGGTCTGTGAAATACGTGCATATTATTGCGCTTATCTGCCAACAAACACGCCCGGCAAGGAACTCGATGTTGAGCCCCCAACATTGATGTTGCGCCTTGAAGTTGATTTCATTTGCTTTCTTCTCTTTTTCTTTTTGTTGTTGCCAACCAATTGTATGCCAAGCATGTGTGTGTATGTATTGGTGTGCTATGCATTTGTTTTTATGCGTGTGCCGTTCTCCCACACACCGCCCCGCATCTCTTCTGCAATTCACCAGGGTTTGCTGATGCTTCTTGTCTAAGCAACATCCTTCCTTAAACGTTTCTTGTCTGCCGAATATGTGGTCTCTGTGTATGTGTGTGGGAGAGAGAGGGTGTTGGGGCTGCCTGATTGTGCGATGCTTGAGTGACAATGTATGTGTGTGTGTGTGGGTGAGTGTGGTTTTATGTGTGCATTGTACTGCTGGCATAATAGACACATTTAATTTTACTATTATGCCTTTTTGTTGTCACATAATAAACCGTTTCGTTTTCAAGTTTTGTGCCTGCTATTTGCCTGCCATTTTATTTGATTTGAAGCCGAATGTGTGTCCTTTGGCAACTACATAGTACGACTATAATGTGTTTGAATGCTTACATAAAAGTGTGTGTGTGTGTGGATGAAGTGAGTAAGTTAGTTTCAATTGTAATAAGCAGACATTTTGCATATGCTTAAAATAATGAAGTTAGCTAAGCAATAGAAACCGTTTCCTTTAACTGACAAATACTATTAAATATGTTATATGAACCAATTAATGTACAACTCAATTATTTCAACAGCATAAGTAATTTCAATTTAATTTCTAAAGTCGAAAATTCAAAAGCGTATAAACTCTTGTTTATATACATGCTTGTATATAATTGGATACACATATACCGACCAATTCAATGTTCCAAATTGGTATTTAATAACAATTGGAGAAAGTCGGGGGACTATGAAATACTCTGCATATATGTATGTGTAATATAATTACAGGATTTAAAAACATTAGAAAATTTAAAAATAAACGTACAACGATTTTAACTCCTTTGGTATTCAAACTCAAACTGATGAGGAAAATCCAAAAATAAAATAAACTTGAACAGCGTAGATACAAGTAGATCATAGATCAACTCGTCTTGTCCTTCTGCCTTTTATATTTTTCAGCTCGCGCAAACCTACTCTTGTACAGTATACAAATAAAATAAATAAAGTCAAAAAAGCGTACATTTACATGCATGTGTGTCTATGAGCGTCTATGGATGTGTATCTGTAGAGTACAAAAAGAGCTGCTGGCGAAGCATTCGCAGATATTGCATTTATGACTATAACTATTAATCGCAATTTCTTTAATTGTGCAAAATACAGACAAAAGGAATCGCTTCGACTTGCAAATTATTTAATAAGTATAATTGTGTCTTCCATGCTTAAGTATCTCTTCATTTTTTAAGAGCATTTGTACGCTCTCTTGCTTTTCTGATTGATCTAACGGCGCTCTCTTGGTCCTTTGCTACAAGTTATGGCGCTCGACCACTTCACCCACACTCCAACTTGTGAGTATGTCTTCATACAACCGACTCAACACACAAATGTAGGACAGTTAGCAATCTGTTATACAACAGATTCGGCATGTTCTGTAAATTGAGTTTTTTCTTTCTTTTTTTTTGTGCTTCTGTTATGCTATGGTGACAGTTTGTCTGCTAACATAACACATACATACATATCATTAATATAAATCGCTGCGTACTTACATTTACATACAGATTAATTGCGATCGCTTTAATTAAAAATTGAACACTTTTACTTATTTAAATCACATTTACAAGCACATAAAAAAATAAAAACAAAAATTGAGGCTTTGCGCAATTTAGTTGAAGTCACGAACACACACATACACACATAAGTATGTATGTAACGCAGCACATTATTCGTGCGGCATTTTCGCATTATATTGCAAACTGCACACAGAACCTAATATGTACATATGCTTGTACATAATTTTCTTGTTATTTAAACTAGTAATTAAACATTTTTGCAGAGTTTTCGGCAACTCCAAATACAAACGGCGCGACGCGTTCAACAGGTCGAGAAAAACTAAGCCTTGCATTGCAGCGGCAAACAGAATGCTCTCTCTAAGAATGTAAAAGTGAAGGCAAGGAATAAAAAAGGAATAACTGTAAATCCGCTCCCGCGCCTGCCATACGTATTTCGCATCTCTGCCCCAGCGCTGCCCGCAGCTGGTATTTTTAGTGCTGATTGGACTTATTGACTTATTTGATTTATTTTAATTATTTGACTTATACTCATACCCATAAAAAACGATTCTGATGTATGTACATATGTAAGTATTGAACATTTTTTATTTAATTGTATTAAATTATTACATTGTTTTTTAAAATATATATTTTTTTGAATTTTCGTTTCTTTTTTGTGGCGTTCTCTGTTGTTAAATATGTATCGACAGCAATATTTCTTGATGTATTAAATAAATAAATAAAAATCTTATTATAGTATTTATAGGCTTTTATTATTAAGCAACTTCCAAGTATGTAATATTTATAAAAAAAAAATGCTTATGTACAAACTACACGGAATTTTCTCATCTACTCTCTATCGAACTCTTCCCCGCCCCGTTAAAAGAATTTCTTCTCAACTTTCTTCAAGAGAAACACTATTGAAAACCCAGTAATATTGAAGTAGATAAAGAAATTAGTCTTTTAAGATAAGCAATGTTAAGCAATGTTTGAATTTATAATGAATTTAGAAATATGCAACCGAGTTAGTTATTCGATTGATGAGTTATTAGAACATTTTTAAAAGCGTAAGCACTACTGCCATTAGCAGCGTGATAAATAGACGAGCCTAACACACGATATACATCAAATTCCGGGTCTTCATTTGAGGCATTCCATGGCGTAACTAATACAATTAGTTGGAGCTGCAGGCCATCTTTTGTGCCTCGTGGTAGTAGCAAACGATGCGGCCAGGCACCCGGAGAGAACTTAATGGACCCTGAACTCTTGAGCTCGTACAGTTCACGCAAGGTGGGCGCATCATGGCTGGTCCACTTAATATCCTCCGAGCTACGCTCAATGATATTCGTACCCAACTGGAGCGGCTGCGTAAAGGCGTCCAGCAAAATTGCGTCTTGCGCTGGAGCCTCTGGCGATCTCAAATAGCTTCGCACCAGGACCACATGTGGCTGCAAGGCATTTAACTCATAGCTGATGTTAAAAGGACGATGATTCAAACGATGCTGACGCGCCACCAAACGCCTTTGGAGCAATTGCAAATTATTGCTGCGCGTTGACAACAGCTGTTGATCCATTAGATTAATCAGATCGGTGCCCATCCACTCCTCATAGGTTTGCAGTTCGGTGATTTGAATACTTTTCAGTGTCAACTGCTGGCTAGCAAATCTGAGATCCCATCCTTCTTCCTTTTTAGTACGCTTTAGTAGCTCGATCAGCTGCACTGCCATGGCACGATAAATCGGATCACGCCAATTGCTTGTTGCCAGGCCCATTAATGTGGCGTGCTCCGATTGCTCACCATTCAGAACAGAATTTATTTTCTTATAGAGCGACCAATAGCTTTCGGCAATGATGCAAGCCGCTTCGGGTGTGTGAGCCAGCAGCTGACGTTTTTGCAATCCAGCATGGATTTGCGTTTGTAGCTCCGCTATCGCTTGGCTCACCATCTCATTCATAGTGCTGATATCAACTTTTGTGGTTTTATAAGGCACGCCACCCGTCGTCAGTAGCTGTGGCTCCCTGAGAACACTTTGTATGCCAGCTAATGCTAATTGTTCTATTGATAGACGCGCCACCAGCTGTTGCAGTTGTTCTAGAAATACGAAATTCTTTCTACAATTTTCAACGTCACTCTGACCCTCCAATTGCTCTCGAAATCTGTGCTCATCCATGGTGCTTCGGAATGCCATCATACGATCGCCATCTATAATTCTAAATCGACGCTGATTTCTATCAATGCTCCACTGGGGACCCTCACCATCGTTTTCCACATCGTTATCGGAGTCTTCGGTTGGCTCCGTTTCTTCTCTCTCAGCCTTCAGCAACAGTTGTCTATTACTTATATAATTCCAATAAGCATTTAAGGCCACATCCGAGCCGAAATGCAGTGTCTGCTCCACGGGAATGGCAACTTCAAGGCCAGGAATCAATTCAACCCCGCTATTTGGTTGCCTGATCCAAGAATTCTTTGGCTTTATAATGCGTTCCAAAACCAACTGCCATCGACGTTTGGTACTTTGAGTTGAAGGCGGTGCCAGTTGCTGCCAAGCAACTCTCTGAGCTGCGATAATAACCTCTCGTTCGTAAAACAATTCCGGAACCAACTCATGCATGGCGGGCATGACTAGATCCCTTGTATCCTCACGCGCCTGCAAAGCCAATTGCAGTGCGTTGACAAAAAGGACGGCATTGAAATGGATGCGAGCGTAGCAGGCGTTTCGCTGAAATGTCTTCCAATTCTTGGCCAATGCCAGGAAACGATACACTCCCAGCAGCTGTTGCGGCAACTCGACTGCCACTTGACTGTAGACGCTGTAAGGAGCAAGTATGCGTCCTTCAGGGACGCGCCTCATAAAATCAGCTAGCAGTGGCCAGCTGTCCTACAAAGCACAGGGAATGTTAAAAGTAAAGGACTTTCTTTAGCACTACTAATTAATAATAAAACTAAGCACATTTCAAGTCTTTTTTTTTTTGCTAATTTTGAAACATCTATCCCAAATTATTATCTTCACTCGATTTAATTATTTTTCATGCATAGTAGCATACCTCTAAATAATTACTTGGATCTGCATTTAAGTGGCGGCCCCATTCAATGAGTTGTGCGTGGAGCAATGGTTTCTGAACCTGCAGCAATAGATTCAATAGAAATCTCTCACGTATTCGCCAAGTCGCCTGCACAGTATTCGTTAGCCTGGGGAAGTTCTCATTACTACTATCGACTGTTGCTTGCCACCAATTTGGCCGCAGACTCCAGCCGATGGCATTGGCTGTGGCACAAACGAAAAAGGCGATCCCACAAAACACTGCAATCACCGACTTCTGCATTTCAACTGATCTGGCATTGTGCATAGCATCCGTTTGATGAACTCGTATTTGTGCTTCGGCTGATATCAGCGAAACAATAATAATAATAATTATTACGTTGACCCCACCCCTTATCAGCGGACGACTCTTATCAGCAGTGCAGCAGCATTCAAACATTTAAAAGGTAATTTTGATTGTTAAGCCATTTACAGATCAAATATTATCACACCTAAATGGGCTTGTTTCGGTAAAATTGTTAGGAATGTTGGGTAGAAATGTTGATTAATTCAGAATTTACCCAAAACAGTCTTCGATTTATTCATTTTTTAACAATAAGTGGACAAGTAAAAAGTAAAAGTATTATAACAAAGCCTTGTAAGATTCAAGAGAAATAATCTCCCAGCCCCGTATCTGATCTAATAGCCGTCTAAATTACATCTAATCGCAAACGATTGATATTTCTAAAGTATTTTACCAAAGATTTCAAAATTTCAAACAAAAGAAAGCATCAGCATAACAAGACGAGTCGACTTAGCCCTGTCAGACAGACAGACGTTCGTCCGTATGAACCCCTAGATCTCAGAAACTGTAAGAGCTAGAGATATCAAATTTTGCACACAAATACGCAGTTTGAATGTATTGCAATATGTTTCTCATTTTTTTCACTGCCACGTTATTAGTGATTTTTCAAGGTCCCGTAATTCTTGGAAATATTACTCATATTAGTGTTAGTGCTTATGTGTCCAATATGTCGAGTTTCAAGCTCTGCCCACAGCTGTTGTTGTTGTTGCTGCTAATGCGCACCGTAGCCCCGCATAGACGTCATCCCTCTGTCAATGCATGATATTGCAATTTCACATAAATATATGTCTCTACTTTTGTTTGTATTCAACTTTTTTTAAATTTTTTTTAATAAATTACATTTCTTTTTATTTTATTTAATTTAATTGTAACTTCTTAACTTTTTTATTTTATTTAATAAATTATATTTTATTTTAATTTAATTTAATTTTTATTTAATTTAAATTGTTGGTGGAAGTGGGCACAGGGTATTGAAGAGTTGAGCCCGCTCGACTCTAGCATTCCTTTCTTGCTTTAAATCCATATACATAATTATTCTAGACGTACGTTCAGAGTATTTCAAGCTCGGGGCACCCGATTTTTTAGTTTTTTCGCTTGTTCCCTATTGGCTCTATGACTAGAACATTGAATGTGAATTGCAGACAGCCCAAGCAATTGCACGCCAGACATTCGTAGATGTTCGCATCTTCGCGTGTGACGTTATCGATGCGTAGAATCCTGTCATTTAAATGAATATTGCTGATGCCATCTGGTAAAGGATTGTCCCCACGGGTCCAAGTAATTGTCGGTTTCGGCTTTCCATGAACAGGACATTTGAGATTCGTTTTGTCGCCAGAGTACACATAAAACACAGTTTTTATGGGCTCGGAATTATCCACATAAGGTGGATAATGTACGCTTGAATATTGCTTGACTGTCATGATGATTTGAGGTTTCTTCAACATGCTCTTCTTCTCTATTCTTAGATATATACTCGATACGGCGCTCCCCATTGCATTTGAGGCATTACATGAGTACCAACCAGCATCTGTTAGGTTCACTTTTCTCAAAAATACTTCAGAAGCATTGTATGTTGAGCTGTGCATTATCTGAACACCATTAAAGGTAAGCTCTTGTTCGGTTCGGCCCGTGCTGTTTGGATGTTTGTACCAAACAATAAATGGCTCCAGTTGCGATTGCTCGACATTGCATTTAAGAGTGACATCATTTCCCTCCACAGCTATCAGAGTTGCAAACTTTTCGTTCATTATCTTTGGAACTGAATGCACTCGAGGCTGAATTCTCAAGATAGTCGTTTTCTCTTTGCAGCCATAATTGTTGCACACTCGACACTTATATTTGCCAGCATCAGAGGGAGTTGTACTTTTTATGGTTAATTTCCAGGTTTTCAGAAGGTAATGCCTCTGCGGCATCATCTCTTTTATACCGGTTTTGTTGTGGTACCAACTAATTTGGAGCGGAGAACTGCCATTCGCCCGACAGCTCAGGCTAATATGGATGCCCTCTGTATGTTCTATTATTTTCGGCCAATCATCAGGTACTTGGAATTTCGGTTCCATTGAATTAGTTCCAGCACTTAAGAATATAACGATACATACACAATGACCGATAGCTGCTGGCAGCCCAAAATTCTTAGTTAGCATCTTGATGGGGAAACTATTTCTTCAACAGCAGTGGCTTATTCTCGATAAAGCTCCGTGAGACGCGCTGCCTTCGAGTTGCTGTTGGCGACTATTTTGCGGAACTGCATATTGTGCATAAGGGAAACATTTTGTACTTTTCGTCTAATTGCTCTTATTATTGTTTCCTTTGATTCGTCTTCCTGTTTCTGTTTTCCCCAGCGTCACCGATTTATATATGTTTGCGGTTTTATTGGATTTTACTATAATTGCAACCGAACCTGAACTGAAGCACAACAACAATAAGGTATGGAACGTCTGACTAATACAATCACTGAACAATTGTGGGCAAATAGTGTTATAAAAAATATGGCCTTATAAAGTCGATTACACGTTCATTATCGCCTTAAAATGAAAGTGAGTTGGATTTTGATGAAGTTTTTTCATCGATCATATGTATAAATTATTTTTTTAATGCATCGTGCATTATCTAATAAAAATTTGAATTTTTTTGGGCCCTTGTATACACGGTTTAAAGAACTAGTTTAGTATTCGTTCTGCAGAGCAGCGTTTATATTTCCTCCTTGATTGTTACACATGTACTCCAAGTCCCTAACTAGCTCGCCAAATGTGGGACGCTGTTTGGGAACGCTATTCCAACACTGCCGCATCATAACGTACATTTCATTTGAGCAAAGCGGCGGTTTTTCCAAGCGATTGCCCATATTCAGGAAATTATACAGATTTGTGGTTGCTGTATGCAAGTAGGGCTCTTCACCTAGCGTTAGGATCTCCCACAACACTACACCGAAACTCCAAACATCACAACTCGAATCATAGTCCTTTCCCTCCAGAGTCTCGATCGACATCCACCTTATTGGCAATTTGTTATTAGGGTTTATGGGAAAGCCGTTTGTTCCTTTGACATAGCGGGAGAATCCAAAATCAGCTATCTTCATGATAAAGTTGTCACCGACTAGAACATTGCGTGCAGCCAAGTCGCCATGGATGCACTATAAATAATTCCTAATGATAAAATATGGAAGACAGCGCTTAGAGATAGGTTCCTACCTTCTTCGATTCTAAAAAATGCATGCCGCGCGCAATCTGTACACCAAACACCATTAGTTCCTGTTCGGTTGCGATGCTATCCCTACATATCTGTTTTAAGAAGTCCTTAAGGTTGCCATGGGGTGCATACTCCATTATGGCCCAGATTGGCTCTTCCTGGGTGCAGCAACCCACAAAATTTATGACGTTTGCGTGTTTTCCAACTAGCTTCATAATTTCTATTTCGCGCAGGCCGTCCGGGTCATTTTTTTTGAACACCTTGACCGCCACAGTTGCACTCTTTCCGTTGGGGAGAAAGCCCTTTAGTTTTGCTTTCAATACATATGCGAAAGAACCTTCACCTAATGGAGAATCTATCTTCAACATCTGTCGCGGTAACTCCCAGTTCATGAATATCGGAACCTCGTAATTATTACTATCTGAGCTAGGATGGGAGCTCAACACGTCCAAGCGACCCCCGCGTGGTTTTCGAAAACACAAACGTACCAAAATGCAAACTAAGGCTATAAAGACTAATAAAATTAAAATCGCTCTTGTTCTCACAAGCTTTCCCCATATAGCTAGATATTCCTTTAAATTATAATCATTTACGTTTACTTTGTAGCGGAAATAAATCATACCTAACGGGTTGAGTAAGTAGCAGTCGTAAAGCCCGTCGTCCTCTAAAATTGCGTCCCTAATGTGCAATGACCAGTCTTTAAGCACCACCCTGGTACTATTCAGAACTTGGCCGTTATGTGCCCAAATAATAACCGGCTTAGGGTTTCCCGTTGCGGGACAGGAAAGCGTTATATTACCGCCCAACTGAAAATCCTGTTGTCGATGTAAGACTTCCGCAAACTCGGGTTTATTCGACGCTTTTCGTTTTTGTATTTTTGCTCCCTTTTCATTATTTTCAGCTTTGTTCTTAACAACGACTACTGCTTTGAGCTGATGGCGTATTTGGTTCGATGGCATTTCCCAATAACAGTCGTATAATCCACTATCTTTAATGTTTGCATTGTTTATAGTCAAAATGTTTCCTTTAACTACGACATTATCTCTGTAGTCATCTAATACATTTCCGTTGTACAACCAAGTAACATTATTGTGACTGTCACAGTCAAATTTTACATCACTGCCCACGTCTATGAGTGCACCCCCCATTCTAGACTTGGTCTCAGTTTCATTAGCCTCCAAATAATGAGTTGTTAATCCATGTATGGGGCGTTGTAAAGTTAAAAATAAAACGGAACTAATGATGGCACAGCATCTTACATTAATCAGCAATTTTCTCGCAATCTCCATTATTTCAACTTCAAATTTAACACTTTTCATTAAATTCGAGCGAATTTTATGAATTTTTCTAGTGTTAACTCGACCGTCTGTTTCCCGATACTGAACTGGTGATTAATTTTTTTGAGTGAAACATAATTTTACTGCGTTACAGCAATGACTCACAGGTACCGGCTTAAAATTAATTCGAAATTATATTAGTAATTTTATCAAAATGTTTAACTCGACCGTCTGTTTCACGACAATGAACTGGTGATTAATCGATCTAGGCATGTACATCCCTCTGTCCGTCCGTCTGTCTGTCTGGATGAACGCAAGCATCTCAGAAACTATAAAATCTAGAATAACCAAAGTTGATATCCAGATTCTCCTAGGTCCGAGAAAGGACGAGTTTTTTGGAATTTTCGCCCCTTTCGTCAATACTGTCCACATTTCAAAAGCCACATAAACCATACTTCGTGGCACTACTACCGTTTTAGGACGTTTTTTTCTTATGAGATTCGTCTTAAAACGAACGACCTACACGATTAAATACTGAGAACTACAAACTATATATAATGGGGGCAGAAATGCCAATTGATATAGTTGACAGGCACGTATTGGAATGAGCTGGATGTACGCACCGTTCAGTTCGATGTTTGTCGAAACATTTTGAATAAAAATCATTTATTGTCCTCAAAACCATGATACAAAATGGGGATCGAAATAAAAAGAATGTTTAAACCAATAACACCTTTGTTTTTAGAAGTCTACAAGTATCTCAGTTCAATCAGCTATGCTAGAGTAGCCCGCTTGGCCACAAACTCTCTGGAGCTCTTCTCCTTGTTCGTAAAACGTGCGTACCTGTAAAATCGGAGAGGAACGAAAATGTTTAGATAAATAAATGAAGGCGATTATTAATATACTCACATTTTCTGATATTTGGCCACGTCAGAGGGGCTCAGCGATGGGCGCGTCGTCTGGAAGGACTCTACTAGATGTTTCTGTCTCACTGTAATTGTCTTTGGTAATTTCTGGCATAGGACAACAAAATGATTGATTAGTTTTGTTTGTTACAGCTTAGATGATTTATTGATGAGTATTTTGTTGCTGGATGAAATTTCTGAAATTAAAGCCACAATTCGTTTGGCGAGTAACGCAGTTGCCACAGGCCCTCCCCAACCTGCCTCCTATGATTAGTTAAACTTATAGGTATATTGATATCTATGTGGTAAAGTCTCAGTATCGGACGCATCATCCTCATAGTCAGATGATGGCGGTGTCTCCAGAACGGGCATGGAGAGATCTAAATAAGCATCGTTGGGATTACTGCTAGCCTGCTTGAGTATACCCTCCAAGTTATCCACCAGTTCGGTAAAGGTGGGCCTTGCACATGCATCGAAGTGCCAGCACTGCCGCATCACTATATATATATTGATGGAGCATTGATTTGGTTTATCCATTCGCTGACCCGTTATCAGATAGCTGTACAGCTCTTCGGCAGACATAATTTGTGGATAAGGCTGATCGCCATAGGTCATGATCTCCCATAATAATACACCGTAGCTCCATACATCGCTCTGCGAGTCGTAGAACTTTTCCTGCAATGACTCCGGAGCCATCCACTTGATGGGCAGACGTCCATTGGTATTCTTGCGATAATATTCGGTGTCCTGAATATCACGAGCTAACCCAAAGTCGGCTATTTTCATAACATAACCATCACCGACAAGTATATTGCGCGCCGCCAAGTCCCGATGAATGCACTGCAGAGTAATGAAGGTATATTAGCCATCGTTTCGAAAAGGATGCAACCTCTAAGAGTGACCTACCCGTCTGGAAGCCAGATACTCCATTCCACGAGCAATCTGATAGGCAAACCCGGTTAGCTCTTTCTCGCCGAAATGCTGCTGCGACGCCTTGTCATCCAGGTAGCCATCGCTCTCACTGCGTCGCTGCTGTCCGCGCGGACGATGCTCCCGCAGAAAATCCTTTAGGTTGCCGTGCGGCGCATACTCGACGATAACCCAGAGGGGACCGTTTTGGGTGCAGCAGCCCAGCATATTGATAATGTTTTTATGCTTGCCAATCAGCTTCATTACCTCCATCTCGCGCACAAGACTGGCCATATCCGCATCCGTGTGCTCCTCCTTAACCATCTTAACGGCCACAATTCTCTCGTTTGTATCGCTCGGACCAAGCAGCTTGCCATCGGCCTCGGCCATCACAACTCTGCCGAATGCGCCCTCGCCCAACGTGGATCCCAAGTCCAGCTGCTCACGAGGTATCTCCCAGTTGGAGTCTAACGGAAACTCGTACTCGTTAAATGGTTGTGTCGGATCCATATTGCCACCCGTGGCGGAGAATGTGGAGCGCTGTTTCTCAATCTTTATGATGGGTATCTGCAAGTCGCTAGCCCCACACGAGTTCCCATCTACGCTGGGCGCTCGATAGATGATAACCTTCTTGGTCCATTGGTGGACCGTTTCAATGCGATGCTTAAGCAGTTTATCGCGTCGCATACGCCGCAGCATATAGACTGTGAACGAGGTTCCGAGTACGAAGAGAGCAACAAGGACGACAGCAGCAACAGTTACCTCGACTGGATGGGAGCGCAGTAGTTGCTGGTAGGGCAGTCGATCTCTGACATCCAGATAGGCACTGGCCATGGTCTCGCCGAGCCCATTCGAGGCCAAGCATACATACCAGCCCGCCTGTGCGTGCGTCACGTTCTTCAGTATCAGCTTATGGGGCACATCTGTTGCATTGAATACGATGCGCCGAACACTTGTATCATTGATCTGATCATGTGGTACAAAGCGATTGCCACGCAACAAGCGTATCCATCCAATCTTTGGCTCCAGGTCGGACAAGACGCGACACTCCATTATGACGGTGGTGTTGACCAAAACCGTCTGATTTTGCGGATATTTATCACTGATGATGGGCGGATGGCGTAGGCGATTGTTAACAGCGACGCTAAAATTAAAGTTGATGCAGCCGAGGATATTGCACGCCTCACATTTGTAAATACCATTGTCATCGGTGACGACATTATCCATGCGTATCGACCACTTTTTGATCAACAAATTGCCGTTTATGCGCTTCACTTCTTCCCCATTACGTGTCCACGTAACGATGGGAGCGGGTGTGCCATTTACCGGGCAGCTGAGCATCAAGGATTCTCCGGAATTTAAATGTTGCAGATATTGCATGCTATCTGGCTTCTTAAATACCGGAGCACTATATCCATGCTCCGCACCTCCGACATGGCCAATTAGCTTTAAAGGCGTGACCGTTGTCGTTGTGGTTGTTGTTGTTGTTGATGTTATCACTGAGGTTGTTGTCGAAGTTGCTCGGTTCTTTGGCAATACCTCCAGGTATGCGCTAGCCAGGCTATATCCATTTGCATTGTACGCCTTACAAGTGTACCAGCCCACATCTCTGGGCCCCACCTTGCCCAGCTGCAGAATATGTTCTGTGGGCTTAAAGGTGCCCATCCTTCGGGCTTGACTCAGATTTGCCTCCGCTTCGGCTCTGGTACGATTGGTTCCGTACGGATGTCGATACCAGAGAAAGCGTGTTTTCTCCATTTGTGACGGCTCCACAGCACACTTAAAGCTGACATTCTCATCCTCCATGATGGTGGCGTTTCGTGGCATACCTTCGCTTATGATTGGTATTGCTGGTTTCGTCATTGGGGGACTATCTTCACTGCTGGCATTGTTTAGTAGCCTGATGTCCAAGCGATCATCCTGAATTTCCGGATCATCGTTTCTCCTTACTGTGTTCCAATTGCCAATGTCGCCAGCAGATCCAACAGAAGCCAACGCGCCCTCGCACTCACAGATTCTGCTGCCAACACCAAAGCTGAAGATGATGGCGATAATGGTGACCCACAAACGGCAGCAGCCGGCAATCTGCATTGTCAGCGCTGGTGGGTGATTGCTACTCTCAAGTGGATGTAGAGTTCGAAGATTTGAATTGTCGTTGCCAAAGCGCTGGCTAAGTGTCTCTTATAGTCTGTCTGTTTGTTTGTTTGTTTGTTTCTCTCTCTCTCTCTCTCTCTCACACACATACACACACACCTTTTATTTTTGTTGCGGAGCCATTTTACACGCGATTTTTCAAACCGTTTAATATTATTCTTTAATATTTTATTGCTGTATGCCAAGTTATTTTGTTATGTTTTTTTTTAAATTTTTTTCTGCTACAATATTCGCTTCAATCGGCAGCGCTTGTGCCGCGATATTCGAACAAAAATATCTAAAGAAAAAAGCGTACACAATTATGTGCACTGCCTTTGTAATGAGTTGTTATTTTTGTATTGTTGTTGTTGCCGTTGTTGTTGTTGTTGTTGTTGCTGTCGTCACCCGCGCGCGTCGCTTAAATCAATTAAATCACATCGTGGCCATTGCCGCCACCGCTGTCTTGGCCAACAAGCAATGCACACACACACACACACACGCACACACACCAAAACACTCCTGAACGGTGGTTCCATAAGAAGTCTTAATATATGTATGTACTCGTATATACTCGTTTGTATGTAAAAAGTATGTGCATATATGGCATTGGTTCCAATATGCGTTTTTTTTTTTTCTTTCTTTTTGCTTCATTTGAAAAATCATACAGTTAGAGATTAGCAAATAATAATAAGCAATTGTTAAAGTCAACTTTAATTTGACAGTGGGCCGAGACCAGACACGAATTAGTAAACATTCTGAAGCCGCTTTTTGCGTGGGGCGTGAATGTTTTTGTTGGGCTTTTACCTTTTGAGGAAGTTCCCAATGATGCCATCAGATTTGGGGAAATGCACAAAAATCTGCGCATAGCTAACTAAGCCTGTTAGAACGTAGATGATAATCAACAACAACAAAATCATCTATTCCAAACTGTGGGGACTCATTCGATTTATCAATATACATATGATATATCGTTTGATTTATCAACAAATATTTATAAAAGCAAATGATTTACATTTTACCCCATTTGTAGAAATAATGCAATTCTTGACTGTAATAACTGAAGCTTCTTATCGATGGATACCAAATACTGTGTACTGAGTTGTCGTTGAATAACTTCTGATGCATCATACTATAATCGGATTCTCTGTAATAGTAATCTACGTAGCCAAATAAAGGTTCTACAATATATCAAAGGTTTCTTTGTAATGTACTGTCACTATTTAAATAAGGATTTTTATATAATATTTTTGTAATGTATATATGAGCTCATGAGCTATATGAGTCAAGCTTTTCTAATGCTTATTTTCGAATGAAAACTTTAAAGACATCTTTGAGACCATTGGATTATTCCCATTCTCTTATTTAGGAGTCCTTCGTTTTAAAAATTCCATCGTTTATACAAGTATGTAGATAAAGGGACACTTAAATTAATCAACTCTTTTCAGCTTGATTAATTTAATTTTTTTCTCCATCAGATCAGAACTATAGCTGTGAATAACTATTGGATACATTTAATAGGGGCCACCATTCAAACAAAAAAATATTTTATAATTTGCTAGCTATTTTAAAACTTAATCCAAAACATTTGGATAAACAATATTTTTTGTTTTTCCATTATGAACAGGAACAGGCAACATAAAGTTGGCCATGTGAAAAACATGATTCCTCCAAATTCACACCTCAATTCCCATCTGAAAATAGTTTCAATTTGACAGCGAAATCCCCATTAACAAAATGATCCGCCATTTATTGAATTCATTTGTTACACAAAATGTGATAAATAAAGAACCGCTCGACCGATTTTGTGCAAACTTCACATAAACCATCTACTACATAGTCCGAACAAAGCCTAAGCTTTTGGTTTGGATGGATGAGCCCGTTCTTGAGTTATAAAATTACAACGAAAACTGGCATTGATTTTTATATATACTATACATATATAGAAGATAAAAATTAAATTGTTTAAAAATGAAAACAATTATAGGATCATCTTTCTTTTAAATAAAAAGATAATATTCATTCATGCTAGCCTTTTATGAAGAAAGGCGGATGATTATACATTATTTGCAAATATAAAGTACAATCTATTTGTGTAGAGTATACAACCAAAAGAGAAAAAGGATGTCTCGTATATTCTTGAGTGCGAATGTATGTAACTAAAGTCTATATTACTGATCAAGACTCGTCCATATAGCCATGTCCATCTGTCCCGATGTATGTGCCAAATTTGATAAAAACAGAGGAAATTAAATGACGATAGTTAATCCGTATGGAAGTCTCAGACCACTGTGCAATAATGAAATTTATTGGTTATTTTTTTAGGTATGCGACAAGTGTTGTATCGCCGCGATTGTTGTTGTTTTGACTAATGTTGTTTTTGTTGAGGAAATTGCAGTTGTTATTGTTGATGTTGATGTTGCTGTAGTTGTAGTTGTAGTTATAGCTGCTACTGGCGATTTCTGTTTGATATAAGTGAGTAAGTATGTATGCACACGCGTCTCAACTTTTAATTTATTCATTCCCTTATATTGTTGTTGTTTTTGTTTTCTTGTTATTGCCACATATGTTTGAAGTTTTTTGTTTTTTGTCAGTCATTCAATATTGTTAGAAATCAACGCGCCATATACACATGCCAAAAACGTTTAAATCACACCTTTGTTTTTGCAATTTATTAACGTTATTCATATATTTATTGCCAATATTTTTGGATTTTTTGTTGTTGTTCGATGCGACATTTGCCATTTCGATTCTAAAACGAATTTGGCAAGCTATTTTAAATATTTGAGCGATTAACAAAATGTTGAGAATTTTGTTATCAAAGCTGTGCCATTTAAACAGAACTTGGCCAGACACTCAAATGGTTTTATCGAACTTGATGGCAAACATTTATCAAATCATTTATGAAAGCTGTTGGTTTTAATTTTTTAAAGCAACAACAAACAAGTGATTTTTTTGTCTTCTTTTTTTTTTTTGCAAAATCACGTTCTTTGTCTTAAAAAAATTGTCACGAAGTGTTTTATTTGGTTGTCAATCTTTTGCGGCACCCCACACGCATTCGTACCTCACACACACACACACACATATATATATATATATATATATATATATATATACACACACATGCGCATTGGTGGCAGCACAGTTGGTGGGACAGGGCAGACAAAGGGCACGGCGCCTTAAGTTTTAGGAGCATGTGCATTTCCGCTTGGATGCAAATTTTTTATTTCCTTTTTCGTACGCGCGCGCGCTTTTTCAAGAAAAGAACTTTGCGGCAGAGAGGACATGTTGGTGTTGTTATACACTTCCAAAAGGGTATAATGCATTGGCACTGCTATTTGTAACGGATAGAGAGGTAGGCGAGAGAACCATCTGATTCCATGAAAAATTTTATTTTACTATTGAACCCAAGCAAATAATCAGGCAAATTGGACTACTATATTATAGAAGATATCCAGCGATTTTAGGATATCCACCGAACCTTTCTATATAACGTTTAAGCATAAACTTGAATTCAAACAATTTTCAACGATTTAGCTTGAAGCGGAGTTCTTGGATTTTGGATCCAAATTGGATATTTATCAGTTTTTGGACAGTCCCATTGATTTATGTATCCACCGAACCTATAATAATCCTTTCTATATAACGTTTAAGCATAAACTTCAATTCGAACAATTTTCAACAATTTAGCTTGAAGCGGAGTTCTTGGATTTTGGATCCAAATTGGATATTTATCAGCTTTTTGACAGTCCCATTGATGTATGTATGTAAGGGTATGTAAATTTCGGCACGCCGAAGTTACTTTATTTTAAGCTAACATCGACTTCCGACGAACAACAACAACAGCAACAAACACAAGAACCATATAACGTATTTTGAACCAACCACCACGAGTCAACCGTATTGCTTGAAAGTGCGCACACAACTAAAAGTAACGTTCGATCGACAACTTTGGATATGTGCGACGACTACGACGACAACAATAACGATGTCGCCGACAGCGGTGGCGATGTTGGTGGAGATGGTGCTGGTGCTGTTGCTGGTGCTGTTGCCAGTTGCTGATCGTCGGCAGCGACAAAATGGACGCAAAATAAAAAGTTTACATAGACTGTATTCAATAATATTTGTTGATATGTTCATAGAGCTAAGCAGCAAATCACAACAACGGCTCTCATCGCAATCCTGAGTACTCACACACACACACACACACTCACACAAACACACAAACACTCGAACAACTCGTAAACTATGTGGTCTGTTGGCCCTTTTTACCTGTGCAAGGTGGCTGGCTCTTGGACTCGGGTCTCCCGCATGTGCTCACTATTGCAATTGTTTTTTATATTTTCTTGTTATTATTGCAAGAGAGTATTTTGTACATATATTTATGTACATATGTATGTACGTAGAATGTATATTCTAAGCATGTTTGTTGGCCGCCACCGCCGCCGCCGCTTGTGGTCGGTGTGTGCTGCTCACTTGCATTCTTTATTATCGTGTTTGCTCGACGGCTTAATTTATGCGCAGCTCGACAAAGGTACCAAGGCGGCTTCCACCAACAATATCCAACCAATATCACAGCAACAACAGCAATCACAAAAGAAAACATATTATCGCTGGCATGTCGAAGATTATATACGCTTCCAATGTTACTTTCTAAAGGCTCTATAAGCTTCAAAAAACACACAAGGAGCACAAATAGATAAGAAGTAAGAGTTGCGCACAATCTCAATTATAACTCCCTCTAGTTTGTTTAATTTCCCGATAATAACTACCCTTTTCAATATTGCATTATCTTATATTAAAATTCCGATGGTTTCTAAGACAGCTAGCAACGAAATGTCTTTGTTGTTTCAGGGTTTTAAAACTTAATAAATAAAATTTCCAAATAAAATCAAATTAATAAAACTTCTGCCAAAATTAATAAATAAAATTTCCAAATAAAATCTAATTAATAAAACTTCTGCCAAAATAAATAATTTCCAAATAAAATAAATTGATTTTAACAACTCAAAGTAATATTGGTTCAGGCTACGATTCTGGTTATGGTTCGGCTTCCGAAATAAAATATGATTAACAATTTGTAAAATTATAAGTTGTAAATATTTCGGTTTTTTAGACAAACACTTCTAAGAAACGTTTGAATTCCGCTTTATTTAAAGCCGAAGTAGAGATTTAAGGTTTTCTTATGTAAACGTAAAACACCCAACTGTAGTATAAGCATATGGTGTCCTATATTATTTTTACCTTAATTCAACAAATCTTGAAAGTTTTAAAACTATTAAAAATCGTATATGAAATAAAAAGTGATATCTATACCTAATTGTGTATAAGAAATATTAAAAAGATTGCTCCATACGTATGTGTGTATATCTTCAGAAGCATCATCCGACTCGTAACTATTTCGATTGTTACGAAAATCAAGATATAATCAAAACACCTTTTTAAAACTACCTACACTAGACACTACCTACTTCCATTGTCTTTTGCTTTTGGCTGTTGTCAGGGCTGTTGTTGTTGTTTTTGCTTTTGTACGTGCGCATGCGCGATTATCGCATATCAATAAGGAAATATCCGTTACGTGACTTATATCTAAACCATGCTGCAGTTGGCCCGCATTGGCAACCTGAGATCCTTTTTCTGCGAGGCGTTCCAAAATAGTTGAACGCTACCCCCAAAACTCATAGAAACCGAACAAAAATGCCAGGCACGTACCAAGCCAAACCAAAAATAGTTAAACTATGTCTGCGTACAAGTGCAATGCAAGCGATTGCAGCAGCCTAGGCAAAGAAATGTGGGAACCACTCGTACTCGCTCACTTCCCGAGCGGATGCTCTAATGATGATGGGCTTTGCGCCATATCCGGCATAAATGAATATCGAATAAATGTATATGAATAGAATGGCCATTTTATTTGACTCACCTCATGTCCGAATTGTGCGAGCGCCTCCTTAACCGCTGCCATGTTTGCCGAGGTCAGAATGCTTTGGATATCGGCGCCACTATAGTTTTGCGTTTTATCCGCAAACCATTCAAAATCTACGCACTCATCCAGATTGAGAGTCGCACTGAGGGCCTCAAAGATGCGCACCCGTGCCACAGCATCGGGTAGCGGGCACTCGACCAAACGGTCCAAGCGTCCCGATCGCAATAGCGCCGGATCGAGCAGTTCGGGTCGCGATGTCGCCGCTATAACGGTTACGCCCTGCAACCCTTCGACACCATCGAGCTCCGTCAGCAACTGGTTGACCACACGATCCGTCACACCCGTCGAATCATGTCCACGCTTCGGCGCCAAGCTGTCGAACTCATCGAAGAAGAGGACGCAGGGCTTGGCGCTGCGCGCACGATTGAACAGATTACGTACATTCTCTTCACTCTGGCCAATGTATTTGGCCAGCAGTTCTGGTCCTTTCACCGAAATAATACGCAAGTTCCAACAACTAGAAAGCTTCGTGACTAAAAACGTTTTGCCTGTGCCTGGTGGGCCGTAAAGCAAGACTCCAGCTTGATTGCGCAACGGCGAGTCACTGAAGATGGTGGGATAACGCGAAGGCCACATTAGCACCTCCTCCAGCACAGCCACCACAGGTTCTAGGCCGGGCAACTCCTCTACGCGTAGCTCGCCAGAATCCTCCGATTCGACGCCAGTCTTTTGATTGCTCTCGATTCCCTGTAGACAATATGAATTCGTATGCTCTAGAGATTGTACAAGTTCCTCATTGGTGAGCGTCGGTTGCGTCTTGTCTGCGAACGAGGATAAAAAATGGGTGATATTTTTGATATTTCTTAGATATTAGGAAAAATTATAAAAACAAGTAAGATACTCATATATCGTATATTTAATGTTGAATGAATAAAGCCCGCTTAATTATATTACTATTAAACCAGCAATATGTTAGAGATGTATTTTTTTAAATTCTTCAAGCAGCAAAAATTCGTTCAACATTGGGAAACAACAAATAGTCGGGTCAACAAAGCATTAGTATAGAAGAATATAAATATCACTTTAGGATACAAAATATTTAAATTGAAAAAGCATGTTGATATATACTTTTAAGCCCTTTCCATCAGATTCCTCCACGTACTACATACTTGAATATGTGTATAATATATAAAAAGATTTCTGGTTAAAAAATATAGATGTACATTGAACAATAGAAAAAAATACTAATCTACTGTATACTTTTTGATATATAAAGATTAATTATGCTGATCTGATTGGTTGTCGATTCAATTTATGATGATGATACACTACATTTTTAAATATTCCCAATAACAAATCGTTCGTTTGATTTTTTTATTCCATTCATCAATTATTGGTTAATTACCAGTTGGAATTTGTTCTATCATTATGATGTATTGGGAATGGGAAGGAGAATTTAAAATTCCATGATAAGTTAATAGAGCATAGACTTAAGAAATAGTATCTCTACTCACTGATGCGGTAGGCGTAGAAAATGGCGCGCTCCACAAACTGGACCAGGTCACATTTTTTGTAGCCCTCAGTCAGATTGGAGAACTTCACTAGATCGAGTTTTTGTGCCGCAATGTGGCTGCACAGCTCACGCAAAATGATCTCACGATCAGCGCGCTCTAAGCTGGGCAGACGCGACACAGTTTGAAAGACATGACGACCGCGTGGAGAGCTCAGGCGCTTATTAAGTAACTGCAACTCACTGACTGTGGCAATTACGGCTATGGCATTACTACTGGTATACTGCATGATTAACTGGTGCACTGTGTCCGCCATGCGATTGAAGTATTCACCATCCTGGCTAGCCTGCTCAGTGGCCGCATGTGCCAGCACATCCAAATTTTCGAGGACCACAATGGCGGGTGCATGCAGCAGACAATTCGTGAAAATGGTGCGCAAATCCTTTTGTATTGACTCGGTTTTGCGACCCTTACTGCGCGAACAGTAGAATATATCAAAGTAACAATAGTCGGGTTTGCGCGACAATTGGTCCAATATACGCTCCACCAGCACAGTTTTGCCGGTTCCCACAGCTCCGGTTAGCAACACATTGCACTGTCGAAGCACTGAATTGTCCGAATTAAGGCATAGATTCATGCGTAGCTCTTCCACCACCTTGTCCACAATGCTATCGTATTCGGGCAAGCGTATGAGATCCTTGACGCTCAACGGGGACTTTGGCGTTGGTTGTTCCTTGATAATCTCATTGACTGGCCGCACTAAATCAGCGGCGTAAATCTTCGACTCTTTGAGAAACTGTGCATCAACCACGCAATAGCGAAAATGCTCGGGCAGTATGCCAACGGTGACCAGCAAATCGTCCTCCAATCGCACTACCTCCTCCTGATTAAACAGCATCGGCGCCACATTGGTGCGCTCAATGACAAAGCGTTTAAATGCATTTTCAACAATCTTGTAGTGCGTTTTTTTGTGCGCAAACAGCTCGATTTTCTCCACAAAATTCACAACCGTTGTTTTTGGCCGTAGCACCACACGTTCCAACTCCTCCAAGTTCAGCAATTTCATTAAATTTGCGTTCACTTCAATGCTGGGATGTATCGTTGCAGGCAATTCGGCATCGCTGAGTAATCGTACACGGACATAATGCTCTTTCTCGCCTGCCGTGCGCAGGCAGTAGAACAAATCTAGATCCATGAACTCGGGCAGATGCGTACGGGTTATATACACATCTGATTCCTGTGCTTGCTCCTGCCACAGGCCTCGAATCACTCGAAACTCAAAATTGCGCGCATTTTCATGTCGCAAATCCTTCTTTATCCGTTCCATGTGATCCTGTCGTTTGTTACGCGCCTGAGGATTATGACGCTGTAGCGTATCTTTAACACTGCTCATAGTAGTGGAGTGCGACAGTCCATTGGTGAGAGGCGCTTCATCTGAACGCAACTGGGCGCTTGTCTTACTACGAGAAAGTTTACCACCTCCGTCATTTTCATCCGCAACAATACCATTGCTGAGTCCCTTGTACAAATTGGGCGCTATTACCAGCTCTGTGTTGTGATCGATGCGTCCATAGCTAAGATGTGGCTTAAGGCGATCTGCAGAACATGACATTTTAATGACGGCCGCCACTTCAAATAACAACATATTTACCCACTGTCAACGCAACTTGCATGGACTTGTTGATCCAAACGAGCAGTATCTGTGTTGAGTTCACAATGCGCGTCTGCTCTAGCACACTGCCAGAAATTTTCTCGCTGCTAAGTTCCTGCAATAAATTAGTATTCAGAATGAATGTTCACACGCGCACAGCGGGTCAATGGCAATGTGCCGGCGAAATCACAATAGAATCATACACAAATAAACAAAAAGACGCCCGCACAAATACCACAATTTCGATATAAAAAGAGCCGCTATAATTAGCCCCAAACACTCACAATGATCTCCCAATCTTTGGCCGAGACGGGTGTAACGTGCACGCTGCGCAAGTTGAGGACGTCAGCGATGAGCGCACACTTGACCAAATCATTTTCATGCAGACCTACGGCAAGAGCAAGAGTAAGGCGGAGCAGGTATAGTATAAGTACTATATAATGTACATACATTCAATATTACCACATAGTAGTGGGTGCTAGTATTTTGGCAGCACATCTGTGCGCCAGTTGTTAAGTAACTCACCAATCTCCTTAGCGGCCCTGGCATTGATCCCAATTTCTGTGTCTTTCAAACCACCGCCGCCACCCCCTTGCGGCGACCAAGAGACATAATGAACACGTCCATTGTATTGTAAGCTTAGGCAACCTGTATCCTATACAATCATCAGTTCAAATTACCATTATTAGTATAACTTATCTAATCGGGCTGTACCCGCGGACTTTATACTTACATATGTCGAAACAACTCCATAGTACTGATCAGGTAGAACTAGGAAGTTGTTTCTAATGGGCCGATAAACCACTTTAAAGGTGCGTTTGAACATTTTCGCCAGTAAAGTGCACTGTGTGTCACACTTTCCCGAAGTTCAACCGCGTGTACTCTTGTTTAAAAACATATTTAAACTAAATACTGTTGCGTTGCGGAGCGCAGTGCATGATTCTCAACGATTGTCAGCGAACAGCTGAGCGCGTCTATGGTGCTGCCACCTAAAAACGTTAAAGCAATGTGGCAGCACTCTACGATTGACCTGTTGCGCCTTATGAATTGCTTGGCAACTCTATTCGCGCACTACTGCTAGTAAAGAGTTTTTCAAAAATCATAGAATTGAAATGTTTTTGTTTGGCTAGTTTATTTGGTTAATAATTTATTTATTTATTTAAAATAGTTAAAGTGTTCATATAATAGATATAATTTGTATATAAATTGCAGTGTTTCGTATACCATGCGGCTGGTTTTTGCTTATTAAATTAAATAACACAATGTTCAAACAATCAATGCAGCGTGCTGGCTGACTTATTAATTTTCTTTTAGCAAACAAATAAGAAACACGTTACGAAAGGATATGCATAAGGACCATGTCGGCTAATAGCAATGGCACAATATAGAGTAAACTATTCGTTTATAGTCAACTAAATTCGTAATGTTTTCGGGTGTTAAAAGACACTAGACGTGTTCGATTAAAAATGGTCGTTACAAAGCTTTGAATTATAAGATTTATCAATTTTTTAAATGCATTTTGCTTGTTATAAAATGTGTAAATAAACTGTTCTATTTCAGTCTTCGCCAGTGTCATGGCTCGTGAGAGTAAAGTTATAAATTGCATATTTGTTGTATAAAAATCTACGTAAAATTGTATCAAATGCCTATAATTGTTACAAATTGTGTAAAAACTGTCTAAAAATGTTTGTTTATAAAAATGGATTTCTTTCTTGCAATATTTGGCGATTTAATAGCAGTGTAAGTATTTTTCATAATTCATTATATTAATGTATGTATATTGGTTTTGCCTTCTCATCTTGCACTCAAAAGGATTGCAATATGCAATTTCAAATAAAAAATATTAACAACCAAATCATTTAAATAAAAATGTACAATTTAATATATCATCATCATATACTCAGCATACAATTGTTCACTTAATAAAAAATACTAAAAGTAAATAAAATTATGTTAAAAAATACATGCTTTAAGGTAAAAAATAAAACCGGTTGCCATCTCAGATGCGCAGATATTTCATTTTGGTAAAAACTTATTATACAAAATACATATGTATGTATTTCTATGCATATATATTTACACAAATTAAATTTAAATCATTATTTAACAATAAAATTTGATAAATACACGGTTAAAATTTTAATGCTTATTTCCTATGCAAATAAAACGCGAAACAAAATTTTGGCGATAAAAACTGTATCAAAAATGAGATTCACAGAGCGTACTGAAAAGTACAAGTTCGTGAGTTCGAGAGTTCGGATTCGAGTTGCGGTAAAAACATGCGATGAAAACTAAATTTTAAAAATAATATTGGAAAGGAAACGTTCGAAGAAAGTACAGGGTGGGGAATGTGTGCGTGTGTCCAAACAATTTAATCGCCCAATCACATATTGCAGTATTTGTTTTTAGTTAAATTTTGATTTTCACTTTTGCTTCATCCTTGCCACCAACAAATTTAGCTTAGCAATCCATTTCCTCCAGCGTGCGCGACAAACGATTATTGTCAATGCGACGGCGCTGGGAGCGACGAACGGCATCCGCACGCCTATAAGGTTCACTCTTTAGACCCAATAGTATGTCCTCCAGCGCCCCATTATAGACCTCATCCTGTTGCAGCAGCTTCTTTTCGCGCACCGAATGCGCCTTGCTCTTCAGCTCATTGATGACGGCATCCTGCAAGGACAACGCGCAAGGTGTAGGCAACTGTTTGCATCATCATCATCAACAACAGCAGTAGGTAGGACCATCAATAGGAATTAGGGGGGAAAGCAGAAGTAGAAAAACAGCTTAGAATTAGACATAATCCGACACCAAGAAATACATACTATGTAAGTAGTAAGTACTGGAAACATAAGCATGTATATATAAGTATTAAGTATATTCGATTTGTGCGGTCCTAGTTCAATTTGGTGAATTAGATCTTCTAGTTCTTATATTTAATTATGAGCTATATCCAGATATTACAATCGATAGTTTCAATTTTTTACTAAAGAAATAGGGACTATTTAAGATAGCTTTCAGATTAGTTTTAATATTCGATTTTGAAACACAAAAATGAATTTGTAAAAGTATTTTTTTAAATGATAATTGTTTCATAGCTTCGATTTTAAAAGGCATATTAGAAAAGAATAATAATTTTAGATAATCTATAAACCATATTCTAATAGGTCACATCATTGGGAGACTATTCAAATGAACTAGCCGACCAAATCACTTTTAGAACCAGACCAACACATATCTTCTGGAAATTAATACCATGTATTATGAAGCAAGCAAATTCTTAGCTGCATTAACTATGGGATTAGTAGAGGCGGACTAGCGGGCAAATGTTGGGGGATTATTAGGCATTATGCGTGTTAAGTATGGAGGGGGTGTAGCGCAAAACAATAATTGTTAGAAACACACACAAATGCACACACAGGTCACTTACACGCTAGGGAACAGGCACAGGTATTAACACAAAACACCAAGCATCCATCAACAGGCCGCAGCCCACCGCCCACTGCTAACCGCCAACATTGTGGTTGCTTGCCTGGCTGGTGCAGTCTTATAAGGAGGTTGAAGTGGTAGTGGGATGTATATGGTGGTAGTTGGGTGGGGTTCTGTTTTTTTTTTTTTTTTTTTTTTTTTTTCATAAGTATTTAGTTGAACACCCGTCCCGCCCATGAATACGACTGTTTGTTTGTTGTACGAGTATGTTAGGGATATGGGCCACCCCAAGAGCCAGAACCAGAACGTGCGCTTAGCTATGTTTGAGTCTGAAGTGGTAGTAGTAGTAGTGGGTGTGCTCTTTATGCATGGTGATGGGTGGTGGCCTAATGGTCCGCAACAAAGCTCAATATATGGAGGGATGCTATTTGCTAAAGTTAAGCAATCTTTGTATTTGCTGCATAAATCATAAGAGCATCACAGATTACAACGTAAAGGGTTGTTACACATCACTGCCACCAATGCCCAATGCTCTTACCTGTTGTTTCTTCTGATTGACCTTGTTGCGCATTAGCACCTGATCGCTTTCCTTCTTCGAGGCAGCCTGGGCAGCGGCCTGCTCCAGGCGTCGTCTTTGCTCGTTCTCCTGGTCGTGTTGCTGTCCAAGAAAAGTTTAAATTATTATTATAATAATACATTTTAATTTTAAAAAAAAAACATTTACACATTAAAATTTTCTAATGGTTGTGGACATTTCAATTTATAAATCTAATCAGGAAGTTTCTTAGATATCGATTCATCAGTTGTGTATAAATAAGTTCTTCTTTTCAATTGTAATTTATACTATAAAGACTGCCTACATTATAATATTTTGAGAAGCCTATTAATGTTAGTTTTTCATAAAGTTAGAAAATGAAAATCTACACATATTAATTGTATACTTATATCGACTACGAAAGAGCAAATAATCGTTTAAATTAATTATATTTATTACATTTTAGAATTCGAATTTAGCAAAGTTTTATGCAAAACATTCTACGGTATTACCGATATGCCAAAATCGAATATTATTATTATCAGGCTTATTAAAACAATTTTTGAAAAATTTGGAAAATATCGATCCTGTTGGTTTGATAAAAAGAGGATGGAGCTCCATATACTTTCGTGATATTTGAACACTCACCTTAAAGGCGCGGGTAAAGCGTACAATGAGCGCGAAGAAGGCAGCGGCATCTGCATTTCGCGACGATTCTCCAAAGTATTCCACGCACTCCTTAAACGAATCTTGGGCATGTCGCAAGTCGCTCTTGATTTTCTTCAGCTTGTCCTCACTGTTGTTCAAAAAGTCACGCAATATGTGCGTTTGTGCTCCCTTAACACGTAACTCTGCCTCCTTGCGCACCAGATCCATTCCCTTCTCCAGCTCTTGGACATCAGTGACAATATTCTCAAGCGCCACAGAGGCTGCTTTGTCCGTGCCATAGAGTTCACACTCGAATGTTAATAACTCCGGGAATTTGGCACGTATGGTGGCCACAATATAATGCAGAAGCGATGAGCGTTTATCGGTTGACTTGGTGTCGATGAGCGTATCCAGCGATTGCAGTTTAAAGCCATAGGCCGGCCCACGCTTATTGCTGTTCAAATAGTTGCCAAAGGCCAGCACTATCTCAAGTACAGCTTTGAACTTTCGCGACTGCTTGAGGGAATTGGAGGCGCTGGCAATGGACTGCACTTGCTGCAAGAGATCAATGATGATCGATTATATAGAATATTGTGTGAATTCAAGGTACTTACCGGACTAATCAGGTGCACACTATCCACAAAGTTGCCCATGTAATTCATGATCGCCAGCTTGGAGGGAATGCGTTCAACGCGAGAAAGCTGTAGCATGAATTTGTCTTCTTCGGTGAGGAGATTCTGATCCTTTCGCTCGATGATGTACTCCTTGTATGCCTTCATCTCAGCATCTGTGGGAACCATCTTTTGCAACAGCTCCACATTTTCCAGCGACAGCTTTTTCAAATCCAAACTGTGTATGGCGGCAATGACATCGTCTATAGCCATTCCCAGCTTACGGCGAGATATTGCTGTAAGTATGGAAATATAGCGTTTTAGCTCAAAGGATATATAACAAATTAAGCCATGTTGGACACCACACTTTTTATTATCGTCCCCTTTATTCTGATTCTTCGATACTCAAAGCATTTGATAAAGCCTCAAAAGATAAAGCTTACATGTATTTTACTTATATTTGAAAAAGAAATAGGAAAGAATATTATTTTTTAATTTTGTGTTATAATGCTCAGGAACTCAACTCCAATATACAATTTGGGTACCGCTTTGTATTCAAATATTTTTTAACAAAATCACAGAAGCTAAAACTCTGCTCCATGGAATCTTGTAAGCTCTATATAAACATCAGAATAATGTGAGATATATGATTTGAGAAAAAAACCCTACATGCTACATATATTTGTTGTCCCTAAACATTATCGTTCAAGAGAATTTAATGCTTTGAACTTGTCCTGTCATGCTGATTATAAATAAATAATAAAGTACAATCTGCCAAACCGCGCTCTTTACTTTAAAAGCATTACGAACTTGCGGTATAAAGTATAAGAACAGAGATTCATTTCCCGTCCTCCCACTCAAAATATACACACCTATGTTTCGTAATCTCGTGTGTTCAAGCAGCGACACATGATCGGGTTTCTTGAAGCGTTTACTGGGATAGTTTTGCAGGGTGCCATCGACCTCGCTGCCATTGCTGCCATTATGGAGCGCGCCGCCAATACCAATTTTGAATCGTTCCTCAAACTCATTGAAATCGATTTGCTTGAAGATTTTCTCATCGTCCAATTCGTTGAAAATGGTGCCACGAACCTGCAATTGGGGGAATATATACTCGTAAGCAGAGAACTTAATGCGAGCTGACCGCAACCCTACTCACCTGATTGGGCTTAAGTGCTATCCAATTAAGCGTGGGTAGCTTGTATTTGGTGGGCACTTTCCGCTTGATGGTCATGGCGCCATCGGGCGCTGGCATAAAGCCAGCCACGGGTGGCGGCGGTGGCTGGAACGAACTGAGCATGGCGGGCGCATTTGGCGGAGAATTGGCATGGCAGGCTGGACCACCATTGGGACTGCCTAAGGGGCTACCCATCATGGGCGGTGGAGGCGGCGCTGGCGGTGCAGGTGGCGGTGGAGGCGGAGGTGCAGCTACTGCTGTCACAGGCATGGGTGGAGGAGGCGGTGGCGGCGCCACAGAGGCCAATGATGCCGCACCCGTCAACAGGCCACCGCCATTTACGAGCGATCCATCGCCACTGGAGGCCGAACGTGGCAGTGAACGCGTTAATGTTTGCAGCTCCAAGTTCTTGCTGTGCAGCAGGGAATCGCGTTTCTTCAGCTCCTGCTCATTCTGCTGGACCACTCGATGCAGTCCCGTCAACTCATCTTCTAGCTTTTGTCGCATCACACACAGCTGTTCGCGTTCCGTCTTCAGAGCCATGTTCTCCGTTTCGAGCTCTGTGAATTTATACAAATATTCCGAGCCGCGATCAATTTCACGCTCGAGCTGATCCTCCAGCTCTTGTACGCGTTCCAGTGCAGCGGTCTTCGTTTCCGAGTCTTCCATCAAGGCGGCCACATCGAATACGTTATCCAAATAGGCCGATATTTGAACCTTCAGCTCTTCAGACTCGGTTAGGCGTATGCGTTCTAGATATTTGTCTAGACCCAAAGCCGTAAATTCATATTGCAGATGCACGCGATAGTTCATATCCTCAACGGAATGGACGACAATGTTCATAAATTGCATGCACGCGACCATAAAGTCAATGTTGAAGGCCTCAAAGTTCATAAAGTACTCCATGAGAGTCTGAAAGCGTCGCTGCTCCTGGCACACATCCTTAAAATTATCAAAGGAGCCGAGAATGATCTCATGACCTCCCTTAACCAGACATATGGCTGCCAGCAGCTCCAGCACGAGCGCCTTCGTCCTCAGCGACTTGTGTATGAGACTCAATGCAATGCAATTGATGGCCTCCCGATGTTGAATCACCATATTAAACCCATATTTATTGTTCATTATCGCTCGCAGGCACATAATGCTCACGTGTATGTCGTCCGTGGCAGCGCCCATATTTAGTTTGGCAATATGACGCGATCGTCGCTTCAAGCTGGGACTGTCCAGGCCATCGGCAATTGCGGGTCGCAGAAATCCATAGGACAACGTGTGGTTGCCGCCATGAGTGGACTGTTGACGTGAGTTGTCCAACAGCAGGGAGCCATTGCCCAGACCACTCGAATTGGCGCCGCCTACGCCGCCCACTCCACCGCCTCCGGGACTCATGGAACTATTGCCCAGAGTCAATTCGCCAGCATCGCCCGTACTTGTGATGTTCAAGAGGTCTTCGGAGGCGCAGAGCGCGCCCTGCAATCGCTGCTCATGCCGCATCATTTGCAAACGAAAGCTCAGATAATCGACAAGGGCGTCAAGGCCCTGATTCGTATCATCGAGAAACTCTTTCACCCACTCGATGTGGTTGGTGCGCAACGAGATCTCGAGATCCCGGAGCACCTGTGTGGATGTCGACTCGCCGACCATCTTACGTTTCTGACAAAGAAAGTAGAAGAGGTAAAGCTGTAAGTGTACAAAGAGAGAGAGTTGTGGTTGGACAGAACACGGGATGATGAGCGCAGGATGTTGCAAGATGGTTGATTGGTAGTTTGGATTCATGATAAATGTTTGGTTGGATGATTGATTGAATGATGTTTGTATGGAGGCATGAAGAGAGTTGTATTCGTGTGTGTTGTCAAGTGTTGTGAGTAGAGAAATTGAAATTTACACATTAATATTCGGAACAACAAATAGGGCAGGTTATTATTATTTGTACATACAATTTTAATAAATTTCTAATAAGTTGGTTAATGAGTTTTTCGTTTCTTTTGCTCTGCTAACAACAATAGTCAGACAAACGCACCACAATGAACAACTACACAAAGAAGTATGTACAGACAAACACAGATAAATTATACAAACTACACTAGAGCTTGACCATAGTTGGGTCAGATAATTATAATTAAGAGTCAAAGTGATTACGAAAGCTCCACGCACCAACTTCCAAGCACAAGACAAAAACAACCGCAACAAAAAACAACAACAATAGCAACAACACAAAAGCGACTGCTGCCTTTCTTTCTTGTTGCTACTTTGTTGCAACTTACCCGATGACTACGCGACGCCTTTGGATCCAAGTATGTGCGCAATTTGCTCAAGTAATGTGAGGGCGGATCTTTGGCCTGCACCATTTCCTGCAAGAGGCGAAACACAAAGGAAAGGAGGGAGATTAGCCGCTTGATTTGCTAAGACAGTTATTTTAAACGGATATTCAAGATTGTCGTGCGATAAGTACGAGTATTAACTTATTTAAGGTCTGTTTAAACATTGAAACGCGCCGTTTCTGCGTCCATCTGTCGGTATGAAGGCAAATATTTCGAGAATTATAAGAGTTCGAATTTTTATAATATTCATTTTACGTTAACATTTTTCAATACTTTTTTTTCTTATAAAATATTATTTTTGTATTATTCATAATACAGATTAAATAATTATTTTAGTAAAACAGTTAATAAAATTCAACATATAATATTATTGAGGTTTAATTGTTTTATAATTTCTTAGTCTATAGAAAAGTATTTTATTAATATTTTAGATTTTAAATAAAGTTATGGTAAAAAGAAAAAAAACAATTAACTTAAAACCTTCAAGTACTAATTGCCTTACGAAAATATTTATGACTTATTCGACATTCTCATACATACATAAATGAAACTAAAAATACTGAAGCTGTACATACTACACATTGAAATAGATTTATAAAAAAAAAAACATATATCCATCTGAGTTCAAGAAAAAAGAAAGCAGCTTACACATTTGATAATTCAGAATTGTAAAAATATTTTAGTAATTTTTAAGTAATTTTTTTATATAAAATATGATAAAATGAAAAACGAAAATATTAATTTATATTTAAGTACTGATTGTTATTCAAAAATATTTATAACCACAACTCAGAAGTTCTCAGAAATGAAATAAGCTTTAGAATTACCACAAATTGAGTAAGAATTGGAAACGACCTGAAAATTTTCCATTTGAGTTCATTCAGAAGTTCCCATAAATAAAAGAAGCCACAGATGCTGAAGCTTTAGAACTACCAAAAATTGAATTAGAATTGAAAAAGAGCAGGAAAATTTTCCATTTGATTTTTCAAAAAATAAAGCAACTTACACATTTGATAATTCAGAATTGTAAAAATATTTTAGTAAATTTTTAGTTTTTAAATAAAAATATGGTAAAATGAAAAGAAAACGAAAATATGAAATTGTATCCTTCCAGTACTGATAATTATTCTAAAATATTTATAACCACAACTCGTAAGTTATCATAAATAAAAGAAGCCACAGATGCCAAGGCTTTAGAATTACCAAAAATTGAATAAGAATTTGAAAAGAGCAGAAAATTTTCCACTTGAGTTAAAGAAAAAAGAAAGCAGCTTACACATTTGGGAATTCGGAATTGTAAAAATATTTTAGCAATTTTTTAGTTTTTAAATAAAAATATGTTAAATGAAAAGAAAACGAAAATATGAAATTGGAACCTCCCAGTACTGATAGTTATTGTAAAATATTTATAACCACAACTCAGAAGTTCTCAGATATCCACAGATGCTGATGCTTTAGAAGTACCAAAAATTGAATAAGAATTTGAAAAGAGCAGACAATTTTCCACTTGAGTTAAAGAAAAAAGAAAGCAGCTTACACATTTGGGAATTCAGAATGGTAAGAAGTGGTCGACTGGCCACATATTAGCTTAAGCTGCATCTTTTCAAGGTTTAAACGTATATTGATTTAGGCCCCACGAAAATGGCCGCATTTTCCAATGAAGTATTTAATTCCAAATGATCTAAGGTTTCACCATATATCAAAAGCTATCCATGCTCATGTGCTCATGCTCATATGCTGGGGTTCCACTAAGATACCCCCAGCATCTATTACCAAATGCCAAATAAGCGTAGACTTGTATGCATTAACACAACGTTAGCGGCTTTTACTTTTGTTTTTTTTTTTTTTTTTTTTTTGTTGTTTTAGTTTTACACGTTGATTTCATGTGATCGTGCATAGGTGTATATAGTATTTAAGTATGTGTGTGTGTGTGCATGTACATGTACATATTGCTGTTTACTAAACTCCCCCCGAAGCCTCGGACTGAGGCTTGCCTAACTTTAAACATTTTTAAGCATGAAGCGTGGCATACTTGTTTTTTAGCTTTTTCCTATGGCCAACAATCGAATGACTACCAACCAAAACTATGTGTGGGCTTTACCTGCCTGCCTGCCTGCCTAGCTGCCTGCCAGTAATATTCAACACACTGCAACACGAAACCAGTTTTATTCTTTCCTAGTCACAGTAGGAAAACGACAAAATACAACAACAACAATAACAACAAAAATAAAATAAAACAAAAATGAAAAATAAGCCAGATAACTAACACGAGACAGTTGAGGAAGCGAGGGAGGCACAAAACAGGCAAAGCCAGCAAGCAGCAAGCAGCAAGCAGCTCCAACTCTCAACGATTAAATACTGCAATTTATCGCAGTCATAATAATTTGCATTTTGTCACTGCATGGATATCGTCAACGCGACTCTTCTCGTCCTCGCGCATTTAAAGCTCTTTTTTTCCTCTGCATTGTCTGGCATCTGTGGGCAGCGTTCATTCATTTTCATTGCGGGCCTGATATATGGAAAACAGGTCTTTTGGCATGCAGGCGGCAAAACTTGCTGTTGTTGGTGTTAAGGAACCCACAACACGGCAACGGCAACGGCAACGTCAACAGCCACAAAAGCCAACAGACACTGCTGACGGTGACGAGATTGACGACTCAGGCGACTCAGGCGACGACTCAGACGACGACAAAAACATCATGTTGGGGTGGGTGTTGTTTATGATATTTTATCAAACAATAATAATAATAGCAACAACAACAACGCAACGCAACGCAACTTTAACTGCCAAGTCAGGCAGAAATCGTAGAAATCTTTAGAGCTTTGTTTGCCAACCGCTGTTTGAGTTTTGACGTGCTGTCAGTCAAGCCAATCAGCCGCCTAGGCATTCTTGAATATCGTCTCTACTATACAAGTATATCTCTGCCAATGCCTTTTGGCAAATTTCTTTCCTGGGTGCAGTAACAAACAGTAACTCCGCTCCTGCTTTTGTGGCGACTGAAAATTCAGTGACCCAGTTTAATGCGCCACGCAACAAATCGGCAAGTTGTCCGCCCGTCGAACCGTCGATCCGACCAAGAGACCCGTCGACCATATAGCTGCCAAAGCATGCTCTGCCGCACACGTTAATAGTTTCGTCATCATTTGATGGCGTTTGGCAGCAACAATACTTGTAACACGCAATCCGATTTGTAGACTACCCAAGCTGTTATGCATATGGGTATGGACCGAACACCCCATAACTAATTTGAAATTTGAATTTATCATATACATATATGCACATACATACATACACACGTACTAAGTATGTGGAGCATGATGACTATTGTTTGTCACACATACATATACTATACATCGCGTATGTGATTCAACAAATGCGTTGAACAGTGTCAAAGGAAATGATTCTAATGATCTGTAGCTTGAAAACAAAACAAGGGCATTAAAATAAATACCAAACGCTCTTCTGAGTTGACAAAACGCAGATTCTCCGGAGCTCCGCACCGGAAAGAGACACTAGAATGAGCTTTCATCGCTGCCCATACGCCTTAGATTTAATTAAATTTAATTAAATTAAAAAAAAAAATAAATAAAAATAAATAAATAAATAAAATTAAAAAATAATAATAATAAATAAAAAAAATTTAAAAAAATTTAAAGAAAATAAAAAAAAATTAAACACAATGAGGGACCTATTGAAATAACACATAATAACAAAAAATACCATCATGCGTAACGTTTCTTACGTAATGCATATAATCTCTTACTATATATTATAAAAACAAAGTGCTGGTGGTTTAAAAATAGGGTACCCCTTCATTTTCATAGCCTTGCCCACTTCCACATTTCATTTTATTTCTTGGAAATATTATTTTATTAATAAATATTTATGAGTAAACTGATTTTTATAGACGAAATTACATTTTTTATTTCAGAATGCCACTCGTTTATCAATATTTCTTTGGCTTGTTGATTATTGCCCAAATGATATATAAATACTCATATGTTCACACATAAAGTTCTATGTATGTATTGAATTGATCGTTTACAGAGTTCTCTAACCTAGGAACCAGTGGCTCTTACATAGAAACCAAACGATATTAGTATATTTTTTTAAAAGCACCGGAAAGAGACACTAGAATGAGCTTTCATCGCTGCCCATACGACATAGATTTAATTAAATTAAAAAAAAAATAAATAAATAAAATAAAAAAATAAAAAAAAAATAAATAAAAAATAAAAAAAAAATGTAAAGAAAATAAAAAAAAATTAAACACAATGAGGGACCTATTGAAATAACACATAATAACAAAAAATACCATCATGCGTAACGTTTCTTACGTAATGCATATAATCTATATTTTTTTAAAAGCAAGCGACAGAACTTAATTAAATATTAAAAGAAGTGTTCTCAATGTGGCTTCGGCTAAGTGCTTAATATGAGAAGCTCAGAGGAAGGCTGTACTTTTTAATTCAATAATTAAAACTATTTTTATTATAAATAATACTTATTATTTAAGCAACAGTATAAAAGATTCTATGTTTATTATTTGTATGCATATTTTCGTCCCAAAAACGCCATAAACTTAATTTTCCTTTTAATTTGCTTATCCCAAAGGGAATGCTACTATTTTTCATTTCTAAATCGGGGTAAATCTATATAGTGGTTAGTGGTTAGGTAGAGTTCTGATGGATGAGCAATTTTTACATTGGATACACCAAAATATTAACGAAGATATCATATGATATGATAATTATAGAAAAGAACATGGAACTGGTTTAATCTCAGCACGTAAAAATACGCACTCACCCTGTAAACAGGGTGCCCAAAACACGAAAAAATAACTCTGTCCACCGTTTAACGACTTGTTTTGATATTAAGGCCATTTCGGCGTATTAAAAAAGCGACAACTAAGCGCCTGAACACGCACTGCATGTCAATGCCTTTGTACATATGTATGTAGATTGCTGTATATATATGTATATGTACAATTGGGTATATAGTGCTGTCCATACACAGCCACTTAGCTTGGCAATTACAGTGAGCGGCATTTGGCATATTTAATTAGAGTGTCATACTCTCGTTAGCTTGCCGGAGTTTAAAGGTCAGACAACATGCTCAAGGTTTTAAGCTGCCTGCCACACTGGCATTAGACATTTAGGCATAGTTTAGAGAACTTGAGCATGGTTGTTGCCTTTCCTAATGGGGGTCAGTCTAAAGTGCAGTACGCTGTGGTCACATTATAATCTTAAAATTTGCATCCGTTATACAAAAACAGGAAGTTGTGAGACGATAAAGCAAAACTTCTGCTCAAGGCCTCGCCTTGCTTTGGTCCGTTTAGATAGTCGAAATGGCAAAATGTCTAGTTTTCTCTGCATACTTATTATGTCTGATTATAATACTTACTTGATCGCATATCATGTCCCACTTCTTTTCATCATCATAGTTACGCAAAAGCTTTGCTTTGTCCGGCGGCAAATCCATGGAGGCCTGTTTATAAAAGAAATGACATGTTTAATGGGTTATGACAGTAAAAAAATAACAATAACAGCTACAATTAAAAGGCCATAAAACTCTGGTAATGACCATAAACCAAATCATACTCTGCACTGATTGGGTGATGTGTAGGCATGAGTTATCGATATAGAAAAAAAAATAAATACAACTTATAGATATAGCACGCGTTTTCAGAGAAAGTCGACAATCGATTAATCAGCAGAAACGTGTGTCTTGCCAGCAATAAAGCAACTATTATTTGTTTGGCTTAGCAATGACTGACAATGTCCCATAAAAAGAATCTTATAAGCCTAAACACACACGTATGCGTACGCAGAATTCTAGAAACCCAAGCTCTGGGACCCCATTACAGGCCCACTATATAGAGTCTATTCAACTTTCTGATCGCTCATGCAAATATTTAACGGTCGCGGTTGCTTTTGCTATTTGCTGTTTGCTGCACCTGCAATTTTCTTTACTCAAAAAAGAGCACCATCAGCAATCACAACAATAGCAAATCATCATATACAGTTGAACTTTTCTATAATGAACTCTGTCTAATGGCAGATGGTTGCTAGAAGCCCTTAAAATGTATTCAAGATTGATCAAATGATGCTCGGTATAATAATAATAATATCCCTATACCCTTTGTTTTGAAAACCAAGCTGCTAGGACGATCAGATATGACATATGCTTGGAACTATATTTAGGAAGAATGGCCAGTCTAATAGATTACATATCAGCCAATTATCTTTACCTTAATAAGCAATATCTAAAATAAACTGTTTATAAATAGTAGGTGAAGTTAATTTCAGTTATATTTTAATCTTTTTTGAGCATAATATTAACATTCGTCTAACTCCTATGCAAGCAGCTTTGAACCAAAAGTTGTAGAAACTGGGTAAGTGATAGGAACTAATCTGTATGACCAGTCTGGTAAGAAAAAAATTTATGATTTATTGAAATTCTCTCATCAACTTTAGTTTTTAAAAGCAGGCTCAATAGTGACTCTTTTAAATAAAAGAAATATAGATTTAAAAAACACTATTTTAAAAATGTATGACACATCGAAATCCTTCTTTTGATTTGATATTAGATTTGACTTCATATTTGTAGCAAATATTAGCTTTAGTTTGTTATCTCTATATATATAAAACAGTTTGTCCTGACTGACTGACTGACTGATTAGCAATCAACGCACAGCCCAAACGGTAAGAGCTAGGAAGCTGAAATCTATCATTGGTACGCACTAAGAAAGGCTTTTGGAAAATTCGAGCCCCAAAGGGGGGAAATCGTGCTTTCAAAAATATTAGTTATAGTTACGTTTAACGAAATATTTTTGCAAGAACAAAAATGTAACGGACTGATGTCAAGAACAGAAAATGTTCATTTAAATACCTTAAATGCCTTGCTACTGGTAACTAATAGGGTGAAAGCATATGGGTAGGTCATGCACACACAAAATAAATACAATTTGAAACATTATATTGAGCCGGGTTAAGTCGGACAATATAATATAGGAGGAAAAGGTATAGAGAGCCTTATATTTGATAATAATATAATACTACCTTTTTAACCTAAAATTTGAATTAGAAATTTGAGAGCCTAGTTACACATACAAATAATTAAGTCTCAAGCACGATCGTTATGGAACAGCTATAATATACTAGTTTGTTATGGGGTAGCTCGTTAAAGAGAAGATTGACTGTGTAATTATAAAACACAGCTCGAACAATGGCTGGATTGGTGTATTATGAACCAAACTCGCTCAACCAAATACAAAAAATGAATTTACAAATAAAAAAAAAAAAAAAAAACCATCGGGGAACTGCACATTTACTCACCCCCGCCCTCACAGCCATTGTGTAAGTCAATTTTTCACAGGAATACCTTAATGGTATCAACAAATATGCTTACGTGACTTCAATTTTGGGTGCAGCTGTGCTGCATTGAAGTTCTAATTAGAGTGCCAAACACAGCAGTACAGATGACAGGAAAGGGTGTGCATGCAACAAATACAAATACATATACCATATAGTATACCTATATGTAATAAAAAAGGCGACAGAAAACCAATCAAAGCACAATAAAAAATGTAATCAAATGTGAACAAACAAAAATACATAACAACAAAATCATATATAAAATGCACCATAAAAAATGTCAAGAACTGGGGTGGGAGCTGGCGCTGGCTCCGAGACCGGGATCGGGACCTGACTAGCATACTTGGAATTTATTGTAAAATAAGAGACATTACGACCACGAGGCGCTAATAAAAGTAAGATACCATCTTTCTGTATAAATGATAAAGCCACCGATTTGATCAGCGGCCAAAGTACGAGTATATATGTATATACGTACAGTCATGTGCAATTACTGGAGGAGAAATTACGTACGACGTTGCGGTCTGAAAACCAATATTTGGTATTAGTTCGGATTTGCTGTTCGTTCTGTAGTCAGCTCAGTTTAATCTTTGCCAAATAATAATATTAGGCACAAAGATACGTACTTTATCTGAGATGAGATATTATCTATAAGGTATTTATCTATAAGGTAGTTATAATAGGGAGGGCAAAAGATTACAGCATCCACTTCTGTGTGGAAATAGAAAAAATAATACTATACTATACTAATAATAATAAAACAATAAAATTTAAAAAACAGAAGAAAGCAAAAATATCTTAAATTCCTAAAAGGAAATGGTAAAGATATATAACAAAGAACCGACAGGTGAAAAATGAATGAAGTCTTTAAAACATATTTGTTTTTGAAATATCTGGATTAATATTTCATCTAGAGAGGCCCCTTTTCATCTATTTAATACAGCTCTATCCTAATAGTCAGAGACAAAACTGCAAATATTTAAAACTATTAATTAATTGTGTTTGTAACCTCGATTATCAGCACTTTATCTATATTCTAATACGATGTAAATGGTTTTCTGGATATACCAAAAATTAATAAGCGCTAATTGATTCTGAAAATAGGATACAAATATTGTTGAAACGAATATTAAATATAATTAAATAATGAAATTGCAGTGTTGCTAAATTCGTTTAAGTTTATAATATTGATCCAAATTATACCAAAACATTACTTTCGTTCGATTCTAACAATTACAGAAAAATAGTGATGAAACGAATATTGACATAAATATAATAAAGGAGTTTCCAAACGAAGAAGAAGGCAGCAAATAAAATATTTAATCTTGTACAATTAAAGAGGGAAAGAATTCATTGATTTTCTATCATCCATTTTACCAGAACATTACTTTCATTAATTATCAATTAAATTGCCTTTTTCTTATGAATACCCCCCCTGTGTTTTCACTTATTTATGGATAAAAAGTAGCAAAGTTAATAAATGAATGTTTCCCCCCATTTAATGGGTGAATCAACATCGCTAGTCTGCCTAAAACAATTGACGTCTCTTACAGTTTCCATTCATTTTGTTTACCAAACAACATTTCATTTCAATTGCCGAATCTTTGAAGTTCATTTGAAGATATTTTCCAGGAATCTGAAGCTTAGAAGCCCGCCGGTTAACAATCTGTTTAAAGCGAATAAAATGTTGCAGCTTAGTCATCACCATCAACATCTGGACAACCCACTACTCTATAGTACACGGGTGCGTCCATGTGCCTCCATTAAGCGCCGACACCGATGAACACAGACAAATGCTATAGGAATTTAAAATGTGTATCCGGTGTGTCGGGTCAGTCATTCATTCATACACTGCCCAATTTATTTACACAGACAAACAAACACGGGCATATAGACATAAAGGAGGCATCATGTATGCTCGGGCATAAATATTTAGCAGTAGTTTTTATATACAAAACAATAATGAGAGTGCAGCGTTGACAGCACAACCGTTATTGTAAATGTTATTATTATTATTCAGTATTGTTCGTTGGTTGCTCAAAAAGCGCGTCGAGGCAAAACATTTCAGTGTCAGAAGGCAGCAAGTGGGTGGCAGAAGGGAGGGGGAAGGGGGTAGTGAGCAAAGCAATTCATAAGTTGTTTATTAAGAAGGCGTTGCTGTAACAATTTTATTTATTAAATGCATAATAAATAATTTCATAAACACAAATGTGTAATGTATGGCATTGTGTAAAAAGCGGACTGCATTGTGAGAAATATATAAGTGACGAGCACGTCTCACATCGAGAAAATTGTAATAATTATTTAACTTAATTTACAGCAAGCTAACAAATAAAAAATATTTTAATTCGCTGTGAAAAAACGCAACAAAACAATAAGTGTTAAAACAAAGCAATTGCAATTTACTTTTGACAAACGTAATACTCGTATATATGTACATATGCGGTTTGATTGCAAATCATAAAACAACAACCGATAAAGATGTAATCGTAAAGCCAAGAAAGTAAAAACATGAGAGGCATAAAAAAGGCGTCAAGTTTCCGAAATTCGCGGTTGGACTGTTTAATAAGCACAAAAATTCACTATAAACTACTTGGCAAGGAAATCAAAATAATCAGCCATCTAAAGACTTTTCGCTAGTCCAACAAATTTTTAAAATATCTATATGTATTTAGATGTATTCAATTTCAAAGCTCCCGATAATACCGACAATATCATTGTCAGTTGTTAAGCACCACAACCGAAATGAAAAATCCAGCCAAAACTTTTGATCCGATTATTTTATATAATTTTTCGATATCATATAAATTCTTGTGGTCACCAAAAAAATGGTAAAACGATCGTTTTTGGGCCAAATATGTAATATATTTCGTTTTGGAAAAATGTTATGTTAAAGACTTCAAGAACATGAAATATAAGTTCAGGGAAATCGGATAAATCACCCTGCTATGTACCTCATGTTCGTTCAACGTATATACTATATAAATGTATGTACATATATATCTGCCCTGAAGGTCAAATTTTTTTCTAATAGGGGCTCAAAAACAGACAATAAAAACCTTTTGGACCATATCAGCTACATTATTGTCAAGCGTAGTACCAAACATTTGTTTATTTATAAAAATATCTTAAGCAAATCTGGTATTAACGTATTTAAGTTCTACTTGTATAAATGTTAAGTATTTCAAAACCCTGTACGTCCCACAAAAAAGAAAAAAATTTAAACAAAAAATATTTGTTTGAAAAAAAGAGTTAAATTGTGAAATTTCTGACAAATTACATGAAATAAAAAATATTGTGAGCGCCCTCCTCTGCGATTCTCATACCAAGTACCTAAGTGATGGCAAATCGAGAATTAAATTGTAAAATTTCTGATAAATTAAACAAAATAAAAAAAATATTGTGGCCGCCCTCCTCTGCGATTCTCATACCAAGTACCTAAGTGATGGCAAATCGAGATTTAAATAGTTCAAGTTCTGATAAATTAAATTAAATTGTGGCCGCCTTTCTATATAAAAATAAATAAATAAATATTTGATATTTTTGATTCAAAATTATGATTATTGATAAAAATTAATATTTTCCTAAGACGCTGAAAATTTAAAATTTAATTTCATGATTTTTAATAAATATTTATCAAATATTCAAACAAAAACACTACACGTCTTATAATATTTACAATATTTAATGGCCTTGGCGACTAAATTATTGTTACTCTTAATTGAATATACGAGTATACAACAATAACATAAAAATCTAAAATATTTTGCACTGAGAAAATAAATACATGAAACATTATAGATTTTGAAATCACAAAGGAAATATATATTGTTAAAATAACTTTTCAAAGAAAAGTATATATCGATAACGGCCCTACTCTGAAGCGGTTGAGGGCAGATCGTTCTGTAATGGCTTCCCCTTTTTTGCGCAGCTTTGAAGTGGCCGTTAGATAACGCTAAGTAAAGCCCTCTTTACAATAAGCAATACACAGCTGCCGCATATGGAAAATATTCGCCCGTTGACTAAGTCATCAAGGAGTTGTTATTGTTGTTGTTGCTGGTGCACTATCTGACTGCTGCGGGCTTACAAAAGCCATGACTATGTATTCATAAAACAACAATAGATGCTATTGTGGTTTTTAACTGTGGCTTGTCACTAGACATTGTAAATGTAAATGCCATTAAAGTCGCATAAATTGTTATGATATTATATTCTAGGCAGCAGGGACAGAGGCTGACTGAACCAACAATGATGATTAAGCGAGTGAAAGTCGTTTGAGAAAGCCTATAAATTAATGAGGATTTAATGCGGTTACACCACAGAGACTCCCACATGGTCAGACATAGGCATAGATATATAATAAATAATAAATCAAAAGATGGCAATGGAAAGAGTTATTGAGTTCTTCCCATGTCTCATATAACGGGTTGCAGACAGTTAGACTTTTAGTTCATGTTCTGAAACTAGACAGAGATCAGGAAATAAACACAGATAAAGTAATTAAAATTTTAAGTGCTTGAATTGTAAATAAATAAAATGCAAACATAAAAATCCACAGACCTTCAACGTAAAGGTTTGCTACTATCGGCACCTTTAAATAAAATTGCTCTAAGCATGAGTTTTGTGATCTTCAGATAGGGACAGAAGCACTAGAATACTTATAGAGAACGAAAGAAAGGAATAAACCTAATTCTGTTTAAACACGGTCTTTTTTTACACGATTTTGATATAACACTGTTTGAAAATTAAAAATTTCATATATAGTATATTCCTTTGGAAATAAGGAACCAATCACCCATTTTTGCATACGATCAAAGTCTTTTTTTTCACGGTTGTTTCTGGAACCAATCTACCTTGTAAAAACCGAATTAGGTGTATATAATGACATTTCAGGCGATCATTTATCATCCATTCCTGAAGCTAACTGCCTTTCATCTATCATCCTGAATTATAAATCAAAAGACTGATAAAAACTGATGAACTAAAAAAACTATAAACCTTGGCGCTTTATTTTGTATTAACCATTTCGGTTAATTTACTTTAGAGCTGGACTGCTTTATTTCCGTATGTCGCCAGTTATCAGTAAAATATCTGAATACAATTTTTAAAAAAATGGCAAGTTCCTTAAACAATTGACTGACTTGACTTGGCTCTTATTGATGATCGCCTTCTCATCAATCCCACATCTTAGAGGCAATGTCGGAGCCATGATTCGAATGCGTTTTCTGTTCGACGATCCCACTTCAAAAACTGCGCACAATTCAAAGTTCAATAAACCCTCGCGCTATGCCACTCTAACCGGAAACATCTGTGCCGCTTAACGTCCTCCCACCCCGCCAGCCGGCTTGTCTGTCTGTCTGTCTGTCTGTCTTTCATGCCGTTTAGCCACCCGACGGAATGACTAAATGCGTCTGATTAGACCTAAAGCCAATTATTAGCGGGAAACTTGGAGAAAAAAGGAAAAACTATTTTTAAACATGGGCATGGATGGGCATAAACAATTGCAGTTGATTGGAAGTACGCGCGCGCACATTGGTCGATTGCTCCGACAATGGAGCATTTTGCACGCTGGGGACAAGGACAGTGGGCCACTTAACCAAAAGAACTTTAGGTAGCTGCTTTAAATAAAAGTAAACACAAATTAGCTAAGCATATGGAGGTAGGCGAGGCCAACGAATGGCAAACAAGCAGTAAACAAAAGTGGCCAAAAATGAAGAAGAAGAAAAAATTCAAAAGTAAACACACGAGCTGCCGAAAACATTTCGAGCGCGAAAAAAATAAGAGGCAATGGGTTTTGGGTGCACAGACAACAACAACAATAATAACAAAAACAACAATAATAACAATAACAATGTGCTTGAGATGAGAGCAGCTAAGGGGGTGTAAAGGAGGAGGAGAAGTGTTTTTGGCGTTTCATGTTACTGACAAGCGCGACAAACGACAAACGATAAGTGAGAATTTGAGCTCTGCACACACACACACACACGCACACAAACAAACACACATACTATGCATACATACATATGTATATAAATAAAGATTTTTTGTGAGCGGAAGATAAGAAGTCGGCGGCATCGTGAGTCAGCAATCGACGAACAGAGAATCGATCAATTTGCTTTAATTGCTGCTTAGCATATTGGCGGCCAAGCCAAAGACTCTTGATCAGGCCATGCAAGTTATAAGTTATTTGTTATAGTTTATATCTTTTTTTTCTCGTTTCCTTCCCCTTTTTGCTTTGCTTTGGCGCGGCCAGTTTGGCAACAAAAGAGCGCGAACGCACCAATGCTTAATTAATTGAACTGTTGCTTCGTTGACGTCGCCAGTCAAGTGTTTTGTGGACTCTGTTGCTGCCACCGAGAGATGCCGATTGACGAAAAATAAAAATGAAAAAACAACTTCAGTGCTCAAACAAATGTATGCTACACACGCGTCTGAGCTGCAGAATAAAACCCATGTACACATAAATACATACATACAGGTACAGTGGTGCGTCGCTAAAAGGGAGAATTTTAGAATAATTCTATACTTTTCAAGAATATTGATATTCATAAGGAAACTTGAAAGCTGTTAAGCAGATTTCAATAATGGCAAAGCATATATTAAATATTAATATAATAGAGACGTAATTGGATTATAATGATAACTTTACTTTTCTGACTATTATTGGTATTTACAGCAAAGGCAAATTGATGGACAATTGGTTTACATATGATTATGAATGGTACATTCATCTAAAAATAGTAATTTATCCCTCCGATTTAACTCAAAAATGACATAACATGTTTGCAACTAGACGAGGAATATCCTCATAAAGTCATGATATATAAACTATCGCTATAAATTTAGAAATTTGGTAGAAAATTAAATCATTTATTGGCAAATGGAGGCGTTTATAAACATTAATATAGATGTTTGGCCTTTTTAGTAATCTTTGTAGACTAAGTTTTACTTATAAATGAAGGCATTAGAGTAAGTTTTGAAATATTCTACAAAAGGATTTTAGCGTATATCAATATCTTTAGAATGCTTCATATAGTATGTTGGAATTGTAACGATCTAAGATAAACAGTTTCGGCTTTTAAAAAATTATCTATAAGGCCAATCTTTGAACACATACAATTGTAAGGTTTTCTGACTCTCATCGGTTCGGAGATGTTAAAAATGATTCGTTTAACGCTGTTCTTTTCAAATTTGTTATTGGGATCTGGCTTCATTTGACTGTTAATTTTTAGTTGTATCAGAGAATATTAGTAAAAACTTTTAAATAGTTCAGGCTACATTATCACAAATCAAACAAACTTGAAGCGCCTTTTCAAACATGTCAAAGAAAAACGGACAGAAATATACGAGTAGATACACTCATGTTCTTAGGTGTTCGAAAAGGACTTTCCCTAATGGCAGGCTAAGGTGTCGAGAGTCTATAGCATTGCTTCACTGTGCATGCACACGCACACTCTAACAAATTTCCAGAGAACAAGCCCGCACATATGTATGGTAGATATGTGTGTATGCACGAATGTTTGAGTCGATGAGGTCATCAATCACATGCGATGCGTTTCAAGCCAATCCTTAGATAAGCCCATGCACACGCACTCTCACACATAGTCCGATATAGACACACGCATATTAAATTGGATTAGCCAACTAAGAATTACATACATATATATGTATGTACATGCATACTATATGTAGTTGGGGAGACTATAAATATGAGACTCACTAAAACTTTGGCGAAACGTCGATCCAATTCATCCGTTGTGGGCATGGGCTGCTGACTGCGACTCCGAACGCTGGGCTGTCGCACATGATGGTATTGTGAACTGGAGCCGATGTCATATCGCAGATCCTGTTTCTGTAATGTACCGCCAATGCTGGAGCCATTGGCTGTGTAATGGTGTCCATTGCGCAGCATCGAATGCGAGCTGTGCTGCTGTTGAGGCGGCACTGTCTCATCGACATCGGCATTGGTAATAGTTCGGGATTTAACTGCGCCCATTATGGTGGCAAAGCGACTGCTGCTTGATGCCGCCGCTGCTGTTGTTATTGCTGCTGTTGCTGGGGCAGTGCACCAGTATGGATCGCCAACGCTTCCACCTCCACCTCTTCCACCGCCGTCGTCCCGCGCGTCGCCGTCTTCGATGCTGCCGCTGGTTAGCGCTGTGCTAAGGGAAGATACCGCGCCCCATACAGTGCGACAAATGGCACGAGTGCGTTCCGGGCAACTTGAAAGTTGCTCTTTGATTTCGTTGAAGATATCCAAAGCTGGACCTTGTTGCTCTAGCGGCCGCAGAGCAGTTGAAATCAATCGGTGTGGGTGTCTGCTTCACTCCTTTTTCGCGTTTGCCTGTTGCCTGCGTGCGGTTATCGCCGCAGATGCTCGGAAATCGGGCGTAGATATAGATGTACCAGTGAATTTATATTTACCAAATTTTTGCCGTTCAAAACCAAAAGGGACGTTTTTTTTTGTTGTAGGTTGTTAGTAAAATATCTTAAAATAAGCACAGTGTTCAATTTTGATGTGCCAGGCAACCCGTTTCGAACAATTTATTTACTTTTTTTTACCTTTTTCGATCAAACTGGCAGTGTAAGCACTTTTTTTTTGGGCTGGGCGAGAACGACTTACAACAACGCCCTTAAGAATTTTTAAAGCACGAGCACAATATATAAAAATGACACAAAAGTGAGTAATGTGGCTGGCTGGCTCTGGTGCGACTACGGCTGCTTCTTCTATATGCAACTGAACAAACACATACACACAGACACACGCGTGTACACAGTCGAGCACTCAGAAACACACAAATACAGAGACAAAGCCAGATTTCAATGATGATGAGGAAGGCCGCTCCTTTGGCGTTGTGCTTGTGCCCTTTTGTTTGTCCGCTATGCCAATTTTATGTTATATTTCACAATTTCTTGTTTAATATAATTTCCCGGGCGAATTACTTTTAAACTCAATATAAAAGCTGCATTGCATTTCCTTTTGAGAAGCAAATGCAAAATTCCAGCAAATTTTAATGCACTTTCCCGAACGCGCCATCCGCGACTGCACTTTGTATGCCGAACATTCAAACGATACTGACACTACTAGTGATGGAATACGATAGATTCGATGCTTCTTTCATAGCAGTATCGATAGCATCCATATCAAGTTGTCCGGTAAACTTACAAATTGAAATAAACTTCCCACGAAAGCCTGGTTACGTTATTTAATTGTACGCAGAATGGACATATAGATATGTATACGAACACATATATATTTTTATGATGAGAAATGTAATCATTATTTATGTTAAAAACTAATTAGTATATAATAAACTCACAGTAATGCTTTAAAATTTGTTCATGCCCAATTTTTTGTTTTCTTTTCAATTAATAATATTTTTATTTTTTAAAATGTTGTTCTACTAAATGTCTTATTAATAAATGTATTAAGTAAACAACAACATTAATTGCAACAATGAATCATTTAAATTAACAGTCACAAAAGGTTTTCTCCATCCCTATTGCAAAGTGTTTAAAAACGTGCCATTTTTCTTACAACCAGGTGGCAGCACCTGCAGATGGTATGAAACGAGGGTGATTCTCATTAGTTTGTTTACATTTATGCTCAACTAAATTAGTATTAAAATGAGCAGCCCACGCAAAAAGTTCAACTACCAATCCCCATATTCAAGCAATTTACCACAATATCCTTCACAATCTACTAGCTACGTATCTCAGCATGCAGGCGGCAATCTACCGCACCCTGCCCAACAGGATGGTTTCTATGAAGACAAGCAAGGCATACAGGAACAAGCAAATGTGCCACACTTCTATCAGAATAGGCCACAACATGAGCGCCAGTTTGGAAATCACCGTGGCCGCAATTTTGGACAGCATGGTCGACAATTCGGACAGCAACATGGACATGGCCGCCAATATCATGATGGCCGACGGTTCAGTCAACAGAATCAGGACAAATTTTCACTGTACTTCCACAACTCTATGCTGGAAGATCCGTGGAAAGATTTGATGGCACGTCATCAAGCAATTCATAATAGCGTGCTGTGCGACTCTCAGGATAAAGACGATAAGGCATAGTTTGCGTTTAACAGTTTATAAATGTATTTAACTATTTTATAAAAAATTTCACAAACTCAACTTAAGCTATTTTCTTTTTTTTTTTTTTGATTCCCCTCCCCCCCTTGTTGATTAAGCATCAACTGCTTGCATTATGCTACTTATGGCGACGCTTCTCAAGATATTTCTCCCAATCACCAGCAATGCGATTGTAAACACCCATGGCGGCGCGCGCATCTTCTACGGAGCTGTGTTCGCCTGTCTGTATTTCCTGGCCGAGTACAGCGAGGGCGAGACGTTTCAGGCTCGGTGTGCGTCCATTGGACACTACCTTGCACAGCGGCTTGTAGCTCGCGGTGTCGCGTATGTTGGCAAATGGATGCTTAATGTGAAGAACTTCGAAGTCTTTTCGCAAGGCATGTCCCACAAGAATTTTGCCCTGCAGCAGTTTGATCACCTCCTCCTGGACGACATTAAACTCCTCGCCATTCTCAATATCTTGTGGACGTATTCCAGACACGCTAGTGCGATAATCAGTAACTTCATCGCGCGGCTTCACATACTTATCAAGCAGCACCTCTCCCGTCTTGTTGACCAATGAGACGCGGGCCAGCATGTCAAACTGGCCGTTGGGTCCGATACCGACCATCTCACAATCCATGGCCACAAACCGATTTCGCTGTGCATTTCGCTTTAGCCGCTTACGTGCTGATTTTGTTAGCGGCGGTGGGGTTCCTTCAGCTGGAGGAATTTGTTGCTGGTTTTCAGTTCCAGCGGCTGCTGCCTGCCAATTTGAGCCGGCGGCGCGTCGGTTAATATTTGGCTGTTGCACCTTCAAGCTTTCCATGGAAGCGTGAATTTTACTTTGTTTCGGGGATTCACCTATTTGTGGTAGCTGTTGTTAATAGAACCGTTATTAGAGTTTTTGTCTTACTTGCCTTTATCCATATCCAATTTTTTGTCACCTTGTACTAGCTGCGGCAGTGACATTTGCTATATCTTAACATTAAATGGAAAGATATTGACTTTTATTAAATATTTCGAGAAAATAGGCAAAAACGCGTCTATCCTATCCACTTACCTCCAACAATGTGTTCGACAAGTTATTTGGCGCTGCCACCCGGTAGCAATTAATGTTTGAGTACTTGATATGAATACATCGGCTAACACTTACACATCGCTTGCCAATTTTTCGATACATCGATTCATCTCATATTTTATAGCCAAAGCTAAATTGAATATATTTATTTATTTGCCATTATTGTGCAAAGTGTAAAGCCGCGAAATGGAGCAATCAAAGTAAAACGATAGCAAATTAATCGGAGATAATCGCCGTTTTTCAACAGCACGCTTGCTTTATTCTCTTACAACATGCCATTGATTTGTACTAGAATTTTGGTAGCAGGTTGAAGCCCAACTCATTGTCTAGGACTAGGACTTCTAAATGGCCATGGCGGGCAGTAGCTGCAACCAACAGTCCTTTCATTCGCGTTGCGGGCGCTCCATAACGCTTCACAATGGCAATCGCTGCGCTAAGCGTTCCGTACGTGATTTTAGCCATGCTCTAGTTTTCAGTGCTAAGCCGCTAGCCGATGATGAACTGTTCGAAGTAGTTATTGAGAAAAAGGTAAGTAAACTACATAAATATGTTCCACGTGATTAGTAATGCACTTTTTCCACACACAGAATCATTCCTGGGGCGGCAGCATTGAGATTGGTGTCACCTCGGAGTCACCTGATGACCTGGAACTGGTAGCCTGCGCTACCGCCATGCGCAATGGCACCTGGGTAATGTCTGGGATTGATGTGCGGAAGGATGGTCGTCGCCTGCTGGAGTTCTATGGCACGGATCTGGAGACGCTTAATGAGAACGACCGTGTTGGGGTCATGATTGTTGGCGCGACTCGGGATCTGGTCTTCTATGTGAATGGGGAGAGTCAGGGTGTGGCGGCGAAGAATATGCCCAAACCGCTGTGGGCTCTAGTTGATCTCTACGGACGTTGCGTGCAGGTTTCTTTGTGTCCGACAGACCGAAGCGCACGTGAGGTAAGAAGAAAACACACTTGCCCGCTTTGATGAAATATGTCGAGTAACTATTTAATTATTGTGCAGTTTGTAGACTCGCCGGTGCAACAGGTGGTGCAGAATCTGGATGTGGCCATGAGTGTGGATGTTAATGTGGATAGCAGCAGCAGCATGGATGCATTATCGCGTCTTAATTTAAATGCTAGTGCAGCAAGCAACTCTTGTAACGGCGGCGCCGGTGACTTTTACGATGTCAATGACCGCCTGCGCTTTCACACACGCTGTGGCTCTCTGGTGAAGCTTTCGCCAAATTTTCGTTCCGCCGAGCGACGCCGTCCACTGGATGAGTTCAACAATGGTGTGGTCATGACACATCGTCCGTTGCGGGACAATGAACTCTTTGAAATACGCATTGATAAACTGGTGGATAAATGGTCCGGTTCCATAGAGGTAGGCGTAACCACGCACAATCCCACGGTGCTTCATTTTCCTGCCACTATGACAAACATGCGCTCCGGAACGATCATGATGTCCGGGTCGGGAATCCTCACAAATGGAAAAGGCACCCGCCGTCAATATGGGGAATTTAATTTAGATGAGCTTCGAGATGGCGATCGTGTTGGTAAAATAATTTACATAACCATCGTATAAAGTCAAAGAATATTACGGATCTTTCTCATACCCATACAGGCATGATGCGCAAAGCAAACGGCAACTTGCATTATTATATTAACGGACAAGATCAGGGAATTGCAGCCACACGCGTTGCTGCCACGCTATGGGGTGTTATCGATCTCTATGGCATGACCATCAAGGTGACAATTGTGGATCGTGATGAGCGGGAGCAGCAGAATCTGGTAACACGCCGCAATAATATTGTGGCCGGCATGGCCAGCAGTAATACTCAGTTGGGCACTCCCACACTTAGTCTGCTCAGTCCGGAAAACGAAATTATAGCTGGAGCGGCTGGAGGACTCAGTGAAACTATTTCCAGCACACGAGCCATTGCACGCAACGATGATCGCTTGACGTTTCATCATATTTGTGGCAGCCATGCCACAGTTACCCAAAGCGGACGAACCGCATTGCGACCCAAGTAAGCGCCATAAGTGAATTCCCAAATTGTTTCTATCACACATTTATTTACGCAGTGCCGCGGATGACTTTAACAATGGTGTTGTCCTGACACGCCGTCCCCTACGGCCCAACGAATTGTTTCAAGTGCGTTTGGAGCGCGTCGTAACCAAATGGGCGGGCTCTGTGGAAATGGGTGTGACGACGCACTGTGCCGAAGAGCTAGACTTTCCCTTCACCATGACCAATGTTCGGTGAGTAAAATTGCAAGCACAGTCATGACAGAAATCAACTTATTGCATTTTAATATAACATCCAAAAATATTCATGAAATATCAGTAATATTAAATAATAAAACATAATACAGAACATAACAGAACAATTTAAAAGAAGATTTTATTTCCACAGCTCTGGCACGTGGATGATGACCGGCAATGGAATAATGGTATATATATACTTGATATAAATAACTTACAATTTCAAATAAATCGAAATACTTTACAATACAATTCTACAGCAAAATGGAGTAACCATCATTGAACAATATGGTCAGAACTTGGATCGCTTGCAGGTGGGTGAATTGTTCTATTATATATGTATGTAAATATAAGCTGATGGAAGGCTGTAAAAAATCAAAAATCCTTGTTGCTTAAAGATTTAGTCGCCATATAGCGATGTAATTTTTTGTAGCCATGAAGGCTTTAAAAGCCATTCAATTGTATTTCGAAATAGATTAACTTATGTTTTTAAACTATTGTTTGAAATTTTCATGATGATTGAGAGCCTCTGTTATACAAGCTGAGAAGGCGGCACTTAGTAAAAACCATTAACCTAATCTTGTAAACCAATCAAACATTTTAACGAGACAAAGCTTTTTCGTCTCAGTGCTGTTTTATTGTCTTTGTATTACAAAGCTTTCTGAAGTCAATCTAATAAATGAAACGATGCATATATTTTTAGGTGGGGGATCGCGTTGGCGTCGTGCGCAAAGATGATGGCACCCTGCATTTTTGGGTTAACGGCGTGGATCAGGGTCCAGCCACAACTGTGCCGGAACGCGTCTACGGCGTCATTGACTTGTATGGCCAGGCGGCACAAGCCAGCATTATAGATACTTCGGAGTGTGGTAGTCCAGATACGGGAAATTCAACCATTTCCAATACGACGCTGTACAGTGAAGTTCCGCTGCGATTCCACAGCATACATGGCACTAATGCGGGCATCTCAAATGGTGGATTAACTGCCTCGCGTCCCAATTCGCTGGCCGAGTTCAATGATGCTATCGTCTTCAGTAATCGCCCGTTGCGTCATCGGGAGCTATTCGAAGTGGAGCTGGAAACCATGGTTCGACATTGGTCGGGCAACATTGAGATTGGAGTGACTGGCACACGTCCAGAAGACATACAATTAGCGCCCAATGCGACCGATCTTGAGGCTAACGATACGATCATACTCTGTGGACCTATGATCTTTCACAATCGCAAATCTATACGCACTAATGTGCTCATCGATCTAGATACCCTGGGAACTGGCGCTCGAGTTGGTGTGATGCGCAGTGGCGAGTTTATTCACTTCTTTGTGGATGGCATGGATCAAGGACCTGCCTGTGAATGCCATGCGCCCAACATATGGGCTATCATCGATCTATATGGGCAGTGTGCCCAGGTGAGTCTAACCCAAACGCAACTCGATATACGCGCTCCGTACGCGACCAGCGAAAATTCGCAAAGCTGTCAAGCCACATCGGTCATTCAACATCCAGCTCTGGAAACTAAGCATCGTTGGACGTGTTTGACGGGCAATGTTACCTTAACTAAAGACTGGACAGAGGCAGCACGTCCAACAGGCAGCTCGGCAGCATTATCCCACTGCGTGGTATTCTCGGAGCATCCGTTAAGTGTGGGTTCACCCTTTGAAATCAAGCTGACCGCCATAAATCCAATGTTTGCGGGTATGTCCTTAACCCTGCTCTCATCTATGTAATCATACACTAACGTTTAATGCTTTTGCTAGGCTGCTTGAACATTGGCATTACGGATCTGAACTTAGCCGATGATAACGTCCGCAAGAAACTGCCCGTCAGCCTGAAGAGAATTCCCGCAAATGTTTGGTACGTCAGTGGCAACGAAGTGCGTTTCAATTCCACCTGCTTGCAACGATCGTTTGCTTCATTGGAATGGCTGCGCATTGACGATCGTATTACCCTAGAGCTGAGCTCCACACGCACATTACGCATTCTACTCAACTCTGAGGACATGAACATTAAGTTCAATGACATACCAAATGTGAGTAATATATGTAAACTCAAGCTGTAAGGCTCTTCTGAAATAGGTAATGAGGAAAGAGAAAAATGTATTAAAAATATAGACGAGGCTTTTACTCCGCATACCCAGAATAGACTACCGAACGAAACTCTATAAATCTGAGTCCGAAATATCTTCTTTTTTTTTAAGCTTTTAGCTTAAAGATATCACCCAAATTAAGAGACCCTAAATAAATATTCCCAATCAAGCGACTACCCCATCAGTATTCACTAAAATTATTATAAAAAAATGATGTCTGCATGATCTCAAGGATCTCGGAAAGTATAACGGCTAGAACTATCAAGCTTGACATGAACTTTCTCCCTAAGTTCGAACAAGGAATTAATCATATTTTTGTTTCCAAAGAACTCACATTCCGCCTTAAAGTGAGCTCAGAACTGTGAGATCTGATTTAATGTTAATGAAATTTAATTCATTTTCCTTCTCCATTTCCATTTTTAAATTATTCTCAGGATGTTTACGTTGTGGTTGAGCTGCAAGGCTCCACAATGGCAGTTCAGGTGATTTCATCGCAAGGTCCCACCTCACCCCTGCGACCGTGCAGCTTACGCCTGCAGGATTCAATGGAGTTTGGAATGGATCCGTTGAACAAGCAAGACTCCATGCTGGAATCCATTGACTCTGAGGCACAAATTTATGAATTTGTCGACATATCCAACAAGCATGCACGCCTCTCCGACGATCGACGCAGCGTCACGCGCACAAAGTCCTACAATCAGGCCATTGTGTGCCTAAACAAGCCATTGTGCAAGGGCGAGAGCATTAGCATCAAGGTGGATGCACTGAACAACAAATGGAAGGGCACTCTAGGCCTGGGTGTTGTAGCCACATGTCCACAACAGGCCAGTGCTAATATCGTGCCTATTTCGCTGCTCAATTGCAAACGCAACTGCTGGCTCGCCACACACGATTTCATCAACATCAACGGCCAGGTTGTGGCCTCCAAATATGGGGAGATGCTGGAACAGATTCAAGTCGGCACAGTCATTACTTTGACACTCACGCATGCGGGCATGTTGGGTACGCTCTATAAATTCCTTAAAAAAAAAACTAGAATTAAGCTTAGATCTTGTTTCAGTCATTATGGTTGGCTCAACGAATCTCGAGGATTTGGGCAGCGGCTTGCCAAGTCATGTCTATCCCGTTTTCGATGTCTATGGGAAATGCGAGAAAATTACACTCATTACTGGTAACGATGCGGCACGCAATGGCACTCCCATTATTGAAGCACCCGAGGCCCTAGAGTTGGACAATGGAGTGCCGCAGCAGTGCGAAAAGGCGCACCTAGAAATGCATGAGAAGGAAAAGGATTCGGAGCAAATGAGCGAGAGCTCAAGGGAGTTACAAATGGGCGCATCCACCTCCGGCAATGCTATGTAGGTCATCTACTCAGAGAGTGAGCTTTGCTGTAAATAAAATGATTGTTTTTCCTTAACCAGGACACGATCGGTGATGGAAAGCGTATCCGAAAACTTACTGCTCAACATTTCGATAAAAAATCGTACACTGGAACAGCAACGTAGCGAACTGAGCAGCTCCTCCTCCACTTGGTAAGTCAATATCTACAACAATTTGTGATGGCCAGTCTTTTTAACTGATTCGAATTTGTTGTTGTTTTCTCCGTCATCTACAAACCAGTTGCCTGCGCGAATCCTTGCAGCTGCAGCATAACACAAATCTAAACATCCAACGCAGTCAGAGCACGCAACGTTTCCAAAATTCGCTCAACACCTCAACGGGTGGTGGCGCATCCGGTTCCACGGCGAATGCTGGTGGCAGCGCTCTTCCTCCATCCACCGCAACACAACAACCGTCCAGTGCTGTGTACGACACCAACAAGGAGCAGGATGAGCTCCCGGCCAATGTGGTTTCAGCCCTGCCTGACAATTCCAATGAGCCAGAGCAGAGTGAGAATAATGCCAACGATGTAGAAGCCCATGATCGCGAGACGACCGGCGAGCTGAGCGACAATATGCTGGAGGATGATGAGATAGACTACATGAATCATTTGCTGCTATTGCAACAGTTGCAACAAAACGAATACACGCGCATGCAACATCACCTGATGCCCGATCAAATGTCGCTGTTGAATTTGGATTTGTCGTCGCTGAACTCCGTGGAATCGGACACCAATTCATCGAATGCGCGCGCGGAGTCCCTACGCACAGCAGCGGCGGCGGCTCTGGAGCAAAACGATTGCGAATATCTGAAGCAGGTTAAGCGTTTCTGCGCCTCCCTTGTGCTGCCGCAGGCCTTCTTTGACAGCCGCCTCGAGCCGATTTGCTTCTGCGCAAAGTGCGGGATTAGCCATGGCGATAAACTGGAGGGTTGGGTCTACTTCAAGCTCAATCAGCAGACGGTGAATGTCTCGGCAGCAACCACAAATGCTGGGGGGGCCACAGCGACGACGGCGCCGCAAGTGCACTTCGATCTCAATGGCGATTGGCTTCCCTTTTATTATATGACGCGAGTGGACAAAATACGAGCCATACTCGATCGCGGTCAGCCCTTGCCGCTAGAGACCGATGAAGACACCGATGCTGGGGCCAATAGCGGCTCCGGTGGCACCCAAAAGGATGAACCCGGCACACGCCTAGAGTTGTATTACTCGCCAAATGCCACAATTATTGAGCCTGTCCTGCCGCAGCATAATTTGGTGTCAGAGCAGGGCGTGCATCGCATCTCCACATCGTTTGAGGTCTATGTGCGTCGTCAGTCAATTTCTGGTGTGACGAGCAAGGCCTCCGAATCGAAGCGACGCAGTCTCAGCACGGCAGAGAGTGTGGCGGCCGCCACCACTCATGAGACGAACAACAACACTGGCGGTAGTGGTGGCGAAGTCAATGGAACAACTGCAGGCACTCTCAACGAATCCTCCGTGCATTTGCTTAACGACCTTTGCTGGTTTACCAAAGAGGCTGGCGCCTGCATTATAAATGCGCTCATCATAAAACTGGATCGCATCGAGTCAGAGTCCAATGCCACAAATTAAATACAATTCAAACACTCACACTAGTCAACTAATAGAAAAAAACCCACACACGCTTCTCACTTGCTGCTCCGTCGTTCCTTACATTCATTTTTATATCACTTTGATTTGTAAGATCGCAGCTTATAATAAACCAAAACAGAAAACTTAGAGAATTCCGATTTACTATACTTGTAATACGACTTCTTGGTGATGCGTCGCGAAGAATTTGTAATAACCCCTATTGATATTAATTTATTTTTAAATTATACAAAATATCAAACATGAGATTTAACTGTTTTAATTACTTAAGTTCTTTATTCCATGCCTCATACACATCGTATGTAATATTTATATACTGATTTGTTTAATTAAATTTTTTCAAAGCATAATATTGTCGCATTACTTTGGTGAGGTCGAAGCTAACATATCTGAAAATGATTGTTAATTATATAATACATATATTTTAATAGGCTTGATGCTCATTTTGTAGTTGCCAACAAATTTTAGATTTATATTTATATTATTTTAAAAATGGTAAAAATTGAGTTATTCCTTTTCAGTAAATTTTCACTATTTCAAAAACAACATTTATTTAAGCACGAATTTAACTCAAAACTAAATCAAATTAAACGCCAAATAAGTAGATGAGTTTAGTTTTTGGAATCTGTTTTATTTGATTATTTGAATTCCATTCATTTAGTGTCCTTTGTTGTATTTTGTTGGTGTTATTCATCAAATACATGAAAAATGGTCGATTAGAAATTGGTTTAAGTTCTGCAAATACAGTAATGTGTTTTTCTCGCCTTCCCTTTCTTCCTCCCGTCCATCTAACTATCTGTCGTCTCCTGCACTAATCCAAATGAATCGCTTACATGTGTAGTGTTTTTGTTTGTGTTTTGTTTTTCTGTTCATCGCAAGAAATTAAAAGCAATTGCATATACAAATGAATTTTATACGTGCATCGCTCAACTAATCTAACATTAAACGCCGCCCTATATCGCCCCCATAAACGGCGCTCACTCCACGTCCATGGCGGCATCAGTCGGTCCGTTTCCGCCCATATTTTGGTTCTGTGCATTGTTGTCCACATCCATTTTGTCGCCGCTCGACTGCTCGCCACCATTTTGTGCAGCATCGGAATCCTTTGGCGGTGTCGCCTTGGTTGCTGGCTTCGGTTTCGCGCGATTAATGACCGAATTGACACTCGAGTTCAGTGTCTGGACTTCGTGGCGCAGCGCAGATACCTGCACGGGACTGTCCGTGGTGCGTGGCGCCTGTGAGAATTTACCTAAATTGGCATCCAGCCATTTTTGCGCCTTGTCCGCGGCCTCGGAAATGTTTATGAACTCAGTTTCCGTCAAATGATCATATTTGGGCAGACCCTTACGGAAATCGGCCACGGCCTGGCGGGCATGGGCGATGCCCATCTTCAGTTCCTCAAAACCAGCCGGGCAAAGTTCGTAATCGTGGGCGCGTTGCTTAATGGAATCGGTTTGTTGCTGCAATCCCTGAAGGCGGTTCACATACGTTTCACGCTCACAATCCTCACCCTCCTCATATAACCAGTTCTCAAGATCATTCAGCTGCGCGACAATGCCCTCACGATCCGATTCCACAACATAACGCTCCAGGGCGCCGCCCTGTAAAATGAATTATTATTAATAAATTATGAATACAAATGTTATGTGTTTAACAACGAAGGAGAGTGTTAACCTTTGGCTTTCAAAGTGTGGAAATACTGTTTTTTAAGTCCTAAAAAGTTGCATACAAAATGGCCAACTACAAGTAGCTTCAATATTCCGTTACTTTCTAATTGTAATTTTGACAAGGTCTAAAAGGCAGTAATGCGGTTTTCTAATTTCCATATACGTTAAAACGATAATCTTACATTACGTCATTCTTATTTGATTATATTTTTAAATGACAACAAATTGATGAAGAATTGACGCAACCCGAAAAATTTGACTGCCAATAACTATTCGCATATGTGTCTAGAATCGAACACTGTTGGTACGAAATGTGACCGCAAAGATGAAACTGAATCATTGCTCTTTTTTATGCCATTTTAGGGCTACACCTCTTACACATTTTTCCTTACCTGCAACTTGTTACGCATATCGTACACAAATTCCTCCAAAGCGTTCTTAGCGTCAATGCGTTCAGTTTCCTTCTGATCATTGGAAATCATCTTGCTTTCCTGCTGGGTCAAGTTGCTCAGGTCGGCTGGTGCAAAGCCATGTGTGGTCACCTCCATGGGCAGTTCGGTAGCCTTTGCGGATTTTTTCTTTTTGTCGTTGCCCTGCAAGCCATAATAAATCATAGAAGAAATTACTTAAATGTTGATTATAATCGCTAAGATTTGGAGCGCACAGAGAAACGGGAAATAGCTCGAGTTCCTTGAGAAACAACAAAGCGAAGAGGAAAAACAGCTCAAGCAACAGCCTACAATATGAGCGAGAGATTTGTGTTAATATGGAGTAGAGGCTTTTATTTTTGGGTATGTAGTATTTGCATTTGATTTTTTTCTCTTTTTTGAACGAACAAAAATAATTCAACAATGTAAAATTAAAATCATTTGTTTGCGACGCAATATTCTCATATGGCAGTGAATATATAGAAATATATATGGAATATAATTCAGATCCCTTTGATTTTTTTTATTATTATTGTTCTATTTGCTTTTGTAGGAGCACACAGGGTAGGCTTATGAGCGGTCTTCTTCTTTCGTTTCATTATTGCAAATTAATTTATTGATATTTTTTCTTCTGGATTTCAAAGGCATTTCCAATTTCTTGACAATTTACTGGACATAACTAAATATTAAATGCATAATGTTTAAATTTGAAAACGTACCGAACCAAACCAGCCCTTGACCCGCTGAGCCCACCCTTGTCCTCCAGGTGATGAGGCTGTTGATGCATTATTATCATCTTCATTCTCACAATATGCCTACGCGCGCGCATCAAAAAGTACAAAGTACATGGTGTGTACATAGTATATGCAATATAATAATAAAACAAAAATCAAGAGGCATCAGCATCAACAATAAGTATGATAGATAGGACAACAGCAAGAACGACAACTTTAAGTACATAATAGAGCAGAGAAAATATAAGAATAGTTATTGCCACAACTCTGATGGGAATGGAATGCAGTTTGATTAGAGTATGCTTAGGGAGTGGCGGGGATTAGTCGTAAACAAAATTAGACTTGGAATAATGAGAAATCAAAAGAGTATGCGACTAATGACAGCGCACAGATAAAATGCACTCAAGGATTAACCAAACTACTGCTTGAAATTTTGCGACGCACAAAGCTTTGTTGCTTCACGAGTAGCTATTAACGGCGACACAGTCGACAAACGAAAATCACATGCCCAGCACTCACCTCCTGCTGAGCATCTGTTGGCTCGCCAGCATTGTTTGCTGCCTGTTGTTCGTTGATCTTTTCATCGCTGCTTGTAGAGCCGACAGAATTGGCTGCTTGTTCTGCTGCAGCGGCAGCCTCCTCCAACTCCTTCTTCTCCACCAGCGTGGCTGACGAGATGAGTACAATGCCGTTGTTATTAATGCGAACCTTAAGCTTAACCTCCTGACCCTCGCCGCGCTCATTGGGCTTCACATCCTTAATCTTCCAAACGCCAATCATTTGGTCCGGATATGGCACCGGCTGGGCATATAAGACGGACACATTGAATGGACCCTTGCGGTTGATGGTCAAGAGACGGCTAAACGGTGATGGATGGAACTGCGAAAATATTTCAATTTCTCCAGGCGTAGCCGAACCCTCATTGTCCCACAAAACCTTCACGGCATAGTTTTGTATGTCAACAACACCAAATTCGCGCACGCGCACTGCAGGCGACATGATGGCGCATTGCAGAGCAGCACCGCGAGAAACAGCCTCATCTTGATTAAGTGTGGTGCTGGCCGGTTTGTTGAAGACCTGTAAGTCAAATGTATGATTAGATGCATATCTATACGTTGGAAAATAGAATAATAGTAAGAGAATAATTTCAGAAATAACGTTCAACAACATCCTATAATTAGAAACGATTTACGAGCAAATCGTAAAGTTATATATAATAAATCGCTCTAATTCATAATGTTTTGACTGGCAACTCGTCTAAAAGTAAATTCTTTCCGCATTATTATTTTTAAAGGCGCAAAGGGTGGTATAAATATGAACATATAACTTTTAAGTTATTTGAACATTTTTATAGATTCGTTGTTAACGTTTGTTTCTCTTAAATTTACTGTTAATATAAATTTATCATAAAGTATTATTCAGAACCACTATAATAGATTCCACTTAGTATATAACATACTGACCTGTTCAATCAGCTGCTTAATGGCCGGTATGCGGGAGCTGCCGCCCACAATCTCAACAGAGTTGATGTCATCCAATTGCAGCTTGGATTCAACAAGCAATTTCTTGAACGTTTGCTCCACACGTTGCAGCAACGGAGCGCAAAGCTCCTCCATATGGGAGCGCTGCATGGATGATGTCACATCCACATCTTCCATGAAACATTCAATGTTAAGCGGCAGTTTTGTGCTGTTTGCTGACATTTGCTTTTTAAGCTTTTCGATTTCAGTTAGCAGGCGTAAATGGGCGCGTGGATTTTTCTTAGAATTAATCTTGTAGCGGTCGAGGAACTCCTTGCTGAAGTATTCTGCCATAGCTAAATCAAAATCACGTCCACCAATCTGTGCCCATGTGCTGGCGAGCATTTTAAGCTTTCCCTTGGTGAATGCACACGCACTGACCTGCAGTGCCGCGTGGCCGCAATCGATGAAGATGACATTGCGTGGCTTATCCTCAAATAGATCGTTCTTGTAGAAACCATATGCTAATGCCGTGGCCGTTGTCTCATTCATCAAACGTAGCACATTTAGGCCGGCGATTTGTGCTGCATCGAGCAGAGCACGACGCTCGGCATTGGTGAAGAAAACTGGACAGGCAATGACACAATCATTAACCTGAGTTTGCATGGCCTGTGCCGAGGTCTCCTTTAGCTTGGTAAACAGCATGGCAGTCAATTGTTCAGGCGAGAAATATTGATCCTCATGCAGATAGTTGACCTTGATGCCAATGCTACCATCGTTGCGCGCCTCTACGCGTGCTGGAATGCTCTGGAGCTCACGTTCCACATGTGGATCGTTGAATTTACGGCCGAGCAGACGCTTAAAGCCGCCAACTGTGTTTTTCATGTTGGTCACCTGTTGATTCTTGGCGGCGACACCAATAATGCGCTTCTTGCCATCGAAAGCCACAAAGGAGCTGCAAAAGGAGCGATTTATCAAACATTAATTTTAGCAACAATTTATGTGTTTCTTATAACCGTAAGAGACAGATCTGAGAGCATTTGGCTACAAAAATCAAGTCAAATAAGGCCAAAAGCAATACAGCACAGCATGTATTATAAATTAATTAAGCGCACTGCCAATTATGTCATGTATACAATCTGATTTGGGTGAGTGTGTGTCTCTTGCTGTTTGCCGGCTTCGAATTTATTTTTGACCACTTTGCACACGCCTTTGCTACCTCGCCCCAGCCCTGTTGCCAACAGCTGTGGGGGATGCTGCTGACCGACTGTGCGAACGAACGAACGAACGATTTAGATGCGATCAACCAAGCGAACGCATGACGCATACAAAATATGTGTGCTCGTTGTGCCAATAAAAGTAAAAAACGTTTGCAAATGTGGAAAATGCTCCCACGCAGTCTACAACTTTTAAATTAAAAAATGTTAGTCAAAAGAAACGCACGCAAATACAACAATATACATATGTATGTATGTATGTGAAAGGTGCTGTGTGTATGTGTATACCTACATACATACACATGCGCAAGATGATAAATTAGGCATTTTTTGTGCTTGAATGACTGCAAGCCAGTTAACAGTGCAACATTTCAAAGTCGTCCATCACAAAACTTGCTATTTATGTATGTTTGTTTGCATGCATGTGTGTAGATGCTCTTTTATGGAGCGCATTGAGCCAAATTTAGGCGCATTGGAATCGACGTACAACTTTTTGCATTATTGCTTGTTCATAAACGTAACTGCTAACAACACTGTCCACAGAATTTTCTAGGTCTTTCCAGAAGCACCTAAATTTCACACACTCTCACACATACATACATACGCATACGAACCCTCGCTGCCGGGCATGACTTACATTTATACATAACCTCAAAGAGGTAGACTTGCGGGAGGGGTGTGTGTGTGTGTGTGTATTGCCTGCATTTTGCTTATCAATAACTAAACCTCCCACCAATTTGTACATACAAACATGTTTGTATGTGCTTCTGTACTTACGGCGTTGCACGCAGACTGTAGTCATTGGCTAGAGTCTCAATGCCTCCAGATCTGGCGGCCGCAACATAGCAGCTCTCATTACCAAAATCGATGCCAATCACAGACATTTTTCCTTCCCGCTGCTTCGCGATGCGTTTAAATTGCTTTTGATTGGTTTTCTTTGAACTATTCGGTTAGACTTCGTTGCCTAATGTGTATTTTCTATTTCTTGTTCTCTCTCTTTACTTGCAACTGCAGAACAATGCTAGTTTCCAGTTCAACTGCAAAAACAAGACTTCGATTAGACTACAATTTTCGACACACGAAATTGAATAAACATCAATTCAATATCTGACATAAAAGTCAATCGGCTTTTGTTCAATATTACGCACATTTATCTATATATGTATCAACGTTTTAGCTTAAATTTAACAATTTTCCGTCTCACAACTCGGCACACACGTTTTCTCAGCGCAGTTCAATGAAAAATTGACGCGGCGACGTCGACTGCGGGCTATTCACAATCGTGACGAAACTTCTCGAAAGTGCGTGGCGTTGCCACTAATCGCCAAAAGAAAGTGGCAACTCCGTCATATGTGAAATAAACATTTAAAAACTAATACACATGTTTATTTTCAGTTTTTTCTTTATACATGAGTAACATATGATAAAAGGAATCTCATGAAATTAAACTTTAATATGTTATAACCATGCCATTGTAGTGCACCGCTGTAAATGCAATTTCTTTAGTATTGTTGTTGATTTTTTTGGACATGCTTGTTGCCATGTGCAAAAAAAAAACGCCGCACCGCTCTATGTAATATGCCCCCATTAGTGTTAATAACCATCCATTCTAACGTATGTACGTTAGGCGGTGTTCAGCTTCTGTAGTACAATAGGCGCTAGATTGGGGGAAAAGATATGTACATATGTACACATGTTTTTAACAACTGATAACATTTACATAAGCGCATTCTTCTCACCTAGCCGTATGGCTACACATAACGCTCCAAAAACAAAGAAATTGCCGCGTACCTCCGCCTTGACGCGCTTCTGTTCCTCAGCAGGATCAGCTTGTGGCAACCGAAACATGTTTATGATTTTTTAATATATTTATATTAAGATAAAGATAAATTAATTTATAAAGCAGTAGAACACTATAATTGCGTTCACAATAGGAAATGCTTCTTCTTAACTTGAAAACGACAGTCACACCAAACGGTATTCATTATTAATAAATCGATATACATATGTATTTATTTGAATAAAATATCTGAATTAAATAAGTTCAGAAGGTAAGAAGATTACAGTATTTGAAATGGTTAAATCAAATACCCAAATAAAATAAAACAAATAATCCTTTCATTTCATTTAAAAAACGTTGATAATAAAAATTCAATGAATTACATAGAAAATTTATATTCTGAGCATAATTCATGTTTGCCAAATTTTATTGGCAGAACATTTTCCAATTTCAAATATTTAAATGTGGACCTCTTGTATCAACAAGTTAAAATGTTTGATGATTTGAAATGGCGTCTAACTATGGAGTTCCAGAAACAATTTAAAAACCAATGTAAGATTATTTTTTGATAAAACTTCATAGGGTTATAAGTCCATTTAAATAAATCAAGTAACCTGTAATTTTAGGACGAAAATTGTGAAAAAATAAGCTTACCTTGAAATGTAATTCAACGTGTTTGGAGCAAGAACACTTAAGATCACTGTAATCTCTTCAACAACATAATAATTCTTTGAGGCAAAAGTTTATTGCCTATAATAAATGCATAAGTAAACAATTTCTTCATATTGTGAATGATTGAAAACATGTATGGTTTTAATTTCACGGTAAATATTTTTTACATTAAACACAGCCGTAATTACATATTGAACATATAAATACGATAGATATTTTACTATTTAAACTTATCGTAATAATGCGAACAAAATTAACTGCTGATGCTTCATGCAAATTAAATCAAATCGGTATCGCGCTTATACTAGTTTAAATTAAGGTACATATGTATGTGTTTCGTACTTAATTAACAGTACATACTATTTGGAAAACAAAAACTACTAGGCCGTTCGCTTGGCTACGAGCCGCTTTGGAGTTGTTTCGTTACAAAAATGTATTTATTTTGGTTCCAATTAAGACGGTTGTCTTAACAATGATCCTCACTCCATTTCAATATGTCATGGTTAGTAATCATCATTTGTGTGTGGATTGTAACTCATTCGATCTCTATGTACAATGTGTTAGGGTTATGTACGCGATTATGATTGTTATCGTTATAGGTGTCCATAGAATTTGGTGCGATGTTCTGATCAGCCTCCGGGTCGCTAAAGACGTTCTCATCCGCCTCATGCTCGATATTGTAACTTGAAAACAGAGGTGGTGGACACAAGGCTGGTGGCTTTTCAGTGGCAGAGATATGAGCGTTCTGCGGCGTTTGGGCATCGATAAAGAAGTCTGTTTGGTAATAAAAGAACAAATATTCTCCTTAGTTAAGATCTAACATAGCATTTCAGTGTAATGGTATGGCAAATGCATGGCCGAGACAATACAAAATCAACTAAAAATACATTCCAGAAACAGAAACAAATCGGATGTAAAGTTTTGGACAAATTTACCTGCCGATTGTTAACGGATTTTATTTTGGTTTTAAGCAAGCCTAATTGCTTTGCCATTTTTGTGATTTGTATTTGTGTGTGTGTGTGAGTGTATGTGTGAGTGTGTGTGTGTAAGTGTGTATAATGTATTTGTGTGTGAGACGCTTTAGAAGGCGACATCGTGTAGTTCAGGTGTCGTGGGCATAATTTGTACTGGAAAAAAATATTTGATATTTATGAAGCTCGCTAAAATGATGAGCGATGACTGATTGCAATAAATTTAACTAAAACCAACCTGATTCCACACCATTCCATTCACTGACAACAGCATTATGGCAATGCTGATGCGGATTGGGAATACCCTCCACAGAGCCCTCGTAGATTTGTAAATCTGTGGCCAGTTCATCGTGTTCTGTCATATCGTCAAAATCAAAGATTTCTGTCACCTTGACCTTATTCGTATTGTCGTCGGTATAATAATAGGCATAGAGTGCATCGTTGTGCGTTGTCATCTTGAGGACATGCTCAAAATTGTCGACATCATCTTCCAATGGCGTGGCGCCGCTAAAAAATATATAATTGGAAACATTTAGTTATTCAATAAACTGAGGGCTAACAAATCATCCAAACCTACCATTCGTCAACGAGTATGGAAACGCGCGGTCCGTACAAGCGACTCGAGTGCAGCAAACCGGTGGCATCAAAGTGCGGCTGATCGTAAAGCTATATATATATATATAGTACATGACGGGATACGTAAGTAAAATATTTTAATTGCGAAACGGAATCAATAACGAACTCGTAATGCTTTTGATAAAAGTGATATTTAATCGGTTGAATGAGTTAATTTCACTTGAACGGATTCACAGCCGATTTTAATTATATATAAGTGGGTATATTTTTAAATATTTTTATAATTTTCTATGTTAGAATGAACTCCAAAATGTAAATTATTTAATTCATTTACACAATAATAATTAGAAGAATAAAAATCTAGATAATGTATAGAATATTTCTATTAGTTCTTCATTGGTTATTTTTTTTATAAAAAACTAGATACATAAATGAATACGAGTTCGGTTTGATCCCAAAGAATAGCACTCGAAATATTACTTACCGTGAATTTGTTGAAGAACCGAATCTGCATGGCATTATTAAACTGTGCAATCAGCTCTTCGACGAGGAGACGCATTTGTTTGGTCAGTTTGGGGGTTAAGGTGGTAATTCTGCAAATATAATTCATGTTTATAATTTGGAATACCTAGATAATTTGAATCTAAGCCAATTGGAAGCAACATTTGCAGTATTAAGCGAAAATAAGTGCAGTGTGTATATAATGCCAGTTTTATTGTTATTTTGAATATCGTTACAAAATTCATGATCCATATCGAATGGTTACTATTACAGGCTAAACATAACTTAAGCAATTGTACTAAATATTTGTATATATTATTCTGGTTGATAATTTACTAGAGAGTCAGGGATGGACCTTAAATACATGAATGAATGCGTCGACGACCTGCGGCTTGCTCTTGAATCTGTCGTTGGCTACTAGGCGCTGGCAAATGTTTTTCCAAATGGCTTTGGTATCTGCTTCATGGTTCTACAAACACAAATGAAAGGCAATAGCTATAACCTCAAACGAACACAGAAGCGCGAGTGGGTGGTCTTTAGAACTTACTTGGATACGGTGGCCAAGAAGAAGTCCATGGGGACAGTGGCCGGCAGTGAGAGCAATTTGATGCCCCGATGTTTGAATATCCAGTTGGCTAGTCCTTTGTTCGCCTGCTCTATGTAATCCTGAATTACATCCAGCACAGTCTGTGGCATATTCGAGCTTAAAGCGTCCTGCAAATCATTTCAAATGCATTAGCATTATGAGCTGAGATGGCTAAGCTTATTGAAACGAACCTTTCTATGCTTCTTGCATTCCCTGCATTCGGGATCGAATTCCTGAGGCTGTGCCACTGTCTCTGAGACCACAAATGTCGATTGCACAGCCACACAGCGTCGACAATTGATGAGATTGTTGCGATGCAAAAACTGTAGGGCATCATCAAAGCCCTGTTGGCAGAATTTCGACAGAAACTCTGGACGGGGCGGAAACAGAATGCGGACAAAGCGATTTATGTTCTGTCTGGATATCTCAATGCTTGTGTTGGCCCAATTCAGATGAAACAGTTGTGAGCTCTGATCACGCGGGCAAATGTCGCTCTCCCCGCAGAAGGGGCTTACGGTAATTGTGTTTTCGTCCAGAATGGGCAGATTGTCGGAGAAAGCGCCATCCATGTAGCGTACGCCACGAAAACGTGGCGGCAGAATTCCCGAGAAGCCAGGTATAAAACAGGCACATAGCAATGCTTGCAGAACTTCCTCCCGCGACTCAAACTCCGATATGATCACATTCTGTCCATCATAGACCCGCGTCAGCGAAATGTGCAGTCGCCCGTTAACTCGTTTGTGCGCATCGTCAGGCAAATGCTTCTGCAGGCCCTCCAGCAGGCAGGTCTGTATGTTAAACGAGGGACTGAAGGGGCCCAGTGAATGACGACGTGCCTCGTTCACAACGCGAAAGAAGTCCGATGTCATGCTGCCTGCAATTCAAAAAGGAAAGGAGAAGAAAGTTAGTATTTCAGCGAATTAAGGATTGAATTCGTGCAAAGTGAATTGAACTTGTGATAAAAACTGGTCTTAAACGAAACAGGTTTTCAATGAAGGAATCCAAAATGTATGTCAATGAGAAAAATAGCCAAGGGTCTAAAAAATGTGTTGCAGGCCCAAAGGTTCCACTTCAATGTATTATTGAGGAACTAAGAGAACCCCAGTAAATGAAAGCTACAATCTATAACTTCATTGGGGTAGCTAATTTGTTTGATAAGATATGATTTCGTTTTTAGAATAGATTCTGATTATTTTCCTGGTGGGCATAATGCTAACGACTTCTATAAAGGTCATAACCATGTTCATTCAGCTCGTTTCTTATCGACTGCCTCAGCTTTTGTGTGCGTCACTGCCAAGCCACGCAGCTGCAAATGCTGTTTATGAGGAAGGGCTGACCTGAAATACAAATACGAGTACATAATGGTGGCTGGCTTGTTTTGAATTTGCTTGCACTACGCAAATGACGTAAAATCGAGCACCTTGGGAATTTGTTTTGTGCGACCCCCAGCATGCAAAGCGCTGATAAGTTATAAAATGAAATATTGGGTGTGACTAGGAAATGTATATAGAAACGAAAATGTTTCAAGGACATGGACCAAGTGTTTGATAATGCAGCGCATGCTTAGCATTTCCCCAGGAGATAAGACAACGTTAGAGAGGTGGCTTGCCGCCAAAAGCTGCCACATGGTACCACTTCCCCCATGTGCCGATTAGATTCGATTTCAATGCGGCAGGCTACAGATAACGACGCCTTCTTTATAAATGTGTCTGATTATTGACGCAAAATTTAAATCAGGCCACTATAAAAACAAAAACTATATATTTGCTGAAATGGTCTTTTGTCCAGACGTACGTCATTTCCTTCTTTGGCGCGATGGTTCAGAAAGTCCAAATGTCATTGAATTGTTTTCATGGGGCTATTTTATATACTATATTATTTAATAATGAGAAATTCTTTACGACTCTGTTTTGTCTGACAAATGCAGTTGGTGGCCATAAAACAGTCCACGAAACGGTCTATGGTTGCTATGGTTGCATTGGGCCTTTCCAAGTCGCAATAAACTGAATGATATATAGAAGGAACGATATCGGCAAACATGTGAAACGGTACAAAGGTAGCAATGCTTACAAAAGCTTTCTTTTTGATAATGAAAGTTCTTTTCCTTACAAATACCATTCATAGGGTTCCCATTGAGCACCTACAGAAACTCCGATCGGCCATATCTACTGCAACTTATCGCAACTACTTTGACAAGGTCAGCTGATTACAAGGAGGAATGTTAGTTGAATACTCATGCGTATTATTTATGAAGGGTGGTAAAACCACAATAGGGGGTACCTCTACTTAAAATAAAACAACCGCGTACCATCTTGGTGTTGTTTTCCTCAAATTAATTCACATGTTTATACGTACATACATATGTATGTACATACTGAAGTTCAGTCCAAATAAACAACGCTATCGCATAACGTGCCAGTTGGTGTTGTTGCTTGTTATTGTTAAGCAAAAGCAAAATAAAATTCTGTCCAAATAAGCTTTAAAGTGTGCGAGTGTGTGTGAATGTGTGTAGGAAATGGGCGTGTGCTCTATGAATGCTGTAACTTGACGACCTTGTTATTGTTGTTGGTTTTCCTTTTTCTTATAAGCAACCACAGTTGAGATAAAAATAGCATTTCATTCGAATATGTAAATGCCAGACTTGTTGACAACAGCAAAGAAAAACATTTTCAAATAACAACAAATTAATAAAGTTATGAAATAGCGGGGACGTATCGGCTAATCCTTTCTCATACGTAGGAAAACCTGGATACCAAGTCTAATGGTTCTGGCTCATATATGTATGTATGTACTTCGACAGACACACTGTCTTAGCAATTCGCACTAAACTGGGAAAGTATGTGGGTTGAAAAAATTGAAACAACAGGGCGTTTCAAGTGTAACCACAACGAAACCAAACCGCAATGACTGCCAAAGCTGTCAAGTGCAGCAATTGAACAAATAACGGCAACCTATACATATACGAACACATGCATATGTATGCACATACATGTGTATATTTGTATGCAGCAGTATGGGGGTATGTGCATGCAACCTATCAATGACGCATTTTGTTTACAAAACGCAACGAAACGCAACCAAACTGTAAACAAGCTGACAAAATGAATAAAATATGTGAAAAACAAAAAAAAACACACACACACACAAAATGCATCTGAATGCACGGTGTTGTTGATTTTGTTTTTTCAATTTTTATTTTGTAGCTGCTGTTGTTGCATTGAAAAATGCGTCTTATTTTTGGGGGCTTGACGGTAAACAAGTTATGTGCTCACGTATTAGAGCTGGACTGATGCTCTCTCGTCATCCAAACATCGATGACAGACTTTCGGCTTCGCTCTTCCATGCCTCAACATATTTTACTTTTACTGTTGCTGGGAAACAGACACACCCCCCGATTTACAGCTGCAGTTGCTCCGCTATATGACGTGCCCCCCCAAAAAAAAGCAACAATATTACAGCGGTCGCTGCTCTCGCTTACAACTCTCACTTGCTCTCTTACGCTCACTGTGCCGCCGCATACCTCATCGCCTGATTTTGTGTTTGTATCACATAAACAACTTTGTATGTATGTATGATTGTATTGTATATTCATATGTATGTGTACTTCTGTTCCTATGGTAAACAATCGTAAAAGTTTTATGTTGCGGCCCTTCTACATAGAGGCCTGTGTATGTGTGTATGTGTCTTGAATGTTTATATATGTAGGTCGTCGGTACTTGGCAACGTTTCGGGTAACATTTTAGGCATTTGTTTGTTTTTGGGCAGCTCGCAACGGCTGCATATTTTTTGGGGTGGTTTTGGGCTTTGCTGTAATTTATTGTACATTTGGTCTTATTGGAATTTTCGTTTGGCTACAAATGCTCAATTGACTGTACGTTGTGACCTTATTATCCGTCAGATAAACAGCTGTCGCAGGAAAAAGACAGTAAAGCAATTTCAGATCCAACTGAGAAGAAGAGATCCTGCCTTGTGGGCACCTCTGCACCTCAATTATTAGCAATTCGTATAATTGCTTTCAATTGCTTATCATACCCTTGAACTTGTCATATTAATTACTCATTTATGGCTAAAAAAGTAAAAATCTTATCTTTCTTCCTACGATATAACGCACCCCTATATTATTCCACTAATAGTAATATGATGTAAGGTTTTTTTTTTAAGCTCGTAGATAAGGAAAATTTTGAAGAGAAGCCATTTTTTAAAACTATGAACTTTTTTTAACGGTAAGTCACCTTCTAATGAAATATAAAGCTTGAAGAATTCGTTGGTTATAACTTCAGATCTAACTCAATCGGAAAGGGAAAGTATTTAACTACTCTCCAATATCGACATTAAAAGTAAGTTTAATTTTTGAAATATGAAACACTCATATTCTATATGGGCCTAAGGTTAAATCTTTTGTGTTTGGCACTAGCTTGGTTTGCACTAGTTTCCAGTTCTTATCTTTGCCCCTCAATCTATTATGTATTGAATATACTTCAAGTGTCAATTAAAACTGTGCCATTTTATAATTTATGCGTCCTTTTGCACACTTTTTGTTCATCTTTTTTTGTTGTCTTTTTACGCATTAGAAAGAGATTGTGCGCAAATTGATTGAACGATGATGACTTGGTGTGCCACTGGGCATCAATCTATCTGAACAATATATATTAGCAATACATATAGCGAGACCCCCATACAATCTGCAGCGCAATGAAACGCACATGGGGTTGATAAGACCCGGGTGTGTGTGAAAAACAGCTGCGATTTCATTGTAAATTTATGTACTATATATACTATATGCATGTATATATAGGTGTGAGCTGATATTTGTAAATAAACAAGCTGGACTTGCTTTGTGCTTTCCATAATCTTATCGCTCATAGAAATAGGAAACTCATTCAGTTTAGTTTTTGTTTAATTGCTGAACTTAGGCCAAAAAGCAATTGACGTCAACCAAGTGTGTAATGAACTTCAGAAAGCATATATTGCACATTAAATACTAGAGTGAGGTGACGTTATAAATAAATCAGGCGAGGGCTAAATTAAGCCGCTACTTCAGAATGAAACTCGTAAATGTGTTATGATTTCTTATGGTTGTAAGCCTTATACTTCAGACATAATAAGCTGTTGCTAGGCAATGTGGAGAAAATGATAGTAATAGTAAAAGATACTCGTAAAAGCACACATTTAAGAATATTAAAAGCCTAGATATACGAGCCTGTACAAGTTCCTTGAACCGATAAATTTGTGTTGAATCCAAAGTGATAGATATTGTCATGTCATATCAAGAAAAAGGAAACAATTTTGGAAATGAAAATTCGATTTGATTTCGATTCCACAGGATTTGCTCGGGTTCGGAAATGTAAACATAGCCGATAATGTCAGCAGTACGATCATCTACCTTTTTTGATTTGCAAAATTTTCCATTTTTTTTCCTAACTTTGCTGTCATTTAATAAAATACTAATACATATTAAAATTTGGAATGCATGTCTATACTGGCTAGACTATATTGGCTGCTATTGTACATGTAGATAATGCCATATATACATGTCTAAACACCCGCACCATTCGACCTTTGCGCCACAGCGTTCCACACAGAGCACCTAGCAATCCAGAATATGCAAAGGTAGCTTTCAATACGTGATAAGGGAGAGTCTGGTCATTGACCATCTCACCAATAGCCAACAGACAATAATAATATATACCTATAGAAATGTGACGGAGAGCCTTACCTAATCGTTTTTCGGCTGATAAAATAGTCATAAAAAAGACATAAAATAGACAAAAAAAAACCGCAGACATGAACTTCGCGGGATCAATTTGATAGACGAATGCCAAGCAGATGCCGCCCAGATCAGTCTCGCATCTTGTTGAAGGTCGTACATTAGCGCCACTAAAAATAAGTCGAAGACGAAGTATTCAAATACGTCGAGAGGAAGCTTATAAATAGGCGGCAATTGGCAACAACAATTGAACCCTCGAGAGAACAAAGCATTTGATGGATTGCACCGATAAGCAGGCCGATCGGCTCATCAAGAAAATAATGCAGCTCGAGTGGCGGAAACGTGATTATTGGCTATGAATTGTCGTCGTTGCCTGTAAACAAAAACAAGCTCGCAAACAGCTGAGCTCAGCTGCAGGGCAACATGAGTGTGCAACTGTGTGGTTGTATATGCTTATATGTATTTGTGTTTGTTGGCCATGTGACAACTGTCGTTGAATGAGGCACTGCGTCATGCACACAAACAGCTCCATTAAGAACCAGCGCATGGCACACTCGTGTTCGAGTGGCCCAGACAGACAGAGAGGTTTAAAAAAAAAAACAGCTACGGGAATGTAAATATTTCAACACGGCAGGTTTTTACCTGTGAATGGGATAGATTGGCAAATTATGACATTACAATACCACTCCTGATTGATCTAAGAGTAGAATCTTTGAGTGAAATAACAACTCTATAAGTATATGAAGTTATTAAGTTTTAAGAGCTAATTTAAGGTTAAGACTAACACAGATTCTGGCTTTGTCAATTATTTAAATTCCATTTGCAAAGTTTCAAAAAACCTTAAAAAGCTTCTATAAATGTTTTTTAATGGGATTGCTTTGTGTGTAATAACTTTCTTGATGGGTGCGGCAAAACGTTATTTAGTTTGCTCTATTCTAAATTGTTTTCTTATGATCTTAATTTCTCCAACGAAACATTTGTGAAACTATTAGTGCTAGTAGTGTGCACTTTGTATCAGGAAATTAATTCAAACCTGTATGTACGTATGACTGGGCCACACAAAAGTTGAAAAGAAATCCAAATTTCTCTGGACACGCCTGCGTGCCCCCTTCGGGGCAAAGGTACTGCTTTTAATTGCGGCAATTAAAGTTGATTTAAAATTACATAGACACATGCCCAGAAGGGCCGAGAAGAGTTGAGCAATAGGTAGCAATAGTTTCGACTACGGTTCAGTAATAAATCGTGCTACCTGCCATCAACTGGCGGCTGTCGAACTTTCTACTTTGGCTTAGAGATGGTTGCAGGTAAATGACTTTTTGGCGGGAAACAAAGAGCGGAAAGGGAGCGATGCGTGAATTCTCTAGAATGTGCTAATGCCGTACAAGAGATTGGATGTGCTACGTGGCTTGCTGCACTACTACATTTAGAATAAGTGGCATGTAATCAGTTGGGTGTGCGCTGTAAGGACAAACAAAGCGTAGCGGCCCCGGTTGAGCCACTCTGATCATCAGCGGAATGATGGTTCACCAGTAGGCCAGCGGCCAGCAATTGATTATAGTGATGCTGCTGACGTTGTTGGCGATTGATTCCCTGCCCGATTGCACTACCACACCAACACACATACATACAAATGTGCTGCGCGTGGCACTTAATCGTTGTGGCTCATGATAAGGCAACAACAGCAAAAAGTTGATTAAATCAATTGCCTTCGTGTAGGTGGGAAGGGCGGGGGGCAGTCTGTTGGGAGGCAAAGACCAAGTGGCCAAGTGAGTAATGCATGGGGCATTGTTTTCAAAACTGCACAACGCATTAAGTATGTATGTATGTATTATGTGTATGTAGTTTTGTCTTTTTGATTGACATGTTTGTATTCTAGATAGAAATGAAGCGAGTCGCGATAGCTTTGAATACATTATGAATATGGCGGCCAACAATAATAGCAACAACACTTTGGGTCATAGTCACGAATAGAAATAGCAAAAAATAAGCCTCTAAGGCAAAAAACAAGTTTGACCTTCATCGAACTACACATACTACTTGTATACACACAACCTACTTGAGAATGCCTACACGTACATACATATATGTATACATACATACACATGCCTGTTTGGATATGTATGTATGTATGTTATATGTACAGCGAGTTTACATGGGCGTCTATTTTTGGGGAGCTTTATGCGTTGTACGCACACACCTCTCAACTGCGTCGTAATTTATGCTGACGAGCCCCCAAATCTTGTTTCTATTCTCTGTGCACTATGCCTGTTTTTCTAAAACTTTTGAGTTGCTATGCTTGGCATGTTTGCCGTATGACATCAGCGAATGCGCAGGCCCCATTTCATACACACTGTACCGAGAGTGGGGCAAAGTCAAGCTGCATGTGCCAGATATAAGACCTACTTACAGTATATTTTTATTTTAAGAAAATGCTTAAATATGCATTTAAGTCACTGAACTCACTGTAAAGGGCAAATTTTTAGCATAGCAGCAAAATGTAGAAAAATGCGAACAAAACAAAAAGACGCTTAAAATCAGCTGCATGACTAACAAGTGGTTAGCAGTAACAGCAACAACAATAGCAACAGCATCGATAAAAAAAGGCAAGTTAAAGTGAATAAACAAAATAATACTCACCTAACGGCAAATCGCAGAGCAGACAGCATGCGGCCAGCGAACCAGCGGATGCGCCACCAATTTTCTCGAGCAGGAGGTGCGGGGCATATTTTTTAAAGCAGACTGCAACGCCGACGTGATAGATGCCTAGGAAACCGCAGCCCGCAAATGATAGATTCATGCCTTTATCTAATACGCTTTGTTCGTTAATTTCAGTTTAAAAGTATTCCGTTGGATGGGTCGACAACAGTTTCTTTTATCGACGACTGTGCTCTTTCTATTTATTTGAATATTTATTTATTTCGCTAAGGTGTCGTGCTGCGCCCTATTGTTTTGTTAGTTTCGTTTTCGCACTGTAAAAATTGCCCACAATTGATGACCGTTCCGTTGTTTATTCTAGTTCTGCCTCGCACTTTCCTTCGTTTCTTGCGCGCTCTCTTTGCCTTTCTCTCAACTTGAACAGTTGCGTCAGGTAACTTTTACGATGGTTGTGTGGTTTCGTTTTGTAAATTTTAAAAACTCGTTGCACTTTAAATCACTTTGGGCGTGTAATATATTTGTTCATCACTTGTCTTTGGTTTTTTTGTATGTGTAAAATCGATTTAATTTTCTTGCAATGTATTTTATACACTTCCAACGAACCGTTATGTCGCTGCTTGCGCTCAATACTGAGGCTAGCGCAGCTGTGCGCTGCTTTTATAGTAGGGATGTAACGAAACATCGATGTATCGCAACATGAGCAACATCGATATGTTGAGAACGATAAGCCCAGTAGTCGATGTATCGCCGGCGCTTCGATGTATTCGAAGACAACTTCGAAAATGTAGACGTTTATTTCAAATTCTTAAACAGAGAGTGCTTTGCTTTGGCAAAAAATTGATTTAATAGTTCGTTTATTATTTTTCAAATCCGTTTTAATTAATGTTTGAGTTGAATGTTGTGCAATTGTGAAAAGAATTAAAACATGAAAAATAAAGGCAGTCGGCAATATCTGATTATATATTAAAATCAAAAGACCCCATTAAATAAAAATCCGTTATTTCTTCATACCACTTCGGAATGATTTTTGATAAATATAAGTATTTTTGAAGTATTGACTATTTTCATTGTTTTATAATAAACACTTAGTGACAAAAAAGAAAGGAAAACATAAAGAAATAAATTGTTTTTCATTCATTTTTTATTTAATATGTTAAATGCGACACGTAATTTGTTAAAATACAAAAATGGTGTGAACAAATTAAATTTTGATTTTCCACATCAAAAAATTATTGCTTAGTTAATTAATTCCATTTTGACTAAACTATGCGATTATATGTAGGAACTACTATATGTTATGAGTTGAATAAACAAAAAAAACTAAAATAAAATCAAGAGGAAAATCATTTGAAGTCGAAGACGGATTAAATTTATTTTTTGTTTCTTTCCAAATTTTAAACATAGCACAATTTTGAATTTGTTGATCAAATTAATTCGAAACAATTTTTACATATACCATATACAGGGGGAAATACAGAATAATACTAATTAGACCCTTCTTTAGTTGAAAATAAATAATTCTGTTCCATAAATAATACACTGGGATTTATTTTACTCGAAACTCGTTAATACATTATTGACGACTGGCTAGCTTTATTAATTGTTTATTAATATTTTTTACAGACTTAATGTTCGCGTTTATGTGGTGGTATATACATTTGCTGCCCCTGCCGATCTTGACGATATCGTGACTGCTGTTGTTGCTGCTGATGCTGTTGGAGCAGCGGATTCATGTTCACCGGCCTGTGCTGGCTATCCGTAATTGGCAGTATGTCCGATTTCAATACCTCCTCGTGGTTGCCATATCCGAGAAAGAACACTACACACGTTTTCTCAGCCACTCCCGTGATCTCGGCCTCATAATACTGTAAATATAAAGTAATTAATCAGAATAGAAAGATAGTCTTAAGTTGTTGGCAGATAGGCCAATAATTTCCGCATATTTAAAATAAATTTATGAAGACGAAAACATTCCTTTTGTAAGGTATCGCTATTCATTATTGGAATAATGTGGTTATCTGATAGAAGATTCTTTCTTTTTTTTTTTTTTTTTTTTAATTTTAACCTAAAGTATATATAATAAAGATTTGATTGTCAATTTAATAAAACAAGTAGCCATTTTCCCATTTAGTTCAAACTATTAGTTATTGGTTATAGTATATTACATAGTTATATCGTGATTGATTGATTTTCTGGTTTGTAGAAGCAATCGAATCTTTCGGGTTTCCCAAAAACAAATAGTTCGGTTTCCCAAACAAAAACGTCTTTATCTAAGTGGAATTTTTGTCTTTATATTGTACTTTCCACTGGCAATAATTATTGTTTTAATTTGAAAATACGTTCTCCAAAAAATTGTGTAGTATTAGGAAAAAATTTTTGCAGAGTTTTACATTTTATGTTGCTCATGCAAGGAAAGCAAACACCATCGCATTTAAACTAAGTTGTTAATGAAGAATTTAGTTTAACATACAATTTGAAATTTAGACTTATATGTTGCATGAAATTTTATATAGTTCGAACAATTTTCTAATTTACGTAAGGAATCAAAATGATTCGAAGTGAACTTTGAAAGAGTTTTCGTTCGGAATGTACGAGCGCCTAGAAATGACTCGATTTATAGAAACAAAAAAGGGAATTTTATTTTTTAAAAAGAAAATAAAGATTGACGTTTACTTACGCGCCCATCGTCCCAATACTTTGCCATGCATAAGTCACCCATTTTCCAGAACCAGCTGTCCTCAAAGGGTTGGGGTTGCGACAGAGCTGTTGGCTGCGAATTCGTCATTATATATGTGGATGGTGATGGAGCAGCAAAGAAATTATTGGATGCTGGTGGAGGTTGTTGCTGTTGCTGTTGTTGCGAGACTGGCGCTATGTTTACGCCTTGACTCTTTAGGAGGCTCATGGCGAACTCGTTGGTTTCCTTGCTCTGGAAACCCATTATCTTGCTGGGGTCGTAAGTATAGCCGTTGGGTAATTGACTGTAATTGGCATTGGATTGCTGGCGTGGTGTATAATGTTGTTGTGGTGGTTGCTGGCGCTGTGCCTGTTTATCAGCTTTGTTTGTTATTGGAGTCGACGCTGTCTGCTGCTCCGATTGTTGACGATTTTGGCCAGCAGAGCCACTAGCACCTCCACCACCATGCTTGCGACGATCTTCCCGCTTTGGACCACTGATTTTAAGATTTGCTGTCTCCTCAACTACTTTGCTTAATCGTGCATTGAATTCCTCAGAGTTATTAGCATTGTTGCCGCCCTTGCCACCGCTAGCGGCAGCAGCAGCTCCATTTCCACGACGCCGATTGCTGTTGCCGCTACTGCTGCTATTGCTGGCGTGTCCGTTTTCACCACCACGTGCTGCGCCACCACGATGGCTCTGGCGTTCGCTGCCACGTCGATTATTAAATTGATCCTTGCCAGTCGGCGCTTCCTGCTCGGCTTTAACATCCGCCTGTGGTTTGCTGGCATTGTGCTCGTTGCGATTATGGCTGCTTCTCACTTGCTGTTGTTCGGAGGCACGCGGATTGCTGTCCTTCTCCTGCTTGCGCGCCCGTTCATTGAAGCCGGCGCCTCCTCTTTCCCGATCGCCACGCGGCGGACGTTCCTCACGTGTGCCACGATTTCGCCCGCCACCACGTGGCGCACCAGAGTGGCCGCCACGATTTGCCGCAAAGCTGCTGGAAATATTATTTTCAAATCGGGAGCGATCACTCATTCCTTGAGTTTTGTTAGTAGCTGCGCTAACATTGGTAGAGGATGACCGGCGATCGCTATCGGTGGCTTTAGCATTATATTGCTTTAAAGTGTTGTTGCTGTTAGTATTGTAGCTGCTGGCAGTGCTTGCTGTGGCGGGCGTCGTCTCTGGTGCCGCTGTCTCCGTTGCAGGCAATTTAGTTGTAAGAAAATCGAAAAGTGTTGCATTGGCAGCCGGCTTAGCACTGTCAGCCTCATCTTTAAGGCTGGCGCCTCGTTTACTCTCCCTGCCGGGGCGCTCACCACGTCCGCCACGCATCGGCGGTGGCTCTACGCCATTACCACCAGCGTCGCGGCGTCGCTTGAGATTGAAGAGGGCACGCTCAAGATTGTTGCGTGTGCTATGCAAAGCGTTTCTGGCCTCCTCTTCGGTGTAGCCTTTGTCAAGTATTTTCTTGACATTGTGATCTATAATATTCTGGCCACCACCGCCAAAAACTTTCTTTACGGCCGCCTTGCTGGCTACGGCAATCGCTTCGCTGCGCATGGTATTGAATTCGTCGTTCTCCTTGGCCGGCTTGTCTTTGTCGCCGCCGGTCACCGTCATGCTCTTAAAATTTCGATCGGCGGTGGTGTCGATTTTCTTACCAAAGGGAACCCAGGGTGGTGGTGCTGAAGCACCAGTCAGCGGTCGCCCACTGCGTGCATATTTCAGCATTGTACGTGCCAGATCCCACTTCTCGTAGAGCGCTTCTACACGGCCGCCCAGCAGCTGAAGTTCGTTAGACCGCAGCAGCAAAAATCCTTGCAGCATTTGCAATTTCTCGGCACGGAAGTAAATCTTGGTGCCGGGAGCAACATTCAGACTAAGTGCCGGCACAGATTCCAGCTCTAGCGCCTGCAACGTTGCCTGGCCGTCGCTCAAATCCAGTTGCAAGAGGCGCGGAGCCGTCTTGGATTCTTCGTTACACTTGGGTGCGGCAATGTTGCGTACTCGCTGAATTTGCAGCACAATCTTACCGGCAAGTTGAGCATCGTCGCGTTTGGTGGGCAGAGCGCCGCCGCCAATATCGCGCAAGTCGCGCTGTAAACAATCGCATATTGTGTATACAACAACAACAACAATGGCGTACCTTTTCATGGCGGCACGCCTACTCTACTCACATTTAAAGCCTCATCGATAATTTTGCGTGGATCCTCGCTGCCGAGTGCTGTTGTCAATGTCTTAATACCCTCCTCCGTAAGATACCTGTTCAAATAAATGTTAGAGTTTGTTAGTACAGCATTTTCAAAATTACTTACCAGCCTTGTGCTTCCAATTTCTTGGCTAATTCCATTTTTGCATTTTCTGCAAAGCAAAGCAGCACGGAACCAAAAGATTAGAGATGAACGAAATGTGTACATCGGCGCAGGGATGTGCTTATGCATCGATGCCCACATACCGATGTGTCGTGCAGAAATGCAGCCCTGCTGCATTCAGTGATGCCACCTTGTTAACTCTAATGTTTGCATAGTCCAATTGGAACTATCAGTTATGTTTTGGCGCTCGCAGTTGTCGGTTGGTGGTTGGATCCGTTCGCGCATTATCTCAAAACTGTTATTCTCGAACGACTTCAAACACAATGCAAAAATATTTTAAATAGCAACGCATTTACGTTGTCAGTATAGGCCGTTCCGGCTTCAACGCGTTGCCGCCGACAGCAACTCTTTTGCATGCACAATATTTTGGCGCCTAATGAGCGCGCGTCTTCCTTTCGCCTTTTAGCAACAGGTGTTAACAGCAATTGTACATTTATGTGGACGGAAACACGCGCCATTTCCATCGAATTGAGCCAAAATTGTGTTTATAAAGTGATAGGCGTTTTATTAGCACCCATTTTTAAATGGGGCAAATAAATGCAGAAAAAAGAAATTATCTGTTGCTGCTATTGAAAAATAAATAAACTTAAATATAAACATTGCTGGTCATTATTCCGCTTTCTTACACAAAATCGAAATCTATGTCAAAAAATGTGTGTGCTTGTATGTATGTAGGTATGTTAGGCGCTAATAAATTATCGCACATTGGGGCATATATTCAAGTGTTCCATTAATGCAGAATTGTTCACACACAAAAAAAAATCACAGGCGAAAAAAAGAAGAATTTCTAGCTTGTTTGTCGATTGGTAGTACATTTAAGCACATACATATGTACATACATATCTCATGCATGTGTATGTATGTATGTACGGGTGTGCGAGTGCGTGCGTGCAATTTTTGCCAAAGCTTTACCACAAAACGTGACAAAATTTTCTAAACACTCAAAAGCGTAGCAAACAAAAATAACAACAAACTAATAGAAAAAGTTCGCATTACTTTAGACGCGTGTTATACGGCTTATTTGAAATACCAGCGCCGAATTGAGGGCAAAAGAAGTGTCAGGACGGAAATTGTGGGTAAGTGTTAACTAATATGCATATCTTTATATATTTGTTAATACCTACATATGTCTGCAGTGGTTTAAAGTTTCTATTTATGGCCTAAAAATATTGTATATAAATCCCAATTGCAAATATGCAATTTAATTAACACCCGCTTGCCAACGAAGCCAAACGCCACCCACACACATAAAAACCCATACTATTTTGAATGCGTGCGAAATATAAGACATTTTTTACCGAATACAAAATGACTTTGCAAAATTACGTACACAAAATAAATTCTTATGCAATAATAATGGTTCGCACTTGTTGGCAATTTAAATAAATTCGCATGCAACGAGAAAATAATTGATAAGCGCCAGTTATGTACGTACATATGTACATACATATGTATGTACAATTGTATGTACTACACACAACGCAAAAGACAAAAGGCCAACAGACACACACACACACCACACACAAATACAAAACAATTTACAGAGACAATAATACAATGCAATTTTTCCACAATTTACATATTTAAATTTTTACACAAGCCCCAAAAACCCAAAAAAAAAATGAGTCAGATATGCAGCCGTCGTCGCATTTGTTGTTGTCGTCTGACTGCGTTGCAGCAACAGTTGCTGGCAGTGCCAATGCTGCCCCCTCTCTGTGGCTGTTAGTTCTCAACTCTATGCGCTCTACCACTATTCCCCCCATTTGGAGTGGCACTACTGTCATAAGCATATTGCGGTATTTATCAAAGTGCGTGAGAGCATGCAAGAGCGAGAAAGAGAGAGTTGAAATGCAGCGCTGCCATTGCCGTGCATTGCATTGAGTTTTGATGACCCCCTTTGGTTAGATGCCGATTTCATGTTGTTGTTGTGGTTGGTTGCTCGTCTGCTTTTCGCATTCGTTGCGCTGCCACTGAGACGCGTCGCTGCTACTGCTGCCGCTTTTGATGGCACTGACCACACTCAACTGACGCGTGGGCTGCACAATCGGCTGCCCGCACTGACAGCTACATACATAATCGGGGGTCGATTGATAAGTAATCGGCCTAATTGGATGTGGAATGAGTAGGAGACTATAATTTCATTAAATAATTACCTATAAGAGCACACTCCTTATAAAATATAAATAAGTAAATATCTTTTCAGAAACCCAAATAGATAATAGTGGCGGGGTGCCTAGAGAATTCCGTGGATGATGGACAAATTTGTCATGCCAAATGGTCGCAGAATAATATTTTCGTTTTAACGGACTGCCGTTTTTAATCGATCTGGAATATGTCAAGGGCATCTGGAAAACAGTTTCCATTACCTAACTAACTAATAGACCCACCTTATTTTCGAAGCGACAAACCCGGTACCTATATAAAAGTCAGCTTTCTGATATACCGATAATTTTGAAAATAAAGATTTAGAAAAAACAAAAAACTACATACTTCCATGGTAGATGCCAAAATTTACTCTTCGATCGTCTTTTATCAATTCATGGGGCCTGTCTACTATTTTTGCGAACTCATCATTGCTTGTACATATATACATAATAGATCGTTGCAGTTTTCCATAATGCATTTTTGATCTCGCAAAAGTAGTTCTGTTGAAAATCTCACCAACATTTCATATGGACACACTGGTGTATGCTATTTCGACAGCAATCAGCTTATAAATAATTGGGATCTGCAAAATTTATATTTTATTAAGAAGTTGCATTTTCTTACTTAGGCCGATTACTTATCAGCTAGCCCTCGTGTATGTGTACTTTTTATAGCCTGTACCCAAAGGGTGAAAGGCTATACTAGTTTTGTGCGCATGTATGTAACACACAGAAGGAGGCGTGGCAGACCCCACAAAGTATATATATTCTTGATCAGGATGAGAAGCCGAGTCGATATAGCCTTGTCCGTCCGTCCGTCTGTCCGTCTGACCGTCTGTCCGTCTGACCGTCTGTCCGTATGAACGCAAGTATCTCAGAAAGTATAAGAGCTAGAATAACCAAACTTGGTTTCCATATTCTCCTAAGACCGAGAAAGTACGAGTTTGAGTTTTTTTTCGATGCACCCCCCCACTCTCCCGCAATTCGTGTTTTTCCTTATAACTTCCGTAATTCTCGGAATTTTGAAATCAATTTTGGTAGGTACATCCAGTTAGTACTAATGTGTCCGTATGCCAAATTTCATCATGATAGGTCAATTCTGAAGAAAGTTATAGCCATAAGTAAAATCGCTGCTCATGCGCTGCCTCTGTCGGCAGCGCTGCCCGCAGCTGTTGTTGTTGTTGCTGCTTTGGTTCAACTTTGTGCTGCATACATACACGCATATAAACACGCATAGGTACGTGATGTAAATGTATGCTGTTAAAACTGAACATAAACATGTATTCTCATTTAATTTAATTAATAAATTCATTCATTCATTTTTTTTAATAATTTAATTTTGTTTTTTTTTATTTTTTTTTAAATTTTTTTTTTTTAATTTTTTTTTTTTTTTGTGGAGAGTACAGGCTATTTTACTGTCGGGCTTGCTCGACTGTAGCGTTCTATCTTGTTTATTTTCTTATTGCGCTTTACGTGTCAATTTTGAATTTCATTTAGCGCGAAATGATTGATGCGTGCGGGCATTTGGCCAGCACGTCGCAGTGCTTATTGATTCGGCTTCGTTAGCATGCACAGAATATTACGCATACGCACTGCTGGCCTTTGCACATCAAACTGGTGTTTCTACAAAGCTAGCGTTTTGACGTTTGCTCTGTGAAATTAGCAAATACAAAAATCTGTCTTATCAGACAATAGCAGACAATAAAGCAGCTTTATCATATACATTAATTTGCGTCTAAGTCGCTGATTAACAAAAGTGGGACAAGAGATTATGCAAAATATATGTATGTATGTAAATAATTAAATAGTGGCCACAGGAAAATACTAAACGTTAAACAACCTAACTGCAACAAAGTGCCAGCACGCACTCAATGCTGGCAGCCTTTTAGCCACCCACAGCGCAATACCTGCATGACGCGAACACACACGCAGACACACACCTTGTCTTGCACGAATTTAATTAACATTACAAAAACTTTATGTAGATGGTTTTTCAATCAGTCCACAATGCTCAGAACTATTTGGCTTATCATATGAAAAAAAAAGAAACAACAAGAACAGAATTCCATGCGGGTGGGTGTGTGCCGGCATTTAAATACTACACATGTGTACATATGTTCGTACATAGGTACATACACACATAGTACTTATGTATGAATGTACAAACAGTCATGTGTATTACATTGCTACGCTATCAGTTTGCATTTTCAACCTTACACACGACACCGCGCAACAACAGCAACAACAATGGCAACGTCACTCCCATACCCACGCCACTCCCTCTGCCCACCACCCACTACACATTGGCACAGTTTCATTTAAGTGCGGGCTTGGGTGGTTTGGGCTGTTAAAACGGCATCCCATAAAAAAGGTGGAAAAATTAACATAGCCATAAACGCAAATTGTCAAAAAAAAAGAGGCGTCTCTGCAGGAAAGTGTTGACAGCTGTTGTTGCGGGTGCGGTGTTGGGCTGGCGGGTGGACGGACATGTGTGGGATGACTCCTAAAATAGGCCCTTGTGGAAATTAGTGGTGGTTGCTAAGAGCCCGTTCCCTTTTCAAGGGGCTAAAGCTGCTGCTCCTATTTAGATATACAAGTATTTTGTTCATATAAAATGTAACAAATTTTAGGTCTAATAATATGGCACATTGAGAAAAATACAGCTCTGAACTGTTATCGTTGGGGCTAAGTATTGCCTGGAAGGAGTATATTGTGGTGGACATGAACAGTTTATCATAAAAAACAGACACGATGGTAGACCCCATGCTATGAATATACATACATATACCTATATTGCTTGCAAATTAATTAAATAATTTCTAGTACAATTTAAATTTCAATGAATAATCGCTGCTCGTTGGGAATTAGAAACTTCAAATTAACAAAAATTCAAATAGCCTAAAAGTGGTGTCGAGTTGTCAAAACGTAGAAAATGTGGATTTCAAAAGTCACTACGTTTTATATTGTTAGTTTATTAGTTTATGGCTTGCTTGAATTAATGTTGTCTAGACATATTGTTCTAATTTAAACTAGATGTTGTTATAATTCATTTGCATTATAAAGCTATTTAAAATAATATATTTTTATCTTCCTACGTTTGCTACTGTCGTTAGTTTGTTTACTGACATTCTTAACATAAGTTTTAAATTGAATTCAAATTTAATTGTGGCTTCTAAATGTTTGGTGCAGTTCTCCAAGTGTAGTATTAAGTATGTATTTCCCAACGTTTATCTCGAAAGTTTTAGGTTCAGCACAACTTTTGACAATAGTTCTGTAACTTTAACTTTATTTGTTATTTGTTGTTGTATCTAATCTTTTTAAAATGTCTTGACTGCCAGTAATTTCCCTCTGAACTTTAACTAAGCATGGTGTTAAAGCTTTAAATTTATGCACAAATAAAATGTAATTGTTTACATTTCACCTCTGTATCTTGTTATTTTTCGTTTTTCCATTCCTGTTGAGGTCCTGTAATACAATTTAATAGCCTTATCAATTACAATTCCAAATCAACGCATTCGCAACGCGCTTTGCAGCTCATTAACATTACAAAAAGCGAAAAAGGCAGCGCCTAGCGAAATTGTTGAGACTTAATTTCTGTTGCCATAAATTTCGGGGAGAAGAAGGGGAAGAGAGAAGGCGCAAGGGATGACTTCTAATAGCTACACAAACAAAACGACATCGAAAAACGTGAAGACGACGCATGCTAATGGGACTCTATTGGCGGTGTTATCAAGTGGGTCGGGTCTCAGCCACAAGCCACAAACCGCTACACATACCGATGCGCAAGCAACTACAACTACAAATTATTGGTCCATGCTCTGTCAGCTTGAGTGTGTGTATGTGTGCTTGTGTGTGGGTTCTTGTGTGCGTGTACTTGTATTTTATGACCAGGCATTTAATGCCTGAATCTGAGATTTAAACGACCCGCCATATCTTTTGCACTTTGTGGTGGCTTCGTCGTTTTCCACGGCATCACCATGTGCCGGCAAATTACAATTATCAGTGTAGAGACGATAGCTAAGCCGCTTTGACACTGCCAATCGCGCCTAGTGGCTTAGAGCCCGCTTAACCCGCATAGCTGGTGATGAATTTCAGATTCCTGCCGGCGTTCAGCAGCAGACGCCATAAATCTGAATTGCCACTAACTTCATTGAACCAGCAGCAGGATCAGCCGCAGGAGCTTACCGAAGAGGACATTATGCTGATGTTATTGAAAAAGTTTAGTGCGACATATGCTGCATGGACATTCGTATGCAGAGATTGCCCGCATGTGCGGATGCGATGTTGATAAGTGGCTGGAAGTTGATGGAAAACCTCCACAAACAAGCTGCTCTTATTTCACGGGAGGGGTGCACTTCAACGGCAACCTCATGACTGCATGTCAACAAGAAATCCTCAAGTAGAAAAGCAACTTTAGTTGAACTTTGTCTGAAAGCAGACAGATAGTTGGCACCCTCCAGGTTCACTTTAAATGAACAGACACGTAACTAGTTTAACTTCTTACGGTAGCAGCTCTTCACAGTAATTATAGAAGAGAGATGCCAGCACGTATTGTAAAAGGAAAACTGTTTGCAAAATGGACTTAGGTTATATATTATCCAGAAAGTTATTTTATTAATTGGTTAATATGATTTTAATAACAAAGTATCAGCAAATCACAAATTTTCTATCAAGTAGAGATGTAGATATGTAAAAATGCGAACAACAGTTAAAATCAGCACACTAGTTAGCTATCATTATAAGTAAAAATCATAATCACAATCAAAATAAACCATGTTAGTAAAAAGTGTTGATAAAGATGATTGCAATACAGTTTAAAATCTTTCCAAGCTCTTGGCTGTCACATCATGCTGCTGAGATTAGAAATAAACCAATAAAATTTCATCATTAATGAGCTTTAATAAATGCTCAATAAATGTTTATATTTCATCCGAAAATATACAAAACGACAGTTGACGGAATTGTTAACAGCCCTGATAGTATTAAACTAATAATATTTGATATGATTCATAAATAAAAAATATAAAAAAATGTCTAATGAGTCTACAACTCTTTATACTTAAAGAGTCTTATGTTAAGCTTAGAAGAACCAAATGTGTGACTCTGAAATAGATTACTGAAATTAAGTATCTGTCAATGCAATTCCCAAGAAAGTACGAAAACTATTTCATTCAGTTTATCATCATTCATTTATTTAATTCGGAGCGGACTGCTGCTGTACTTTTACTTCTGCTCACCCGTTTCCAACTGCGCACCTTTTGTGGACTTAATCCAAGTATCTTGCCCTTGTCCTCTTCATTTTGGCCAGAATGCAACGTTCTCGGTCAACATCATCACTTGATTAAGTCTTAATGATGCGACAATTAGCTGCAAAAGTTTTGCAGCTCACACAGCAGCGAAGTCAACAGAAAACAACAGTCGACAAAGCTGCTTACAAGAACTTGCTCCTTTCACCATCGTTCAGCACCCTTATGCTGCCTTAGCAATCCTTTTCTTTGCTCTATATCCTTTCCCAAGCAACACGTTCATCATTTTTAATTAGAGAGCAAAGGCAACAACATAAACCGTTGCCCACTTTTGGGCGCGCGCATAAATTAAACAAAGAACTTGCTTTCTTATTTGCTTTATCAGCGAATCGATTAATCATGATTGGGTTTATAATATTAGGAGCAATTAGCTAATTGTTTGTTAGTCGAAATAAATGAAAACAGTCATAAATTAGCCAAAGTTGAACAGAATTGTTGCCATAATTCAATTTATTTCGTTTGGGGGTTTAAAAAAAAAATTACGTGCGTGCGTAAGTCTCTCTGCCAAGAGCAGCAAGTCCGCAGTCAATTTGTTGGCTTATTCAGCTGCTCGTCATGGCTAAAAGTAAAACAAGCTTTCACATAAATGTCACATCCGCATTGGCGAGATAAACTTTATGCAGAGCATATTTAAATGCAATTTGTGACAGCTTTTGCGTTTATTTCTTTGCTTACCATTTTCAAGTTGTCACGCACGCAGCGCAAAGGGAATGGATAGGGAAGCATGGAGGAAGAAACATGCATTGGCAATGGCAATGATAGCGGCGAGAGCCGTCTGCTTCCAAATCGACGTCAAGCAAAACTTGCACAAGAATTTCTTTATAATAACGCACAAATATGCGCAAAAAGTGACAAAAAAGTCACAACAATAAAAAAACACGAAAATAACAACGCAGCATCCACAATAAACAACAACGAGGGACGATATTCGTTGTTTTAACAGCAACAACAACATCAATATTGACAAAAAGCGTAAAATGATGCAAAAATGTTGCCAGCACAAAACAAAAAAGAACGAAAAAGTTGACAAATTTTTGTTAGAAAGAGCAGCGACAGCAGCTGATGTAGAATGTAGAATGTAGAGATTGGCGGCAGACATGAATGTGAGAGCCAGGGCTACAGAGGGGCGTATACGAATGTGCGATGCGATAAGTGTGCCAAAAGAATTGGACTGCAAAGCAGCAAGCGTGTGAGAATTTTTGAAATGATTCTTTTTGTTTTTAATTTATTGAAAGTATACATTTTAATATAAATTTCCTAAGATTTGATGTCCATCGGAATGTCAAAAATGTTGATGATGTCAGCATTTGGAAAATGATGGAAGCTTTTCTTTTATCCAAATGGTGCAGGAAACTCTATATCTTATATTTTTTCAATTCCACATGGTCCTGGCACAGGTGACTATTCAAACAAATATTTTTGGTGTGTTCGGGATTTATGGATGAAGCCGATATTATTACGTTTCTTGTGCTCTGTAAAAAAGAAGAAGCATTTGACGAATCTTTTAAAAGTGAAGATGAAATTGTTCATTATTTATTTATTTATTCGATATTTTCTCATAATTATTATTGCATTTCTCATAAATTATTATCAAATTTTTTTTGTATATAAATTTTATTCTTTATTTAAGAAATATTAAATTATATGCTAGCATTGCATTTGTTTAATCATGCGTTCTGTTATGATGATTGTGACGTGAAATTTAAGTGTTGAATACTTGTTATGATCACTCTCTAATATAGAATTTATCATTTTAACGATTAAATGGTTGATATATAAATACTTTGTCCCAATAATTTATTTCAATATTTTTTAAAACTGCACACGAAGGGTAAAAGCATATTTTTTGAAGACCAAGAAGGAGGCGCTTAGGAAGTATATACATATTTTTGATCAGCTTGAAAAGACGAGTAACAAGTATTCGATTGTACGTGTTTCCATTTATTTTAAAACGTAATCTTCAAATTTGGCAGACTTACACTTAATCCAAGGAAGGACACTTAAATTTATTGTCAAATTTATTATAACTGCTATAATTCTTAGAATTTCCATTTTGTTTGCAATTGTTTTACCCAAGCTCCAAGTTTTATTTTAATTTCACTCTGTTGTTATTCTTGTTCTCATACCATTCGTACAGCTTATTAAAGAACTTTCTATGTTTAATAATTTCAATATTATTATTAATGTAGTTACACATTTTTGGGGGAAGTCCTTAAGAGACTGGTGATACCTAAAAAGTATCACGCGCCTGTCGCTCAGCGGGGTTCCCAGCTCCCATTACGTATACGCAATGAGTGCACGCGCGCCCAGAAATTGATTTGAGAATAATGAATGACTCGCGCGCCTGACATGCATCAATTTGATGACAGTCAACCGAGCCAGACCCAAGGCACGCACATACATATATCCATACATACATACATACATACTACAAATATGTACATACGTGTGAACAGCATTCCCACTTGCTGCTCGCCTGCCATGACTAATGACCGAGAGGCAATTTCTTTTGTTTTGTTTATCGCCTTTATTCATGTTGGTGTCGCGCCTTACAGAAAGCTTATATAATAGGCACCCTTGCTATAGGGGGCCGCACTTTGCGTCTCCAAAAAGTAAATTCCCTCTTGGTCCTTGCCAGTCTCGGGAGCTCCCATGCGCAACGTGCTCCAGCGGCAAGCCGAGCCACTCAGTTTCTCAACGCTGCTGCACAGTGCACAGATAAAGTCATTTTCCGGTGACCACATCTCCAGTGCCAACAGCAGAGCGCGTTCATGAGCACAGCTGGCTGCCTCAGCTCCACAGCCTGGCTGGATTTGTCCACCATTTGGATAGTAGTCTATGTGGCCAAGGCGTTGCAACGTGCCCAAGTTCTCTCCATTGGTGTGTATGACTTCCACAAACGCTGCATCGGCTGCACTTAGTTCGTGTTTCAAGTGCCCGATGGCGCTGGGATCCAAGGCTGTAATGTGTGGCAGCTGTTGATTGAGTTCCTGCCCCACCAGCTGACCCACAGCGCCGGCCAAATGGGCGCCCGCATCGAAGCCCACGAGCAAAAAATCTCGCAGTGGCACATCGAAATGTTGTTGCAACAACAAAATCAATCGGCTTAGGCTCTCAACTATAAGCTGCTCATCGGTGACATTGTTTAGGTCCACAGCGAATACATTGCAAGCACGCAGGGATAGCTGCGAAGTCACCACAGTTGTATGCTCCAAAGCAGAGCTGTCGCCGCCCTGCCATCTTGGTATGGATAGCCTGCAAGGACAAAGAGATTACGGCACTAGTTTAAAGATACAGTCAAACAAGATGAGGCATTCCATTTTTTTCTAAATAACAACTCGCTTTATAGCTACGTATTAACGCATGAAACATTTATGATGGTTTAAAGGATGGAGTAACTTTTTCTTGTATTCGTGTATTCCTTGCCATGAAAGTGTCGTCACAGTTAGAACAATATTTTAAATTATTGCCTTAAAAAGAATATAGTTTCGTTTCTGAATTCTTCTTACAGCAATCAGACGAAATAATTGTTCAGTACTCTGAGTACTCTAAATAATGTTATTTATTATAAATTAAAAATTTAAACAAAACAAAAAACAAAAATCTCACAAAAGTAAGCCACGAAGAAAATGGAAGATAAACTTGACATAATAGATTGGTTCTTCTCAAAATAAAAATAGACTTTAGTCTATTTTATTGTATAGTATATATATGTACAAATAAAAAAACACACGAAATATGAATTTAATACGTCATGTGTATATAATATTTAATAGTGTTTTCAAAAAAGAATACATACTTATTATGTATAAACAAAAACAAATACTAGCTAAAGCCAATAAGCTTTGACTCGTTTCGGTTTCAATCTTATAATTTTCTTTGGAAGTTTCCTTACATCCAACACAATTGTTTCGATACAATTTTAAGCTAAACCAGTTCTATAAATATATTTTGTTTATCGTTTTTTAAAATGTGTGTTTTCCTTTTTTTTTACAACTTTTTCGAGCAGATGTTGTAGAAAGATATTAGATAAAGCCAGCAAGTTATTCCAATTAAACATTATAAAATCGGAATCATAAAACTGCGCTTCTGTAATTTTAGCTCTTTAGCCATAACTTTTAAAAACCTTAAAGAATTTAAAACGCAAAATAGAATTTAAAAAGCTAATGAATAATACAATAATTTGGAAATCGTAATACAACAATTATTTCAATTATTTCATGTTTTATTCTGGACTGTTAGTTTCAAAACATACAAGTACGTTATCTTACTATTATGACTATCTGACTAATAATTTTTTTTTACTTAATCAGACTTGTTCCGATTTCCTATTTCGCTTAAATCGAAGAGAGAGAGAGAGAGAGATTTTCTCGAAATAATTTCAATATCCTTCTATGAATGAATCGATAATTTGATGCAAATTTGTGCCTTTCGCCAAATAAATCTTAACAGGTTCGCACGAATTCGAAAACCTATATCATAGTTCCCATTACTTTAAGCTGACTTTTAATTTTGTATAGAATTTACTGCTTCAAGCTAAGAATTCTCTTTTTAAATAAAAACTTACACAATGGGCTCCAAGGCAAAAAATGAACTGCGCACCAACGACTCCACCTCCGCCTCAATACGTTGCGGGGATTGCTGATTGCGTCGCGTGTAAAGCAAATAACTGGGCGCCTTTTCAGATTGGGTCTGCACCACTGCAAGGGTTTGGATATTTATATAGACAATATCTTTAAAGTTAGTTAATTACTATAATATACTCACCTGAAGTGGCTGCAAATAAAAGCAGACAGCAGACAAAAATGTGTTCCTCTGGCCAGCGCATTCTGTAAACAACTAAAATAGTTCGGCAGCGAACGAATTCACTGATACAATTGATATCGTTGATTAGATTACAAGTATAACTATAGCGGCATGGTTTATGACCCACAATTGGGTAATAATTTCTATGACAGCACTTATCATTAGGCGATATACTGACTTTCATGCCGACTAAATGGGTTACGGAAAATCTTCAGACGCCGATGTAAGGGATACCGATAATTACTCATCAGTGTTGTTTCAACTTTAAGTTTTTTGATCGTTTGATTAACTATCCAAAGACTTACGGGTCAAAAGTGTTTTTTGCAATAATTGTTTTTTTTTTTACTGATACATATCTACGATCTTTGTTCTTTTGCCAAAATTTAAGCTGATTTCGACCACTCTTAATATTAGTTAGTTAATTATTATATATACATGTATTATATTATTAATTATTCATATTATTCATTTATTATTTATTCAATATTAATTTATTTTTTATAAAATGGTTTGAATTATTTCTACCAAATTTATGGAATTTTTGTATTTTAATTTAATTTAATTTTTTTTTTTAGAAATTTTGTTAGTAATTCACAACCAGTTTTAATTTAATTTTTTTTACACATTTTGTTAGTAATTCACAACCAGTTCGGACCCGCTTATGGGTTAGTGGTTTAATTGGCTGGCGGTGTGGAATGGCGGCTGGAAGAATTGCCTTGGTGCTGGTGGATGGTTGTTTTCACCAATCCAAGAGACCGGAGTTGGCGAACGTCCGGATGGGTGGTTTCCCCCAATCCAAGAGGTCCATTTCCGGATAGGAGAAGATCCCTCAAATTAAATGCTAGAAATGGAATTAAATGTTAGTATTCAAGCGAATTTGCACTCCTATTTGGAGTATAACTTTTATTCGTAAACGGCTAAGCCCAGCCTGACATAACTAAAATTCATGCCATGAATTGAATTTGAGTTTTTGCTCTTTTAGTTTTCACACGAAAATTAAGACACAAATTGTTATTTATGGCCATGTTGTGTCGCCTCCGCCCCTCCGCTGACTGCTCCGGTAATTTGTCAAATTAATCAAAAGTGCAGCGTTGCATTTTAAGCAGTGGCCGCCCACACCACAGACCCCTCCAATCTGGCAACATCCAGCACGTGGCGTCTGTATCGGCATTGACGTCGGCGTCGGCAATTTGGCTCTAGCTTTTGGCTCAATTTGCGCTGCAATATGCGCGTAAGCAACAAATTGTATTCAATTGCTTTGACAGCTCACTTGACGGCGCTTAAGTTAATTTCCAAGTGGCTATGAAACGAGTTGTAGTTGTGCGAATGTTCGTTCTTGTTGTTGTTGTTGCTGCTGCTGCTGCTATTTTGCAATTCACAGAAATACCCGTAGTTGCCACTTCTACATGGCGCACACATCACACGATCTGACATTTGAATGTGTGGCATGTTTAGCGTTTTGCGAACCTTCTCAACCTGAAATTACAGCCAGTTAGTAGATGGTTGTGTGTACAGTGAATCAATAAAGTATACATACATCAGAGTTTTTTGACAAAATCTCCTTCCTTATTGTCACAAATTTGCTTAAATAAAAGTTTTTCCTGTAAAATATAGGTAGCATTATTTAAAACGAACTTAAGATTATTTTAAATCAAATTCCAATTTTTCTTTAACAGCCGCCTTTGACTCCTTTCCAATAAGCTACAGCGGTGCTCGATTATATTAATGGCTGCGGACTGTGCGTGTGTGTGAAACTGTTGTTGTATATTGATAATATTATCTTGTTAAAACAAGAGACTGTGTCCTTTGTTGTCTCCATAAATACAGGTTCTGCCACTTCAGCTTTTTCCGTCACACGTTTCCGCCATAATCCTCTCTGTCCTTTCTTCACATCATTTGATCTCTATTCACTGTAATAATGTTTCTAGGGCTTTTTACTAAATATGGCATTATCCCAAAATTCACCTGACTTCTCAATTTTCATGTTAAGGGTCCTTCATAGTGCTGAAGACTTATTTTTGAATTCTAGAAGCTTACTTAGTTTCTCTATTGATATTCGATTTTTCAGCCCCAAATTAAATTTTTCAAATTTCCCACACGATAAATTTCTTAAATTGTCCAAAATGATTTTAATTTCCAAATTTAATTTTTAAATTCTTCTGCAATTCCTCAATCAAGACCAATTTTGACATTTTATTACAACCTAGAAATTAGCGTTTAAATACTTCAACCCAGATATTGTCATTATATTGTCGGTCATTATCTTTAAAAACGAGATAAAACGAGTCTAAGAAGATAGTGTACGTAAACTTTTTTAGTCTACTCTTAAGCCTTTTCTTTCTGTAAATATTCTGTTCCGTAAAAGAGTAATGACCCTTTTGTTCTAGTTTTGTGAGCCGCAGTGGTTGCATTGCCCAGACAGACTGTAAGCTGCGTACGTTAACTTAATTGGTTCACTGTAGATATTTATCAGCGTTGTAGCCATGTAGCCATGTAGCACAACAATGACAGCAGCAGTAACAACAGCAGCAGAAAAAATATCAACATCCACATACTCTGAGCAGCGGCATCAGCATCAGCATCACCAACAGCAGCAGAAATAACAACAACAGCTGACAGCCACAAACGGTGCTGTTTGCATAGCAATTGACTTGGGATATGTGTGGCAGCCGTTTAAATGACAGATTCACACACGCACACCTATATATATATATATATAGATACATAAAAGGGGATATGGAGTAACAACTGTATTGTAGGCAAGTGTAGATGGCCTGAAATTGTAGAAGCGTGACGGCCAAGTTCAATTCATTAGGCAGGAAACGTGTGCGGTGTTGGGTCACAGCACCATTTCAAAGCTGATGACATCAACAACGAAGGAACCTGACTCTAGGGAGCGGAGTAGATAGAAGTCAAAGGAATGACCGGTAATTTAGTGGAAGATAGATATCAAATCACTCATTACTACTATACGCATGATGTTAAATGATTTGGTCTTTTTTATATATTTGTTAAGTTAGTTATGTAAATGAAGAGGAATTAGAATTGGTTGATAGGTTATGATTATCACGAGATTAATAAGCAATCTTTACGATAGCTTCGGGCCGTCTCTAAAGAACGGCAGCTCTTCTGAAACTGAGAAGAATTAAAGTCTCTGCTGTGGTGGGGCTAGACATCGAAAGACTTCTGCAGAGATGAGGAAGTGCAGGAATGCCAAAAGCATATCCATTGTTATTGCCCAAATACTGTCAAATACTGACAAAGCCTTCAATTATTTGGTTTAGTTTGAATTCTACAGCGCTTCTAAATAAATGCGAAAAGGTATATCGTTTATTAAAATAACAATTAATATTTCTTGTCAGTGTCTTAGAGCGGAATGTGTCATCAATGCGCTCAGCGAATCAATTTATTGAAAAGTGTTCTTCATAATTAGATGCAGGAACTTATATCGAGATAATATAATATGACTGTGTGGTGCACATTAATATGTTAATAGTATGTATTACGCCCCTGACACTTAACTTTGCCCACCAACCATAATTTATGCGCTCTCTGACTGCATTGATGACAGAGTTAATGTGCATATAATGGCGTACTTCTCAACTGCAACGCATTCGAAAATAAGTGCACCCAGCTGTACTGCGGACGCGACTCCAACATTTGTACTAAAATTAGTGGAATGTGGCAATAACCACAATCGTTATCTAATTCAACCATTTTTGAGGCAAAAGCAATTCAACTCGCAATAAGGGAAATTTGTAAGTGTGGTTTAATTTTATTTGAAACTGAACGCTGATAATTTTAACATTTGCAGCTTAGCAAGTCTTTATAATGTAATGCTAGATCAAAGACGCTTTGGATAAACTGACAAGAATAAAAATGAATGTCAGTTTTTTTTCAATAGTCTTCTCTACAATTGGGAAACGATTCAGCAAAAGCTCAATCTGGTTGGGAATTCTAGTGACGGTCTAACCCCAGCTTAGAGTCAGGCAAAAAAAGTTTTTTATTTGTTAAATAGATATTTCTAAGTAACACAATTTTTTTTAGGTCTAAAGGGGTTTGTGTGCGGACTCTTAAACTCGTTTAGAGTCTTCCATTTCCTTCTTTCGAAAATAAGCTGCTTATTCAGAAAAATCCGAAGATATCTAAGGAATTTAAACCAATTGCAAAATAAGTTATTTTAAACAAAATTGTAATATATTGTAATATTATATGAAATAAGTACATATCAATGACGTTCCACGCATTCATAAGTAAAGCGTCGAATGAGACTGATTACGATATATGTGTAGTGTACTTATTTTTTGTGGAGTCTCTGAAAACTCTGAGAATACCAATTCCAAGTCAAGTTATTAGTCACCAGTAACTCATAGTCTGATGGATGCCTTGAAACTCGTTCTTCTGACTGCAGGGTATATACAGAACACACACACACACACACACACACACACACACACACACACACGCACGTGCATGCCCGTACACATCCTCAACTAGAGAGGCGTGTGCGTGAATGTATTCACATCAGCTTCGAGTTCCCAGGCGAGTTGTAAATGCAAATGAGTTGCCGCCATTGTTGTTGTTGTTATTGTTGTCGTCGTTTCCTGTGAGAAAATTGCAGCTATCCATACATGTGATTGCATTTACTTTATGATTGTTGTATGCGTGCTATTGTCGGCCGTAATCATTGCTTGCTGTTAGCTTTATACAGACGGTTTATTGCCTGTTGCTTTAACTTCATATTGCCTTTTAATTGCCTTTAATGCCTCAGTCGGGTATCGGTTTTCAATCCATTTCAGAAAGTGAATTATTAAATGCACTCTGTGGGGCAACGTCAGGATTTAATTGTGTGTGCTCGAGAGAGCCAATAATTTCATTATGTGCGGATGCGTTGCAGCAATACTTGACCAAATTAAAAATTGAAATCGCATTAAATGGAATTCAGTGTAAATAATTGATTTATGTTTGTGCAGAATGAAGAGTGTTTAAACCAAAAATAACAATTAATTGCTATTGCAACTAATTCGAAGAAACTATCTTAGTTTATTGAAACCATCTGAAGTACCTCAAGTAGTTAGTTGGTTAAAAGAATGCATTCAATGTATTTCTTTGATGAATAAAAGTTGTATTCATTATATGTACAAGTATAACTTCAGTATTATATTGTTCCATCTGATGGCCTACTTATTAGACTCTGTATATATTCTCCTCAACAGAATCCTTAAACAATTCTTTAGCTGCTAAGTACAGCAACTCAAACGACAACAATTTGTAGATGCTGCCTGCATTCCGCATTTTAAAAGTAAGCTGTCCCAACCGTAGTAGTACACGATTATGGGACCGGAAGTTTCTCTTTCTATTCAATTCGCACTGACGCATATATTTTAAACATGGCAACATGAAGTTGCGCTTAAGCTTTGGATAAATGGCTTTTGTAATTGTCTGTCAAGTGCAAGCGGGAGCAGGCAAGCAATTAACCAAAGCCTCGAGCATGTCAAGCCGCGCCAGCTTACCCCAAATTTATGACTAGGCAGGCTATTAAACGACGCCAACGGCACGCTCATTTATAAAAGGCAGGCAACAGCTAACAGCCAACAGTGTCGAACAAGGGCGCAGCGTCATTTACTTTTATTTGCATAAACGGGCCACTAAACTAACACGCAATAGCAAGAGAAAAGCAACAAACATAAAGCGTTTATGAAATTGAATAAAATAAGCCACAATTCAGCTTTTATGGCAACGGACACAGAGAATCAAATAAGCCGTTTAATCAAAGGTTGCCAAGCATTGGCATTGCTTCGGCTTTGATTTGAAATTCATGGCGGGAGGGGATGAAATATAATGGGGTGGTGGGTAAGCAGGTTAAGCCAATATGCCAAGGCATGCCAACTTTGAAGTGAGTCGACTCCAAGTCGAGTCAATATAATAAATTACAAATGAGTTGCTGCACTGGCCAAGGGTTTCCCCTATTTGTCAATATCACGCATACGCATGGGGTGCCAGACAATGGCAGACAGTTGGAGAAAAAAGTGCCAGAACGAAGCAATCAGCAGGGCATGCAACCCACAATAGTCGGCCATCCAGTCAGTCAAACAGACAAACAGGCAAACAGACAAACAGTCAGACAAAAGGCAAACAAAGACATTGAACAAGCAAAGTCAAAGAAGAATGAGTAGGATGGGGAGGCAAACACAGATTGGCCGATGAGGGCGGGGGGTAGAAAAATGAAGACACAAGACTTGGGGTTGCGATACTGCGCTTCAACTTGCTATCATCGCCCTGCAGCTTCCGTGTATAAGCAACAAACTTAGCAAGCGAAAGTATTTGATGTGCGGCAATTTCTCATAAAAATTTCATAACTTTGTTGGCTTTGCCAGAGCTGAAAAAATGCGCTCGGGATATTGTTCAAGTATGTGTGTATGTGTGTGTGTGTGTGTGTTTGAATGTCTGTGGCTATGGCGTATCAATGCCTGTTGACACTTCGCTCATGTAGACGCTGCCAGCGACGCCATCAGCATCAATCAGTTGCTCAACTCGGTTCGACACTCGAAATCAATTAGTGTGTGCGATGTGGGTAAAAAATAAAAAATAAATAACGTCAGGACGCATATGCGGATATCATGTTTTTATTAATGCATTTTCAAAGCTCGTTCAAGCAAGCGAAGTGCGTCCAAATTGAAACGTATGTCGGATAAGGCAGCGACCTAAATAAAAGAGACAAGACAGTTCAGAAAACGCGATGCGCATATTTTCAAAATAATTGTATATTTTTGAATGCAGCAAAAGCTTCATTCTAATGCTTTTTATCATAATTTGAGGCTGTCTTTCAAACGAACGAGAGAGAAGAGAAAAAATTTAAGCGTCAGAAAAATGTCTTTAATTTAATGTTAAATAATGACAATGTTTTGGATATTTCTTAAGAAAAAATGAAGACAGCTAAGAACTTAAAGCACGACGTAACCTTCGAGTAATAAAAATAAATTCAATCGTTGAAAAAGAGATTATGAAAGGCCTTCTTATTTTTTCTAAAGAATAGCTTAACTATGCTTAACTTGTAGTTTTGGAATTTAAAAACAAAATTAAATTAATCTTTATAGGCATTCGGTAAAATATTTGAAATTAGAACACATTTTGTGCCCGATAATTGGCTTTTAAAGAGTGAAAAGCGTAACCTTAACGATTTTTAAACACAAAATTGAAAGTGCCATGCAATTCGAATATGAAATTATGAAATTATTTACAAATTTTTTTTACAATAATTTGAACATTTCAAGAGAAAACTAACTTTCAATTTTATATGCACAAAAGTTAATCTGCCTGTAGACACGACGTACTGTTTTTATAGTATTCCAAACTTGAGCTTAAAAAGAAAACATTTAAAAGTTGTTGGTGGGTTTTAACAAAATACTATATTATCATCTGATTAAAATGTCCTTTAAATTGTCCATATTGCTGTTGCTTTAATTTCGTTCATAAGTCAAATGTAATGGGCCACTCTCTAACTTGGTCCTCTTTCTTTTTTCTTTGTACAACAGCAGAAACAAAAACAAAAGCAACATCAACAGCAACAGCAACGGGAAGGAACAACAAAGACAATCAATGAGCACACATAAACTAACTTTAATGAAGCAGCACAAAAGTATGCTACATTATAAGCGCTAGCGCATAAATCAAGCGAGGGTGTGTGTATTTAAGTGCGTATGTGTGCGTATGGCCGTGTGTGGGAAAATGAAACGCAAGAAAGCAACAAAGAACAGAGCTTAAAGTAATTTCAGCACACAACATTAAATATATGTACATAACAAGGCATAAATACTATAAGTAAATAGAAGTGGCTACCATTTCAAGCCTGAAGAGGAGTAGGGACTGTAATTAAAAGCTGGAAAACATCCACGTCACCAACTGGGAAATGCAAAATGTGCAAACAAAGTGTTGCAACAATATGCCAAAGGAATTACAACAGCAACCGAAACAGCTGCCATCAACGTCACAGCCGAAGTCACATCTACAGACACTGCCACTGCCACTGCCGCTGCCCAATGTCATTTTAATTAAACGTTAAAATTGCAAGAAAATACAAAGAGAACTTGTTACATAGCAGAACAATTGGGAGCTGTTTTCGTGACTCCCTCTCTCCCATTGCTACATGCCCAGCTGGGCACGCGTTATGTGTGCGCTGCTTTTCCATCAACCAACGCCCCAACGCCCATCACATACGCCATCTTCACTGCTCCTGTCCCTGCCAGTGCTTCTGCTGCTACTATTGCTCTATTTGCTTGTTGCCTCGTCACCCTGCCATGCCGAGGTCTTCACACTGGGCTATCTTACCGGCTCGCAACGTCGTCCGGGCAATCTGGACTATCAACGTCCCGGTATTACCATCTCGGGCGCCATTTCATTGGCCGTGGAGCAGGTCAATGCTGGCCGATTGGGCGCATTGGGGCATTCCCTGGAGTTCATTGTCGCCGAAACATATGGCGACGAGGTAGCCAGCATACGTCAAACGGCTGCTCTGTGGACCCAGCAGGTGGCCGCATATATTGGACCGCAGGAGACATGCGTGCATGAGGGACGCATGGCAGCTGCCTTTAACTTACCCATGATTTCCTATGTAAGTCTTCTTTAGTGATGAATTAACAGAAAATTGATTTTCTAATAAGATTATTCAAAGCAAATGGTAGTATCCAGAGGGTTCAACTGTAAAAAATCGTTTATAAAGGTTTCTTTTTATAAAGAAATATGTTCTACAAACTTAAATTGAAAGTATTTCCTTTAAAACATTTCCATTTTGGTAGCAAATTTAATCATTTTAATAAAGAGCCGCTATTTATTTAGAATCTTAATTCCTGATATTGGCAATAATTGATTAGCACAGCAAAGCCTTTTTTTTTTTAATCCCTATAGTTATTGGGTCGAATATTGCATCGAAATACCTTATACGTACATTTTCGTTCGCTACTAAATGCTCTTACATTTTCTAGCTGATTCTTGATTTATTTTGTCAAGCTGATTATATATATTATTACATTTCCATACTACGAGTATTACTGCTTATTAGGTTTTAAGATGTAAAAAATTGATTTCAAAAGTAAGAGTATAAGTAAGAGTATATATTAATAGCATTTCTCCATTCCCAGTACTGCACACATCGTGATACTTCCAATAAGCTGGACTTTCCCACTTTTGCACGCACGCGTCCCCCGGACACACAAATCTCCAAATCCGTCGTCTCGCTTCTGTTGGCCTTCAACTGGACACAAGTGAGTTTTCTCTATTTGGATGATCCTAGCAGCCAGTATCAGCCCGTGGCCGAAACTATACTCAACACATTGGAAAGTGCGGGCGTTACCGTGCGAGATATCCGCACCTGGAATACCATTTATCATCATGGCTTCATGTCCAATCCTTTCGATACGCTGGTGGAGCAAACCCATGCCAATACACGCAGTGAGTGGGTCTCTAATTTTGAAAAAATATTGTTTTCCATAAGTAAAGAAAAAATGAAAATAGGCGTAAACGTTTCGTTCAAAAATGCAAATGATTTGAAATAATGTTTTATTGAAGAGGGTGGGTTTGTTTTTAAAAAGTATACAATTTTGTGAGTTCTTCAAGTGAAACTGAGGGTGAGGGTTTTTAATGCTGGACGGCAACCTTTTCTGTGACGAAACCAAGTAGACCAGCTGGCAAAATTTAAATTATGATTGTAAACAAAAATCAGCGGTAGTTTAAAGATGCGTGCATGAACCGCGGGTTTTCTGTCTATTTTTCAGCGGGTTTCATAACTATTTTGTTTTTTATATAAACATTTGCTATTTACATTTTCTTTGAAGATACTTCTAGTCAGTGCTAAAATTTTCTAAATCGATATTGGTGACGTTTTAAAGCTTAGATTGATTGACGGACCATGCTTTTTATCTCTTCACTCGTTTGCCAAACTTTTAGCCAAACATTATTGCAAATATTTGTATTGTCTGTTGACATTTTTCATGAAGAAATTTGAGTTTCAGTTTTGGCAATTTTGTGGAAAACCCCAATTGAAGTTTAAATTTAAACACTAAGACAAAAATATTAATACTTTACCCGTTGGAGCATAAATTTAAAAATATATTAAATGTATAACTTATTTGTTTATCCGATTAAAAAACACACAAAATCCTTGACTAATATTAGTCTCTCTTTTTGTAGTCTATCTCATACTTGGTCATTACTACGAGCATGTTGGCCTTATGGTGAGTCTTCAGCGGCGTGGCCTCTTGGCCAGAGGCGAGTACTTCGTTATTGGTATTGACATTGAGCAGTATGAGCCGGCTAATCCGGACAAGTATCTGCGTGGACTGCTGCTGGAGAAGGTGGAGGAGGTGGCGGGACAAGCTTTTCAATCGTATCTCGGCATACTGCCCACAGCGCCCACTTCTTTTGCCACGTTCGCCAATGAGGTAAGCCAACGACCCGCAGCTGTCCACTCTGACAGCCATTTGAGGTTCTCGTTGGCGTTGATTGATGTTCTCTGCGCCTTAGTTCTCCGCCTGCTTAGACGCCTAATTATGATGCTTTTGAGCACATTTATTAGATTTCTTTTTTATTCATCTCCTCTTTTCGTTCTCAATTCCTGGCCTAGGTCAACAAATACATGGAACGTCCACCATTCAATTTTCCCAATCCGCTGGGTCTCTTTGGTGGCGCCAAGCAGGTTCGCTAACAGTTTCGCATTCGGCCTTTGTGCCGGCCTAACGACCCAATTCACTCACACCATTTCCCCTCGATTTCGTCTCTAATTTGACAAGCAGATTAGTGCTGAGGCGGCGTATCTCTACGATGCCGTGCATCTCTATGCAAATGCTCTACTGACCGTTCTGGAGGCAGGCGAGAAACCCAAAAACGGCACCGCCGTTGTGGCTGCCATCAAGGGATCGCGCTATTTGAGCGCAATGGGGTGAGTCCAAAAAAAAAAAAAAAAACTGAATCATAACAGCCCAGCAGGGCAACTGTCCATTGAACTAAATCTTTTGCCAATACGCTACACAGCTACCACGTCTACATCGATGAGAATGGCGATGCGGCGGGAAACTATACAGTATTAGCGCGTGGCTGGGCTCGTAACAGTCGCAATCAGAGCGTGCTGGGTCTGGTGCCGGCGGGCACCTTCAGCCACAGCGGTGGCAGCAGCAGTGAGGCGTTGCCTGTAAGTATGGATTTGATGAATTGAGTGCACAAGTGAGCGTTACTGATAGGCGCATAGGCATATAGCACTCTTGGAGCAGTCGCTGTGGCTCCCTATTAAAAATAACAGTCTGTAATGCGACATTTCTCGCGTTTGGAAGCCAACAACAGTTTCCCTAGTAGCTTAAACATTTGGTTATTATAGTAATTGACTTCATTAGCGCATTTAAATGCCCGCTTTGTTAAGTAAAAGATTTGCATCAAAAATGTTTCATAATACAAATCAATATTTAAAATGTTAAGCGATTTTCAACTTTTAATAGGCTGCATTAATTGAATTTATTTGGCATAAATTGTTTGATGAAAACTTGTTTTTGTTAGTGCGTTTTATATAGATGCGGTTGCGGAAGCTACAGAAATTTAACTATTCTTTTCGCCCAACTGATCAGATTCGGATAATTTCATAAAAAAATCACTTGTGTTATTGTTGTTTAAAGCAAGGTATACATAATTCTGGATTACACCAATGAAGAGGATTTAAAAAGTTAATTTTTGTCTCATCCATCTAATCAGTGAGGAATGCTGTTGTAAGTTAACAAGACAACTTAAAAACGATCGATGTAAATATCGTTGTTTGACTTTTAAAAAATAATTCGTATGTCTAGCTGTCACTTTTTTTCTCACAAAGTTCTAACCGTATGTTAAAAAAAAAAATATTTTGTAAAGAATTCTACGGGTTTTCGGTTAATGAGCGAAAGGAATAGTTACTTGGCTGAAAATTATAAAATTTAAGGAAACCACTTTCAATTAAATTATTATTTAAATTCAGAAAAATAAAACAGCAAAACTTTCAGCAAAATAGTTTTCTCAAAAATTAGAAGATGCTTATGTACAATCTATCTCCTAAAAGGTATTTTAAGGATTTTCCCTAAACAACAAATGGCAAAATAAAGAACTGTTGATAGTCATTACGATAGCTTTCTTAAAAGTGTGAGGTTAGAATATATATCCTCAAAGGTATTGTAATCATAGGTCGTTAAAGATGTGTTTTGAAAATATTAATGCAAATTTCCTAAATAAAATAATTACTTTCCATATTTCTCAATCTCAGGTGCAAGATCAATTGTGACTCATAGTTATTAGTCTTAGCCCTTATTTTCAAATTATCATAAATCGGTCCATTCTTTGTTAACAAATTAAACCTATAAGCCATAGGAATTAATTCGTAATTCAGTTACAGCTCACTAATAATATTTAATAAAATTTTAATATTGGTGATTAAATCACCTATAACTGTTACATATTCTTCACATCCCTAATCTCTGAGCTTCTCTTTTTGTAACCTTTCTTTGTGCACATTTCCGCTTGCACGCTGTTTGCTTGCACACACACACACACACACTCTCATGCTCACACACATGCACACGTTTGTGTAGCATACTTTTCAGCCGCAGGTAAGCGCATTGGCTCATATCTTTATGAATATATGTATGTATAGTATGTATGTATGTATAGTAATATTTGTCTGCTCCCCATTTGGCACCTAATCCCCAAACTATTCACAGGATCTCAATTTGTATGGCAACATCGAGTGGGTGGGCGGTGTGCTTCCGGCCGCTGCACCACGTTGCGGATTTGGCGGCGAGAAGTGCGTCAGTAAGTCCTTCCTACCGTTTACGTTGAGACCGAATTTCCAATCAAATATTTACTTACCACTTGCAGATTACACGGGCGAAATCTCAGCTGGCATTGCGGGCGGAGCGTTGCTGCTTCTGGGCCTCGTCTCCCTGGTTCTTTATCGCAACTGGCGCTACGAGCAGGAGCTGGACAGCTTACTATGGAAGATAGACTTTCGAGAAGTGCAAATGCATGAGAATGAAAAAGAGCAGCAAAGCCAAAAGCAAACGCGTGTAAGCTATGGGCTGCTAGTGGGCTAGTGGGTTTGGTTGTGGCTGTGGGATGTGAAATATGGGACAGGGAGGACTACAAGACACATGTCGCCGCACAATGATGGCATTTAACATAATGACATTGCACCCTAGGGATGGGCACGTGACTGTCATGCCAAACAGACTGACTGAATTAAAACAAAACAAAAAAGAAGCAAATGCAAAGTTTAAGCTTAAGCTCTGTTCAGATATGCAAATAATTGGCACACAAACTACTTCTACATAAAAAGTGCATCTAAACGAGCCCTGACATAATTGCAATCTTTTCGAACCTTTACTTACAATTTATTTTTAATTATTTTCGTAATTTATTTCAAAGATTTTATCTTATTGAATCCGTATTTTGGGCTAAGATTAAATTAATTAACTAATTAACTAAAGCTTCAAAGGCTTATGTTCTAATTTAATCGATTTAAAAGGTATATTTATAATAAAAGAATGAACTACAAGTATAAAGCGGATACGGAAGAATATGCTTGTTATTTATTTATAATGCATCTTTCTTGTAATTGCGTTTAGTGGATTTTTTTAAAGGATTATTTATAATAATGCAAGAAATGGTAAAAAAGACGTGAGCAATGAAATATATTGTTTGTATCTTATCGAAGAGGGGAACAATATGTTGAAGAAAAAATTGAAATTATCAGTCATTATTTGGGTAGATATCTGTGCTTTAAATTAGGATCAAATTAAATAACCTTCTCATGTCATATGATCAGGTTTCACGCATTTATAGAGCATCTAGCATTTAGCAACAACACATCTCTATTGCCAGCAGGCAGAGTTTCCGACTGTTTGCTTTGACAGTGGCTTTAAGCGTCTTTCTACCTTTTTTTGTTGCAGTCCACCCATCCACTTATACGCACGAGCCAAGTCAGTCTGAGCTCCAATCCCGATGCGGATTTCCGGTACACAACCATCTTTACGCCCATTGGGCTGTACAAGGGACAGTTGTATGCCATTAAAAAGGTGCGCAAGAAGAGCGTTGACATTACGCGTGAGATGAAGAAGGAGCTGAAGCTGGTAAGTGGTATCCTTTTATTATGCTGCTGCTGCTTAAGTCCTGTTCTCTGATTGCAGCTGCGGGATGCGCGTCACGACAACATATGCGCCTTCATTGGGGCCTGCACGGATCCGCCCAACATTTGCATCATCAGCGAGTATTGCACGCGCGGCAGTCTTAAAGTAGGTTCCTCCCTATATAGTATACTGGTCTGTTTAAATATTTGGTTTAATCGGAAGTACACTTAGTTCCCGAATCAGTTTCATAAATCATTTGAATTCAAAATCAAAATAGTTATACACATCGCTGTATACTGGGTTCTGATTACATCGTTTAACATCTCTCCTATTCCTATGCCTTTTGCAGGACATACTTGAGAATGAGGACGTTAAGCTGGACAACATGTTCATTGCCTCCATGGTGGCGGACATTATACGCGTGAGTACCAGTGTGTAACATTATACTAATGGCTTCCATCCCCCGTCTTAACTTCTACATACTTCCTTCTCCACTCCCACTCCATTCTCACAATTCTAGGGTGTCATCTACTTGCATGAGTCGCCCATACGGTTCCATGGCTCGCTGTGTACATCCAATTGCCTCGTCGATTCTCGCTGGGTGGTAAAGCTGACGGACTTCGGTTTGTTTGCCTTTAAGCAGGGCATTGAGGACAGCTCCACGGATATGCAGCACATGTCGAGCAAATGTCTGAGTAAGTTGCCCTCGCACTCTATTCCATATTCAGGCGTTTTCGAATTCGAGCAAATAATGTGGAATCTAAATTATTAAATTTATCCAATGTCGAGAGACTAGTGATGTTTTCGGCGTCTCAATATATAACCTATTTTGAAGGCCTTAAACTCAATCGTTCATTATTGAATTATCGCATATTATTATTCAATATTTCTTCTTTTATTTCATTCGTTTCTTTTTTGCTTTCAGAGCTACTCTATCGGGCGCCCGAACTGTTGCGTCAGGGCCCCTCCTCTCTGGTTGTGGGAACGCAGCGTGGCGATGCCTACTCCTTTGCCATCCTGCTCTACGAGATGCATGTGCGACGGGGTCCCTTCGGCGAGACGGGTCTTACGCCCATGCAGTGCCTGCAGAAGGTCTTGCAACCACAAGACGTTCAACATCCCTATCGACCATCTCTGCAACCGCTAGAGACGGCCTTTGACTGTGTGCGGGAATGTTTGCGCGAGTGCTGGTCTGAGCGGCCCGAGGAGCGTCCCGACTTCAAGACCATACGCGCCAAGCTGCGACCTCTGCGCAAGGGCATGCGTCCCAACATATTCGACAACATGATGGCGATGATGGAGAAATATGCGAATAACTTAGAGGCGCTTGTCGACGAGCGCACGGATCAGTTGCAGGAGGAGAAGAAGAAGACTGACGCACTGCTATTAGAAATGCTGCCACGTCCCGTTGCCGAGCAGCTGAAAAAGGGTCACAAAGTTGATCCCGAACACTACGAGCAAGTGACCATCTATTTCAGCGATATTGTGGGCTTTACGGCCATGTCGGCAGAGAGCTCACCCCTACAGGTAGTTGACTTTCTCAATGATCTTTACACCTGCTTTGATTCCATCATCGGGCACTACGATGTCTACAAGGTTGAGACCATTGGTGATGCTTATATGGTGGTAAGTTAATAAATATTGTAAACAAGCCTTGGATCTCGTTTCCCCCCACTTGGAGCTCGAATTTACCAAAATCCTGCTCACCTACACTATGATGGGATACTTGAGTTCAAATTTCAGCTTGTGTTTCAATTTTTCCACGGAAAAACCCTCCTTTTTCATGCCCCAGGAAAAATTGTGAAACATCAAGTATGCAGTGTTTTTTTTTAATTCTTTTATAGATTACACAAACCAAGTTTGAAGCCAATAAAATGAAAATTGCAGGTTTTTCATACAATCTTTGGAGACCGTTTTCCCCCCTTTGGCGTTAGAATTTTCCAAAATCGCTTCTTAGTGCTCACTTTCAGTGTGTCCAAATTTCAGCTTCCTAGCTTTTATCGTTAGCTCTTGCGTCGATTGCACATAGCTTTTCGTGTCCCGATTTTTCCACGGGAAAATCCCTATAATTCTGACCCCAGAAACGAGAAACCAAGTAAGCAGCTTTTCTTGTATTCTTTATGAGAGTATACAAACTGAGGTTGAAGTTATTCGGATAAAATTTGTAGATTTTTCATGCAAACGTTGGAGCCCGTTTCCCCCCTTTGGAGTTCGAATTTTGAAAAACCCCTTCTTAGTGCTCACTTTCAGTGTGAGAGGGATTTTGTCAATCAGTCAGGACAAACTATTTTATATATCTAGAGATTATAAAATCCCAACTACAAAGACTTTTCAAAGTGATCCTCGTACTCATACTTTTGAAGATCCCTAATGTTTTGCTCGAACGCGCAAAGAGACTATCTCAGAGTTATGGCTTATCTGTTCCCTTAAGACTTATACTTGTATATAATTTCTTACGCTTCAGGTCTCAGGTCTGCCAATACGAAATGGAGACTTGCATGCTGCCGAAATCGCCACCATGTCACTGCATTTGCTTAGCGCCGTATCCGAGTTCAAGATCCGGCATCGACCCACCAATCGTTTGTTGCTGCGCATCGGGATTCATACAGGTCCTGTGTGTGCGGGCGTTGTGGGTCTAAAAATGCCAAGATATTGCCTTTTTGGGGACACTGTGAATACGGCCTCACGCATGGAATCCAGTGGGGTGCCTCTAAAGATTCACTGTAGCTGGCAGTGTCGCCAGCTGCTGGACAGATTGGGGGGCTACCAGTTTCTGGAGCGCGGTGTCATCTCGATGAAGGGCAAGGGCGAACAACGCACCTATTGGCTACTGGGCGAGGATGAGGAGGCGCGTACCAGACGCACCTACGAACGGTCGCAAAGGCGAGGCTCACGGGCTCTTAACAAGTTCATTCAAGGCACCATTAAGCAGGCACAGTTACAGGCCCAAGCCAATGACGGCATCATACGCTCCTCACTCAAGCAGAAGAACATGCCGCGCAATTCGCTGACACGCTCATCCAGTCTGGAGTCGCCGAAGAAACTGCGCTTTGCCACTGGCAGCCTATTGGAGCACCATCGTTACCATAGGTGGCTATATAAGATGTTATAATTATATTTTTAAAATAATATCTATGTCAGTTTTAGTGATGAGGCATTGCTGGAGGTCATTACGGATTCATATACGGGACTGCGCCGCTCCTCCGGCGGCTCCACACATTCGCGCTACGAGGAGTCTACACTATCCTGCCAAAGCATTGAACAAATGGATATTCTGCAGCGCAAGCGACGACCCTCTTCCTATCCCACAGCCAATACGCCGCTATTACTGAATCATATAGAGGTCTGATCTTGAGGGGAAAGAAGCACTTATTATCCAATTACAGGAATCTTAGTAGAATTTGTTGTCAGTATCTTTGGCCGATCATCTTAATCGTTGCACTGTTCGGCAATTGTCCGTTGCTTTTAGTGTTGTTAATGGGTTAAGTAAAACTTACGACATCAGCATATTGTGAGTGATTATAAATCTAGTCGTTGTTTAAACCAATTTTTGCATTAGCATATAGTCTAATTAAAATACAATTAGCACCTCTATACGTATGTATGTACTCGTATTGTCAATAAATAACAATTCGTGAAGTCTATTTCTTTCAATTTCAATTTTGGGGAAAATTAAGCAAACTAAAATAATAACAAAGATATTATATATACAAGTATATAAAAGTATATGTAATATAATAATAATATTTCCGAGATCAATTATAAAAATTATATTTTGATTCGTTTTTAGTTTTCATTTTTATTTCAAACATTGTTGTCTTCAAGACATTGCTGCTAATTTGTATAACACCTCATTTAGTTTAAAACCGATTTGTGCATATCGTATGAACATATGCATATATATTGTAGGTAGCATATGTCCATAACATAAACATTTGATTCTTCACTCAAATTTTCTCAAGCCAGCTTGCAAAAATGTTTGTCAAATAGTTCTTTCGATAATTGGTTTAAATTTATGATTATACATAATTCATATTAGTTTCTAATAGGGAATTTCAATTTGATTGCTTTTGTTTGAACTTAATTTTGCTAAATATAAATATATATATATATGTATGTATTTATGTATGTATGTATATATTTAATTATGTATGCATGTATATGTGGTTTGGTATAAAGTACGTGTAAATAATTTTACAATATAATTGTGTTTCATATTCTTCTTTTGTATTCCTTTTTCAATAAATTTGTTTAAGCCACAAGCTTTAAAGCACACTTCCAATAAGTTATTTAAAATTGTTCAATTTAAAAAAACGTTCGCTTAATGCTCAAAACTCGCTGCTAAAAATGTGTATGCGTGTGTGTGTGTGTGTGTGTGCGTGTGTGACTCCCTCTGGGTGTGTGTGTGTGTGTGTGTGTGTGTGTGTGTGTGTGTGTGTGTGTGTGTGTGTGTGTGTGTGTGTGTGTGTGTGTGTGTGTGTGTGTGTGTGTGTGTGATTCTAAATATGTTCTAATTTTATTCAACTGTCGATTTATATAATGCTACACAATGCAACAAGTTCCTAAATAACATTTTTTATATAATCTTCTAGATGTATAACGCATTTGTTGGTTTTTTTTTTGTTTTTGTTTTTCTTTTTAGTTGCTATAAAAAATTCTGCAGTTATGTAAAAATATTGCAACAACAATTCATCTACACAAAAATATTCGCATTGTAACATTATAAATTATTATTGTTTTTACAATCTGTATTAGTTATACATATTTTAATTTTATAAACATTTTAACTGCCAACAATTAAATCTTCTCTGCATTTGGTGGTCGAGTATAAAACTAACAAACAGGGCAGTTGCAGAATTTGTAAACAACTGCCTTCGGTTAGTTTAAGGCCAAAAATTATGGGTTAACAAATCTTCTGCTCAAATACACGAGTTCATATAAATACGCTAAGTATATTTGTTAAATGCGTCTCTGTAAAAAATAATCTCTCAACAATTGCATTACAAATTGATTTATTTTTTATTAGGTTTCCTTAAAAAGTGCTCAACAACTTCTTCGGATTGGCCAAAAACTGCAGCTTCAAAAAAATATTGCCAATTACTGCAAGTGCCACGTATTGTTTGCGAAACTGAAAACATAGATTTCAGAGAAAGATCGAGGCCTATTTTTAAAGCTCGAATACATAAATCTTTACTTGCTCTTAATTGAAGAAAAAAATTACTATAATAATTTTGTATGGAACGAACGTTTTAAAGGTAATTTTTGATCTCTGTTTTCTTAACATTTTCTATTATTACTTCTCCTTCAATTGTCCCAATTCAAAAGTATTGAATTGTGATACAAAAATAAGGCATACTGGAAGAAAACTGCGGTACTATTATCCTATTTTGTGTAATTTTCAATTTAATTTAAATTGTTCAGTGGAAGAAAAGCAATGAAATAATTTCTTTTGCTAAAAGTTTAATTTAAATGGAATTCTTTAGAGTGTTCTCTTCAGTAAACTTCAGTTTTAGCATGCTTTACGAATTATACAAATTATTAAAATGGAAATGAGTAAATTATTATTTAGTTTCTCATTTCGCTTCCAACAAAATAGACTGGAATTAATTCCATTTAGTTGTACCATTTTAATATACAAAAGAAAACGTTAATTTAATCAAAATATTTGGTAAAATAGCTTTTTTTTTAGTTGCCAAAACCTATAAATGAAATGTATATAAGAATGTTGCCTTTTTGGAATCGCAGTTTTGGGTTCGCAAACTTGGCACTGCAGTTTTGGCTTTTTGCTGCAATTTATAAATCATTTATAAATCATTGTGGCTCGAAAATCTCAATTCCCTCCACGACCAACCATTATTAATTCTTAGAGTCTATATAACAATAAGCCAAAAAGTAGCTAACGATTGATTTTCAGTGTGTGCGTGTATGTGTGTGTGTGCGTGTTTGTGGGTGTAGAATCTACACTGTAGATGTGTGTGTGTGTCAAGTTGTGAGATATGCAAAGTTAGCTCTGGGAGGCTAGTCAGTGTTTAAAGTGGCACAAATATGTTCCGGGAGTGGAGTTTATTTTTGGGTGCAGGTCGCGCGCGCGTGTTGCAAAAATGCAAGTGAGAGCAGTTTACAGTTAGTTTCTTTAGTTTAATTTGTTTTCATTGTTTTTCTTAACTCAGCAGGTTGTTGCGACCTTCTAGTTAGTCTTCGATAAAGTTTGAAGCTTGGATTCGAAGCGAAGCACACGAATTTTTATTAATTCAACAATAAGTACAAAATTGAAGCGCATTCATCGACGCTGGGCAAGCATTTTCATCTTGGCTTCTTCACGAGACTGGTGGACCTGCAAGCAACAACACGAAGAACACAATAGACAACGACCACAAAGCACACACACACTAAACACACAGCACTTTCAATTAGGGACAGCCCTAAGCTCACCTCTTGACGCCATGCCGTGGACTGGCGGGTGGTGTGTTGGAGGGCGATGGCGGCGCCGAGCCACCCGATGAACCACGCGAAGAAATGGACAAGGTAGAGGCACGTGGAGCCGTACAGCCCAAATAGATGGCTGAGCCCTTGTCCGCATCGCGCAAATCCACGCGTGAACCGTGGACGGAGGAGGGGACAGAACCTGTAAGTTTAACAAACAATTTAGTTTCAGTTTTGGAAAATATAAACGTTTGAGTAATTATTTTATTTTCATGAATTTTGAAGTTTACTTGCTATTGCTTATTAATTCATTCAAGAGAGTGTCCCAAACGTCTAGTATTTGTGTGAAGATAATGAAGACGCTTTGGAACGATAGAAATATACCGGCCTCTTTGTTTTGGGCTAATCGTCTGTAGTTAGTTTAATCTAGTGTTTTCGGAATGGGAATAATGTAAGCTTCAAATTTTCGTTTATAAAAAGTATGTACATGTAAATGTTTTTTCACAATCGGTAACACTTTAAATCGTACAAAATTCGAATAGATCGACACAGCGAACGTCGAACTTTTTACAAATCTAGTTGGCCCATATCTTTTATATATTATTATCTTGAATAACAAATACTATAAGCTTTAATTTTCATCGAATGAAAGAGATCAATTATGTGCCTCTTATTGTTATTGATTTTAATGGATTTACCCGATTTATTTATATATTTTTTTAGAATAGATTGATACAGCGAATGTCGAATTTTTTACAGATCTAGTTTAGAATAGTCTAGTCTAGAATAGCAAATACTATAAGCTTAAATTTTCATCGAATGAAAGAGATCAATTATGTGTTTTTGATTTTAATGGATTTATCCGATTTCTTTTTATATATAATTTTTAATATTATTATCTTGAAAAACAAATACTATAAGCTTTAATTTTCATCAAATGAAAGAGATCAATTTTGTGCCTCTTATTGTTATTGATTTTAATGGATTTACCCGATTTATTTATATATATTTTTCCCCTTTTTTTTTGAAACTTATTGTTAAGGTCTCTCAAAAACCCACCTGTGTAAGCATGCAAGCCTGCAGGACTGCTTCGGGGCCGTACACCAAAGCCGCTTACAGTGCTCGCGCTCCGTTGCAGCTGCGTCGAGTTATTTGCTGATTCCTTGCGCTCCTCGGCGCGCATCAGACGGCTGCCAGCACTGCTGACACGTGCCGAGTTGGCATTGGAGCTGCTACCGCCGCTATTTCCGCAGCCACCACTGCCGCTATTACCGCCGCCGCTATTACCGCCGCTGCTACCACTACCGCCGCCGCCGCCGCCGCCACCACCGCCACCACCGCCACCACCGCCGCCACCACCGCCGCCGCTACTGCCGCTAAAACCACCGCTTCCGCCAGCAAAACCACTGCTACCTCTGACGCTGTATCGTGATGGAGACTTCTGCAGCTGTTGTCGTTGATGGAGCTCTCGACGCGCGTCTTCAATAGCCGCCGCGTATTCCGCCGCCTCGGACGAGGTTGTGGGTGCCTGTTGGGTCTGTTGCGACTGCTGGCAATCCTCCTCGTCCTCGGGTATGCGTTCACCGCCAACGGAGCGTCGCGGTAGTGGCGAATGTTTGGGCGATGTGGGACAGGACTGAGCTGTGCCAGCAATGGCACTGACTGTTAGGCTAGTGTTGCTGTTAGAGGAGGCAGCGCGCAGACGCGACTGTGTAGATGCGGTGGAGGGACGGCGGCGGAACAAGCCCTTCGTGGGGTCCATGTTGCAAACGCCTACGGAACATAAAAAAAGAACAGAGAGACATAAGATTGGGATTCATTTATTGGGCTATTGCGGATATTTTTGCTGTATTTCTTGTTTTATGTTTTATCTTTTTGGCTATTCAGGGACTTTCGGCGCTTTCTTTGCTGCGGCTTTGGCTGATATTCTTTCTGTTGGTTTTGCATCGGTGCCACGTGCTGATCGTTTTGCACAGGGTTTTGTTCTTCTACGAATTTTCTAGCTAATCGCTTCATATGTGCCGCAGATGGTCCATGGCGCTCATCATCACCCGCATCCTCATCGAGATTGTTCACAAAGCGTCCCACATTGCCATCGGGATTGTAGTAACGAACATTTGGCATAATATTCTCGCCTGAGCTGCTGCTAAACGGCGCTCTGAGTTCATCTTCCAATTCCTTATGCAGTGTACTGGCCTTCCACTTGTCCACAGCAAAGTTGAGCGTGTACGCTACATTTGTTGTAAGGTTCCCTAAGCTATTCGCGACTAACGCCGCTTCGGAAGTATGTTCACCTGTGGGACATTTTTCACCGCGAGAGCAGTTGCCCTCGCATATGTCACGATTCTGTAAGAGCTCCTGATAATTGTCCAGGGCCATGATGCACTTCAAACGATCCAATTGCTCTAATGCCGATGATGGAAACCGCTCGCGCAGCCGTCGTCGCTCCTCCGGCAATTTGAACTGCTCGAACTCCTGCAGTTGATTTTGAAAGCCCGCATTTGGATTAGCTACGGCCCGACCCGCGCGAACCACCTTCAGTGCCTCTTTCCAATTGAGATGCGTGGCCGTCATAATGTATGCGACGGCGACTGTCACGGAGCGCGACATCCCCGCCAGACAATGGATGAGTACGTTGCCCTCTCGCAGTCTGGCAGCGTGAATAAAATCATTGCACACAGAGAAGTATTGTGAGAGATTCTGATCCGGCGTGTCTGATGCCATGACGCATAAATAGTGTTTGTCCTGTAGAAAATAAAAAAATTAAATTATATATAATTATAATTCATGCTCATTTTGTAAATACACACCGGCAGCAGGCGCCGCGGACTGTCATGTATGGCTATAATGTGCGATATTTTGAACTTCTCTAACTGCTGATGATCCTTGGAGTCTCGGTAGTTGCCCACGTATAGTCCCGGCAAGACCTTTGAGAAAAAATACTTTTAAGTTATTGAAAATACTCAAAAAAGCCTATAACTTTATATAAACGTTATGCATGAGTACTTTGTCTCTACCTCGCCCATGTGCCAGTTCATTTTGTTTGTAAATAAGTAATTGTGGTTTCAACTTAATATGAAATAGAAAAATTTGATTGATAATTGTTTCCCGGGCGACCAGGTAAAATGTGTAGGAGAACAAAGTAACAGCTGCTGAATGTTAAAAGCGTTGCCATTTGCTTTTTTTGAACAGATGGCAGCTTTCTGAAGTTCCATGTTGAAAGCTCTTCACTTTGAAACGCAATGAAAAGAAATGTCTTCGGACCGTTAACAGCACACTGTTAAGCTCTGTTATCACTAACATAGTTTGACTTTTCTGTTGGGCGTTGAATGGTTGCCATAACAAAACAAAATAATAATACACAACAGCAACAAATGTTCTAGAATAAATAAATAATGCGAATTCGATATATGTACGCACCTTGTTCATGCCATTCCCCATGTTTCTTCATTTATGAGTGGCGCGCTGCTTCAATTTCAGAATGAATTGCCGTGAAGAGAATAAAAGCTGTAAGTAAATAGAGGAATATACATACATATTCATAAGTATACAACAAAAGTGTTTTGCTTGACAAGTTCAGGGCAAGTGTACAGACACATACATACACTCATACATATATATACATACATAAATGCCAACATCTACACACCGACTGCTCCAAGGCTATGCTACGAAGGCGGAAACCTAAGCCTTCGCTCAACCGCACATCCACATCCCTTTTTTCTGCCTACCCGTAAGTTGCCATTGATTGCAACAGTTGCCCCTGATGAAAGTGCAAGTGGCAGCTTCTGCCTTCTAAGCTGTTGTGACAGTCAGTGGAAGGCAACCCAACAAAAAAAAAACAATAGCTGCAACAGCCACCAGTATAGTACAACAAACACACACAGTCAAGAGACAGACACAAAAGGCAGCGGAAGTAAACAAACCTTGACGCTGACTTTGGCTGCAACTCATTAGCGGACTTTATGGACATCTAGACAGACAGGTCTGGTCTGACAATGTACAATGTCGATAATATTCAATTCTGTTACTCATAAGGTTCATGCTAAGTTATTGAACAGAAAGCAAATGGCAAAAGTTAGCTCGGCTATATTCTATAAGCCTGCCATATGGCATGGCATATGTTTGCTTGGCCCTCAAAAGTAGGCTAGGTAAATTTTGGCACAACAATAAAAGTTTTGTCATCACAGTCACTTGTCTGGCGCACGTTTAAGCCATTTAAGCGTATGTAAAATAAACAACAGCAGCGTCATCATAAAGTCAAATACCGCAAGACAACTCCTGCCTTATGTAACAAGAGTAAGTAGTGGCTGCTAAGCTAACAGTACAAGCTGTGTAAATAACAGTGATGTGCAGAAAACTGTGCATACCACAACAATTATAATCACGATTGATTTTCACTTTCTTGGATAACTGTCTGTAAATCACTGTTAAATTCACCTAACCAAAGATGAAATGAAAAATAATTTAATTCTTTAAATTGTTTTGATTTAAATTTATTTGAATTTGAAAGGACTTTCTATAAATAAATCAACAATTGAATTATAAATGCATATAATATAAAGTTGAGAAAAATTGGTATTTAGACTGAGAGAACAGAATGAAATTAATACCTTTCTTGCTTGTTGAAACTTTTCCTATTTGGCCAAAGATTTATAGATTTGAGTTGAGATATAACTATCAACAAAATACACATATCTATAAATTTTGTATAGCAATGGGTAATTCAATAAAAAATAAATGCTAGTTAATACACAAAACACATACTAAATGAATTTGGGTCAAGTCAAAATAAGTGCAATTGCCTCTTTGGCTTAGTTAATTCTTCAACTGCAGTGAATGTTTCCAACATTTACTTATTGAATTAATTTTATATATAAATAAGTTTATTATTAGATTTGACATGATATCTGGCTTAACTGAACTTGCAACAAGACCAGGAGTCATTTTTAGATAAGCTTAGCTGCAGTGAATTTACTCTTCCACGGACTAATTCAATTATAAGACTATTTCAATTTCGGAAATTGTATTCTCAGATACGCAGTTCGCAACTGCGAAAAGTTCTCCGTTTGTAGTTCACATTCAGCTTACACTTCTATAGTAATCACAGTGATTTAGTCTTTGCTCGTCCGCGATAATTCGCGCATCTTTGGCACACACACACTAACATTTAAGGCTGCGCCCGCGGTTATGCTACGGAAATGCGCGTAGGCGGACTCATAAATTTATACATTTACATAAGCACACACACACACGCACACACAGATAAACAAGTATGCAAGCGCATATGTACATATGGGGGTGGGGGAATTAAAAGGGAGAGGAACTGTAAAAGCAAATTGAATTTGAAATGCGAACGTGTGGCAAGTGGCGCGTCTTACATGCAACTGCCGCAGCCGCTGCGTCGGATAATGTTAATGGGTGCACCGCACTGGAGCAGCAGCAACAGCAGCAGAAGCCGTGGCGGGGCAAGTTGACACTGCGACAGCGGCACTTGTGCATTTTAATGGGTAACGAGTGGGCGGGCCAGTTGACAAGAAAGGCGCAAATTACAGATAAGGCACGTGTGCGACGTCAGCAGTGGCAACAACTGTCACTTAACTAACGACAACGACACGTTTGCTCAGCTAAATGAGTTGCCCCATCCTATCGCAAGCAATTGATCAACACAGAGTGCCACAAATTCAGCTCTTTACCTGCGCCCAGAAAGGATTTCAGCTTAAAATAGACCAAAATGTGCCAAAAACGCTGAAACGGCCGACTTGGCGAAAAAGTGGGCGGACATCGGCCAACCATTCCGTTCGCAATTCAATTCAATTGATATGGCATTTGTATGAGTATACTATATGTATATATATGTATGTATGCTGTGAATATATTTGAGTTTGTGTTAGTGTGCGTTCTTTTTGGCTGCCCAAATATTTTAAGCCATATTATTGGAAAACATTTTGTGTGCACATTTCTATTGAACAGGCTGACAAATTTCTAATGAAATCTTGTTGTCGCATTGATTGTGTGTACTTACGATTATGTGTTGGTATGTTAGTGTTTATGTGTGTGTGTGTGTGTGGAAGGCTGCCAAAAAAAAACTGTAGCTTGTACAGCCGCGAACAAAAGAGCAGAAATGTGTTGCATGCTTTGGGGCGCAGCGTCAGCCAATGACGTGGCAAATGAACCGTAAATAGCGCATTCAAATTTGTGGCACAACTTTAATCAAATTAAACGCCTGCCAATTGTTCGTCCAATTTCCTTTATAGCCTCACCTAACCAATGCTTCTCCTTCAATTACGCCTAAGTGATCAACTGCCAGCGACCCCCACGTGCTCGTCCGTCGACACAGTTTGCTGCCAATTTGACATTCTTCGCCATTTGTTAGTTCCGCCGTTTGCCGTTTTGGCCGAGTTGGCACCAAGCTCTTCTTTTTTTTTTTTTTGTGACATTCATGCAGCTAGTTGGCAATGTTTGTTCTCCTTGATGAAAATTAATATTTGTTATCTGGTCTGCTAGCGTTTTTTAATTAGCCAGACAAATATTAAGGGCCAAGGCAGGTAAAAATTAATTTGTTTGCAATGAATATGCAAAATTCTTTTTCGGACAAAGGGCTGTAGGATTAAAAAGCTCGCAAAGTAACAGTCTTGTGATTGAAATTATTTTGGCTTGCAGTCATAATCAACATTTTGTGTATACCCTTCACTAAAAAGTGTAAGGATGTGTTGTTTTTGTGGTGTAAGAAGAAGGAAGAATAGTAGACCACATCATATACACGGAGCGTTCCAAAGTAAACAGGACTTTTTGAATCTAGCGCCCCCTGGTGGCGCTATCTATATGTCGGTGCGTTAGAATCTGCTATCTTTATCGATTGTCCAGTGAGAATTTCACGACACTTCATTGATTGGAAGTGAAGTTATTGCGTTTTAAGTGTCAGTATGTTTGCTTCGAACAAAGAGCCAACATTAAATTTTGTTTTAAAATTGGTAAAACTTTTACCGAAACGTTTCAATTGATGGAACAAGTTTATGGCGATGATTGCCTATCCCGTAGCAGAGTGCACGAGTGGTTTCAACGTTTTCAAAGTGGACGTGAGGACAAAAATGACGATCAACAAGTGGGCCAATCAAAATTCGTGATCACTGAAAATTCCATTGAAACTCAGCCGAAATCATCATTGAAATTGATGGAAATGGAATTGAACATCTCCAAACCATCGATTTATCGCATTTTGACCGAACATTCAAAAGGCTTGTTCAACGAGCTAAAACCCTCGTTCGACATGCTTTTGGATCGTGCAAAAATCTGTATTGAAGCAGAAGGAGATTATTTTGAATAAAATAAATTAATTTTGCCAAAAAACCATTTGTTCTGTTTTTTTTTTTTTTTAAGTCCTGTTTACTTTGGAATACACCTTGTAGATCTTGTCTGCTTCAATGAATATTCCGACCCCACGCTTAAAGCGTACGTGTTATATCTTTTTTACGGGCACAGATAATTATTATAAATTATACTGAAGAGTCAAAAAGAGTCGGTCGTGGGCAAGATACTCTCATTCCCTAAAATTACGCACAAATTAGGAAATGTAAATTACATAAATATTGCATTTATATTCCTTTACATAACATAAACAAAAACGAACAAAAATGTCAAATAAATTGTGCAGGATTAGTTGGGCAAATTTGAAAAAGGTGAGCAACTTCAGAGAATAAATATGTGTGATTATAAAACTTGTTTAAATAAATGGCTAGAATGATCTATTAGTTAAATTTATGCACAGTAATTTACATGAAATGTGGAAAGTCCCAAAAAGCTAAACGTTGTTTCGTTGTTTGGTACGCAATCAGATAAAACAAAATTGCATTCTCTCAGAACAGCAAGTTGGCGAAAAAGTCGTGGTTGGCTTAACTTTTCAAAGATATTTTAATTGGTCGCTCAGATGTGTTTGTGAGCGGGCCTGGCACATGCAATGATTTTTTAAAATGCCATTTACATTTCAATGGCATTCACATCTAAGCTATCTAAATAAATTAGACGACCTCGGCCTTGTCGTCATGTCAATGGCGTTAAAAAACAAGCGGCTAGCCATTTCCAGCTGTTGGTTGGTAATGGCGTGCGCCAAAGGGGCAGCCAAACATTCAGGGGTTGGCGGAATCAGGCATGCAGGCAATTATTTTATTTAGACATTTTACATTTTACATGACCAATAAAATATGTGCGCCAGTAAATGGCACACCTAACACACACACACGCAGTTACATTCAATGCCCACAAGCCCACAAGCGAGTTGTAGTTAAGTAGATCCGCTTTATGACTCCATTTTGTACTGCCACTGACTGCCACTGAGTCATCACTTATGGAAATAAACTAAAGGACGTCGCCCGCCCGTTGGGGGCATTATTGTTGTTGCTGTTGCCCAAAGCTCAACGACTGTGCAAAATAAAATAAATGATTATAGCCGAAGCAGCTATGAGGCATGAAACAACAGGACACACACACTCTCCTCTTTGACGCTTGAT